ATTTACGACTTGCAGTATGAGTCAAACTGGAAACAAACTCTCCAGAGCTTACCACCTAGCAAAGTTACCTTGGTCCTGCATGTTCAAGGTACATAATCAAGCACTACAGTGTTCACCTGCATGTATTGTACCCGAAGAGGTACGTAGTACTTTACTTCACCCAACTCGCCTGTGCAGCAATGATGGGGCAGAGAATAGCCTGCCACTGCTTAGGGTTGCAGCGGTGGGATCGTCTCGTTGGCGGGACGCCAGTGGCAGGCCCCGTGCAGGGTCAGGTAGCGGCTGCATAAGCACAAACGACTAACGTACATTATCAGCGAGTGACCCATATCAGCGAATGACCCACTTTCTAAACAACGCGACACCTTTGCACTTAACAATAATATTCCTCCTATATCTAAGATGCCTACTACTTCAAAAGAAGGCCAAATCATCTTGGCCCTCCAAGCTCTTCAAAACGATAAGAATCTAACTGAACGAGCCGCAGCGAAGATCTACGGAGTCGACCGTAGAACCCTAGGTCGGCGACGCGCCAGCAAGCCTGCACGACGCGATATAACGGCCAATTCGAAGAAGCTTACCCAATCTGAAGAGGAGGCTATTGTTCAATATATTATTGAGCTATCTGTACGAGCTTTTCCGCCGAGACTGCGTGGTGTAGAAGATATGGCCAACCAACTGCTAAGCGTACACGACGTGCCCCTTGTCGGCAAGCTCTGGGCGTATCGGTTTGTTAAACGCCAGCCAGAGCTCTATATGCATTATTCGCGAAGATACGATTACCAGAGGGCAAAGTACGAGGATCCGAAGGTCATTGGCGAGTTGTTTGCCCTTATATAGAATGTTAAGGCCAAGTATAGTATCGTAGATGACGATATCTATAACTTCGACGAGATTGGGTTTATAATGGGCATTATCTTCCCGGGCATGGTGGTTACAACCTCGGATGGCCGTGGCAAGGCGAAGCTAGCCCAGCCTGGCAACTGCGAATGGGCGACAGTGATCCAAGGCGTCAATGCCCTTGGCTAGGCTATCTCTCCGTTTATTATCTTAGCTGCATAGTACTATCTCGCCAGCTGGTATACCGAGTGCAACCTCCCAACCGACTGGCGCATTATAACCACTGAGAATGGCTAGACTACCAATGTAGTAGGCCTTGATTGGATCAAGCACTTCGACTACTATATAGCGCCTCGGACAAAGGGCAAATACCGGTTATTGATCCTCGATGGCCATAAAAGCCACCACTCAACCGAGTTCGAGCTCTACTGCCAGCAGAACAACATTATCACGCTCTGCATAACGTGATTTATAAGCGAGTCGTGAGTATAAGCGGGCCGTGGCTTTTCCACTACTCTATAACAACAACCGTCCAAAATACAACAACAGTATCAACTAACTACAATTACATCAGAAACAGCTGAATCAGACGATTCTACAGCCTCTCGGCAGGTATAGGTATTATGGCCAGGCTTGCCACATACACCACAGCACCGAACCTTCGTACGACCCCCCCCCCCCCCCCCCCGGTACTACTACCTTCCGGCTGTGTATTTTCCACTACCTCCCTACCCACAGCCTTCTGATCCAGTAGATCCTGTGCATCTTGCACAATAAGTGATCCTCCAAGCTGCACGCGCGTTCTTTTAGCTCTGCGGCGCTTGCTTAGTGCCTCGTTAGCCTTGCAGAGCGAAGAGACCTCTGACCGAAGGAGAGCTACCTAATGCATGACAGCTATTGTACCCTTGGCAAGTTGATCCACAGCCGCCAATATCGAAGTCGGAGAGCTATTTTGATGATTAGCAATGCGAGTCTTGATGAGCGTCGACTGCGATTCGGCTTCTTAGGGGTTCTATAGTGTCTAGAAGACTCAAGGTTGTACTATAGTAGGCTGTAAGGCTAGGGGGTATTAGTATACAAAGCTGTACATCTAGGGTAGAAAGCACCCTCTCTAGATCGTACGGCATAAGGCCGGCCCCTATAAAGCCACCCTATATATTGCTCTCTATTATAGAGGCAAAGAAGGCTTTGCAGAAGGCACAGAGAAGCTCGAGCTTGCTGATATAGTTAATGTTCGCGCATATTAAGTTCTCGATTTGGCGACCGTACGCCCGCTTCAGTAGCCCGAAACAGCTAACGTCGAGTGGCTGGCACTTATAGGAAGAGTATGCAGGCATATAGAGCGTCTTGATATTATTATCCCGGCAGTAGTTCTCGAATTCGGTCGAGTAATAGCTCTTATGGCTATCGAGGATTAACATCCAGTATATACCCTTTGTATAGGACTTTGTATAGTAGTCGAAGTACTTAACCTAATCAAGGCCTACTTTATTAGTAGTCTAGCTGTTATTAGTAGTTACAATATGCTAGACAAGTGGAAGATTAGCCTTAGTATACCAGTTGCTAAGATAGTACTGCCTAGCTAAGATAATGAACGGACGGATAGCCTAGCCAAGAGCATTGACTCCCTAGATTACCATTGTCCATTTGCGATTGCCGGGCTAGGCTAGCTTTGCCCTACTATAGCCGTCAGAGGTTGTAACGACTATACCTGTATAGATAATACCTATTATAAACCTAGTCTCGTCGCAGTTATAGATATCGTCGTCTAAGATCCCAAACTTGGCCTTAGTATTCTAAACAAGTGCAAACCACTCGCGAATAACCTTTGGGTCCTTATACTTGGCCCTCTAGTAGTCGTACCGACGTACCTAACGCATCTTAAGCTCTGGCTTACGCCTGACGAAGTTATAGGCGTAGAGCTTGCCAATAGAGGGCGTATTATATATATATAGCAGTTAGTTGGCTATATCTTCCATACTAGCGAGTCTAGGTAGAAATCCATATGCAACTAGGTCAATGATATATTGAACAACAGCCTGCTCCTCGGATTCCGTAGGCTTCTTCGAATTGGCCGTACAGTCGCGTCGTATAGGCTTGCTAGCGCGTCGGTCCCTGAGGGTTGAAGCCGGTACGTTATAAAGCCTAGCTATAGCTTCAAGCCGTAGCTTTTTATCGCTCCGAAGAGTTTCGAGGGCTAAGACTACCCTAGCTTCTTTTGAGGGGGAGGGTATATCGGGTTATAGAGAAAATTGATGTTAAGTGGAAATGTGATATGTCGCGTTTGGAAAGCCACAGCCCGCTTATACCCACGACTCGCTTATAAATCACGTTACCTCCACATTCCCCCTACATCCTCCAGCCACTTGATGTTGGCTGCTTTGGGCCGTTGAAGCAGGCGTACGGTCGCCAGATCGAAGACTTAATACGCGCGTATATCAACTATATAAGCAAGCTCGAGTTCCTTTGTACCTTTCGCGCGGCCTTCTTTGCCTCTATTACCAAGAGGAATATACAGGGCGGTTTTGCAGGGGCTGGCCTTGTACCGTACGATCCAGAGAGGGTACTTTCGAAGCTAGATATCAAGCTTCGTATACCAACACCCCCAACCTCACAGCCGGGCACTGTACAGTCTTGGGTCTTCCAGACACCATACAACCCCCGAGAAGCCAACTCACAGTCAACGCTCATCAAGACTCGCATTGCCACCCACCAAAATACCTCCCCGACTTCGATGTTGGCTGCTGTGGACCAGCTGACAAAGAGTACAATGGCTATAATGCACCAGGTGGCTCTCCTACAGGCAGAGAATGCTTTGCTCCGCAAGGCCAACGAGGCACTAAGCAAGCGCCGAAGAGCCAAAAGAACGCGTATATAGCTTGGAGGATCACTTGCAGTAGAAGATGCAAAGGATCTACTAGACCAAAAGGCTGTGGTTGGGGAGGTGGCATAAGAAATGCAGCCGGATGGTGGTGGTGCAGGGGGGCCTCGTACGAAGGTTCGGTGCTATGGTGTATGCGGCGAGCCTGGTCATAATGTCCGCACTTGCCAGGAGGTTGTAGAAGCATCTGATTCAGCCATTTCTGATGTAATTGTAGTTGGTTGATAGTTTTGTTGTTTCGTAATTGAAGATAATGTTTGTAGGGTAGTGGAGAGTGGGTCATTCGCTGATAATGTACGTTAGATAGCTCAGTTATATACTGAACTATTGACTTTTCTTCTAGATCTGTGAGCTTACGCGAGTTGGCTAGAACATCGCGTCTTGCAGCACGTCCTTTGCGCCGGTGGCGAATCGTTGCTTCTGGAACGTTATATACAGTCAGGGTTCAAAAGTCTGTCACACCCCACATCAAAATCCCCCGCCACCCGTTTTCTAGATCACCACAACCATCAACATATCTCTACATAACGCAACACCACCAACATTCCTAGCAAAATAGATATATACAGATAGAAGCCCTGGTTCTAGCCATCAATATTTTGTATACCAACCCCTAGCTTTCTGGACTATAGCCAATCGCCGGGGCATTGAGTCAATGAGACCGTCAATTTGAGCCTGGTCAATTGCCCACCAACATACCCGAAGACATCGAGTAAACTCAGCCATATCTAGCTGGTTTTTCTTGAGTAACTAGACATCTAGATATAGCTGCTTTATCCTCCGTTTTAATAGAGCCTATATATGCTCGATTGGATTAAGATCTGGGCTATAGGCTGGCCAGTTGGGTAGGACCTCGATCATATACTTCATCAGCCACTCGGTCGAGGATATAGATATATATACTCGGGCATTATCCTGCTAGAAGTGCCAAGTACCATTGTAAATTAGAAGAAGACCCTTTTCCAATGCCTGCTAATAACTCCAAGAGCTATATCCTCTTTTTTACAGTGGTTGGTAGTCACGTTCTATAATAATAAGGTCGGTCCTCCCCCCTTTCTAAATGCCACCCCAAATTATAATCGAAATCGTACCTTTACTATAGCTCTAGAGGTTGACGAAGCTCTTATCCCATTTTTAAGAAGGGAACCGGAAGACCCAAGTTATTAGGTTACTCGAATTGTTTTGGCAAGACGATTCGTCGGTAAAGATAGACTAGAGGTTAGTTAATAAAATCCAAGGTTAACTTCCAAGTCACTTACTCGGATCAAGATCTCGATATCCTTCAACCAAAGGCAAGCAAATTAATATCTATCCTTTGCTACTGCCTTCGTCAATAGGATTCTCTTTTATATACGCCACTTACGTATCCGATGATAGCGAAGAACCCGGTATATCGTTAATCGGGAGATACGGCCGTCCATAGTATTAATCAGCATCTAGGTTATAAGCTAGGGACGCCGTTTAGCCAATTATAGGATATACCGCTTTTCCCGACATATAAGAATCTCTAGCCGGCCTGTTCGAGGCTTGGACTCAACAGTGGTAGATGATTCGAACCGTTGAAGGATGCGGTAGACAGCCGTCCTGTCGATGCGAAACGCGCGGGCAATAGCTGACTGGCTAGCCCCGGCTGCAACGGCACCTATAATAGCTACACGTGCAGTCGGTGATAGTTCCTGGCCAGGTTGACGGCCGGCCGTCAATTTGGCCCCGATTTCGGCCAAATTGACCATGGTGGGCTACAGTTGGGTTGGTTAGAAGATGGAAGATGGTGCGTGTCATGTCGCGACGCGCGTTTAATTGATGTGGGGTGTGACAGACTTTTGAACCCTGACTGTAGCTTGGCTACTGCCCGGATACTGAGATTCTCGCTCTGTTTGATAGCTTCGAGGGCTAAAAGAAGCCTGGCTTCTTTTGAGGGGCTACGCATGGCTTGTTGCGGTGGTATTTGGTGGAAAAGTTTAGAGGAGGCGCGTCGCACTGAAAGTGCGTCGCTCGCTTATCTGCGTCGCTCGCTTATCATGTACGTTAAGGGGCTTCTATCTCGAAATATTCGCTGAATATGACGCTGTAAACAGGAAATCTCCAAAGCTCTAGATAAATATGTCATAATAAATATGACCGCAGATATTTCGCAAGAAACGCCATCTGCACTCTGACAGCCTCATCAAACCTCTCATTGTCCTGAATCCTGATACAGCCTCCCCGCCCCCCCTATACTCGTACACCATGTCTGCGGATCATTCAATGCTCTAGCCAGTCCTGCACCCAAGCGGCCATCCATTCGGGCTGAATCTGGCCGAACGTGGCGAGAGACTTGCTGACACGCATAGTCTTTTGCAAGCAGAGTCTGGCCGACGACGGCGGGCCGCCCCGGGGGGTGTCGACGATAAGCTGACGATAGAAGTCGAGCAGTTTCACGGCGGGATTCCGCTCTAGGTCAGCAGGAGTAGCACAAGCAGCAGCACTCTCCTCCAGTCTCTCCAGCCATTCTCTGAACCCAACTACCGCAATATCATCTCCCCCCGCTTTCGTCGACAAGGCCCCGACAAGGACAGCGACAAGACCGCCGTCATCACTCCCCGTGTTCCAAGGAACAGGGTGGACGTTAGCGCAGTGGAACACCTCCAGATCCCCATGGCCTCCAGCTTCACCGGCCAACTCGTCTCTACTCCCGACTAGCTCGGGCCGGACTACTGGGTGCAGAACTTTGTCTCGCCCGTTCTCTTCGCCGACGCCGTGGCAGCCCTGCTGCAGCTGCAGCACGATCATCCATCCTCCCAGTCTCGACGCCGCCGACGTACTCCTCGCCCCGGCGACTCCTCCGCCTTCGACTTGCTGTTAGAGGTGGGCCCGCACTCGGCGCTCAAGGGTCCCCTGCGCCAGATCCTGCAACACCACGGCATCTCCACGGTCGCCTACACCTCCTTCCTCTACCGCGGAGAGGACGCGGCCGAGTCGGCAGTTCGCGCGGCCTCGGAGCTGTATATGCACGGGGTGCCGGTCTGCGTCAGCGCCGTCAGCCGGTCACCACTGGATACTTCTAGTATCAAGCCGCTCGTTGATCTGCCCTCGTATCCGTGGGATCATTCCCTGAGCTACTGGGCCGAGTCGCGTGTCAGCCGGAACCACCGCCTACGCACCTTCGGCCGCCGCGATCTCCTCGGCACGCCAGCCGCAGACGCCAGTGCGAAGCAGCCTCGGTGGCGCAACAGTCTCCGCGTCCAGGAGCAGCCCTGGCTCCGACATCACGTCGTGCAGTCTAGCACGCTCTTCCCCGGCGCCGGCAGTCTGACCATGGTGCCGGAGGCCGTTCGGCAGCTCGCCTTGCAGTACGGGGATCAGAACGGGGACCGCCCAATCCTGGCAATCGAAAGCATCAAACTGCAGCATGTGCGCATCGCCAAAGCCATCGTGGTTCCAGACGACCCGGCGGGCATCGAGGTGGTGCTGCAGCTGCAGTACGACGACGACATAAGCGACGACCGCGAGAAAGCCTGGGACTTCGCCATCCAGGTCTGCTCGGACGGCCGCTCCCTGGACCCGGCCAGTTCCAGGCGCGTCACGGTGCGATATCATGCTCATGCCCATGCACAAGAAGAACAGGAGGAAGAGGGAGGAGGAGCAACATAGACCACAGGGAAGAAGCTGCTGTAGCAGAGGGCGAGGGCAGAGTACACGGCAGCCATCGACAGCTGTACGCACACCATCGACCCGGCTGTCTTTTACCGGGCCACCCGTGATGCCGGTCTTCAGTACGGCCCCCTCTTCCAGGGCCTGGCCGAGATCGCCGCCGGGCCCCATCGCTGCGCAGCCACGGTGACGGTCGCCGACACCAGGGAATCCATGCCGGCCGGCGCCCAGAGCACGCACCTCATCCACCCGGCCACCCTCGACGCCATCTTCCACTCCATGTTTGCCGCCCTGATGGTGACAGACGGCAAACAGGAAGGGGGTGATGACCAGCTTGACTTGCGACGCGCGGCTGTTCCTATTGCGTTCGACAGCTTGATCTTCTACCCGAGCATACCCAACACACCCGGCGACCAGCTGCGCAGCTGCTGCCTCGTCGAGCGTCGCGGAGTGCAGGATCTCGTGGCCGACAACTATGTCTCGTCCGACATGGCATTCGACGAGCCCAACATCATCGTCCAGGGTACGCGATGCAGAGAACTGCCGCCATCCTCTACCACTGCGGATACTAGCACTTCCCCTTCCCCTAACATCAAAGCGCCTGTGGGAACGCTGGTCTGGAAACCCGATATCGCTTTGCTTGACAACGCAAAGCTAGAGAGCTACTTCTTTAAAAAGAGCGGCGCCATGATAGCGAGCATCGTTGATCTGGCTGCCCACAAGAACCCGGACTTCTTGGCCGTCCTCGAGATTGGGCCCTCCGACCTTGTCGTCGACTCGCTGCTGCCCACTTTGCACTCCGAGTCCACGCAGGATGAGGGCGTGGGTGATGATAAAAAGAACATGCGCTGCTCGCAGTATACCGTCCTGGTTCCGGAGGCAGAGACCATGTCTGCCCTGCAGGAAAGGTTGTCGTCGCTGAGGTCCGACGCCGCGCTGTCAGCCGAAGTCCTCACACCGGATGTCTTGGCAGAGGCGGAAGGTCGGTACGATATGGTCGTCGTCCACGACAGCAGTACATTGGCCACTGCGCAGAGTCAGCAACTGGAGAAATGCATCCGTGCCGGCGGGGTCTTGCTCGTCCGGGGAGAGGGAGAGCTGGGCTGAGGGAATCCGCAGTCCCCTTGGTCCTTTTTGTATTGCTCGCCAACGTCTGGCTGGACACTCGCGAGGAAGGAGGTCGAGATGAATAATGGTATTAGTACTACTAGTACTCCGGCCAGTAACAGCCAGACAATCGTGCTGATCCAACCTGCTGAGCCCGACACCGAACTGAAGGAACTCTCCAACCAACTATTGTCGCAGCTGGCGTCAAGGGGCATGCCCACCGAGCCGGTGCGGTGGTCAGCAGAACTTAAACTAGACCGTCTGCGGGGGAAGATGCTCGTTTTCCTCTTGGAAACACAGTCCGCATTCCTACAAGACATATCGCCCCAAGACTTCGCCGCCCTCAAGACGTTGCTCCTCAACAGCGCGTGAGTGCTGTGGGTCGCCAAGGGCGAGGATCCAGCCATGCAGGCAGCCCTGGGGTATCTGCGCGTCTTGAAGAACGAAAACATCCACCTCGACCCGAGGTACCTGCTCCTTGAGGACAGGGAGGACCGCTCAGCAGCCGAGGTCGCGCAGATGCTGTCACCTATGGTCACATCGAGCACCACAGATCGGGAATACGTGGAGCGGGACGGATGCCTCTGCATCAATCGATGGGTCGAGGACGGCCGTCTCAGCCGTATTATGACCGATGAAGAAGAAGAGATGGCAGCGCAGCGGAACTGCAGCGCCAGAACCGCTTTCAGCAGCCAGTGCCACGAACGACATGGCGGGCTTCACAAGCGGAGGAAGCACTCGGCTGGGCCAGCTCGCACACGCGGGACACAACCATCCTGTGTTTTGAGGCCGACGACATGGTTCCCGTCAGTGCGGATGTCGCCAATCCGCTCGTCCTCGATGCCGGCGCCACGTATCTGCTCGTCGGCGGAACAGGCGGCTTGGGGACCAATCTTGCCACCTTCCTCGCCCGCAAGGGGGCCCGGCATCTTGCCATCGTGTCTCGATCGGGACCATCCTCCCGGAACGCGGCCTCCTTGACGCAAGACCTGGCTGCGGTGGGCGTGCAGGCCACGCTCTACGCGGCCGACGCATCTGACGAGGCGTCCATGCGGGTGGTGCTGGGGCGCTGTGCGGCCGAGAAGCCGCCGATCCGCGGCGTGATCCAGTGCGCCGCCGTGCTCGACGACTCGGTCTTCGACAACATGACGCACGACCAATGGCGGCACGCGACCCGGCCCAAGATGCACGGTTCCTGGCTGCTGCACCAGCTGCTACTGCCCCACGAGAACGGAAACGAAAACGAAAGAGGCCTGGACTTCTTCGTCATGCTCAGTTCCATCGCCGGCGTCGTCGGCAACCGCGGCCAGGCCAACTACGCCGCCGGCAACACATACCAGGACGCCCTGGCCCAGTACCGTCGCCGGCGAGGCCTGCCCGCCGTCGCGGTTGATCTCGGGCTCATGTTGGGCATCGGGCTCATCGCCACCGAGCGCGGGGGCGCCACCAACCTCAAGAAATGGGAAGCCGTGGGCATCCGCGAGCCCGAGTTCCACCGGCTCATGACGGCGGCCATCGCGGGGTGCTGGTAGAAGCAGCCGCTGCCTGCGCAGATCGTCTGCGGCTTGCCCACCGGCGGCATCCTACAGTCGGCGAGGTTGGCGCGGCCCTTCTGCTTTGACGATCCCCGCTTTGCCTATCTAAGGAAGAGTGGTGTCGTCGCCGATGCGGATGCAGATGCTGCTGCCACCGGACGTGATAGTGAGGAAGTCGAGTCGCTTATTACCGCGCAGCTGGGGCGGGTGCAGTCGCTGCGCGAGGCTACCGACGTGGTGAGTAGCGCCCTGCGGCGCCGGCTGGCCCGGGAGCTGCAAACCGACGTCGACAATGTCGATGCCGGCCGCCCGCTGCACGCCTATGGAACTGACTCGCTGGCGGCCGTGGAGATCCGCAACTGGATTGTCGCGCATCTGCAGGCCGAGCCCAGCTTATTTGACGTCCTCGGCGCGGGCAGCATCCAGGCTTTGGCAGCGCAGATTGCTGTCATGTCCAAGGCGGTTCCTAGTACTGTGCAGGAGCAGATTTAGTACTAGTACCAGGTAGAAGAGAGTAGTACTAAACTACCTACTAAGTAGTGCATCTTGGTGGTTGCGAAAAGTCATGCTGTCGTACGCCATTTTGCTGACTCCCTGTTCTGGCTGATATGTAAAAGCAAACATCGAGTTCACCATTTGATGGAGGTGGAGAGGTAAGAACAGAAGTTGTTGAAGTTGCAAACTCGCTGTCGCACCCGCCGGGAATGGCGCAACTCCCGATCGGGTATAGCGCCGCGTCTGAACTGCCCCCGCTCGCACGGCCTAGCCCGCCCTTGGCATAACTAAGAGCCTCGCCGACGTCCCATTTTTGTACTCTCGACTTAACAGTTCAGTGATTGCACCTCAAAATGTTCAATCCAATCCGATGGGCGGCTCAGGATTGGATTGATTGAACTGTTCGGAGCGCTGGACGAGTTCACGACCGAACTTCAACGAACCGGATGTAGTTATCCGTAGCGTGCCAAGGGCCCCGTGCCTCTGGGCGAAATGAATCCTTCCATCCACCAATCCACCCATCGATCCATCCATCCATCCATCCTCCACACCGCACTCGCCCATGTTCGTAGACTCGTTTTGATCACTGCGTCAGCCACATCAGCGAGAAATTCCAAATCTACCATACAACTCACAGAATATCGCCGAGGACTCCGTCATGGCCAGCCATCTCTCCATCTTGTCCGAGCATGTTCTCGGGGACATGACAGCCCGGTACCTGATCGCTCCAGAAGGACAAGTCGGATTATGGCTGTATCCCACGGCGATGAGCGACCTAGCACAGCGGCGCCCAACCGTGGCGAACGAAAGCTGGGTTCGTAGCCACTCCAAAGCCAGGCCAGCAATGGTTGTCGAGCCGTTGGTGCATGTCAAGCTATCGGGCGACGACGAGCCGCCACAACTCGGCACGGGCCGAACCCTGCTGTGGTCGTCGTCCATTGATCGGTTCCGGCTTCTGGATCAACGGGTGGAAGCAAACACAGTAGTCACAACGCTGTACGACGATACCGGACTGCACATCAAGCACCGCCTTTCTGCCGGTTTCCGGGGGCTCACAGTCCAGAGTGAGACCGTTTTCGAGAACAACTCTAGCTCTCCAGTTCGACTCGAGTTGTTGACGTCGTTCTCTCTGAGCGGCATCACCCCTTACGCCACCGACGACGCACCTTGTCGCCTCCGCGCTCACCGATTCCGGTCTGTCTGGTCCGCTGAAGGACGTATGGTTACCGAATCCATCGAGCAGCTCCACCTAGAAAGATCCTGGGCGGGCAACATGAACTTCTCGGAGCGATTCGGCCAGGTTGGGTCCATGCCGGTGCGCGGGTGGTTCCCAACCGTGCTGGTCGAGGACACGGAAGCGAAAGTGGTCTGGGGGGCGCGGTTGGCGATTCCTACGAGCTGGCAGCTTGAGCTGGGTCGGCGGTTTGATGATCTGGTTCTCGCCGGTGGACTGGCAGACCGAGAATTCGGTCACTGGACAAAGACAGTCGAGCCAGGCCAGTCGTTTACCACTCCACAGGCTCACTTGACATGTGTCGCCGGATCGGTGGATGAAGCTTGCGATCGCCTGATCAGCGTTGATGTTCCCGCGATCGAAGCCCAGCCAGCAATGGAGCAGGACCTACCGATCGTTTACAACGACTACTGCACAAGCTGGGGAGAGCCTCGCGAAGACCAGTTGCTCGCTATTGCCGACAGGATCGCGCCGCTTGGTGTCCGCTACTTGGTCATCGACGCGGGTTGGTACATGCCAATGAACTCGGGTGCACACTGGGCGACGACTCTGGGCGACTGGCGCGCGCATCCAAGTCGATTTCCCAACGGACTGGCAGGTACGGCGGCAGCAATCAGGAAACGCGGGCTTGTTCCGGGTATCTGGATGGAGCCTGAGCATGTGGCGAAAGACTCAGACGCGTTCGCTGAGACCGACCACATGCTGACAAGAGATGGGAAACCACTAACGTTGGGGCTCCGTCGCGCCTGGAACTTGCACGATCCCTATGCGAAGGCGTACATTGAGGACCGTGTCATTGGAATGCTTGGTCAAGCCGGGTTTGGTTATGTCAAGATCGACTACAGCGAAACGCTCGGCATTGGTGTCGACCATCCCGACGGGCTAGGAGAGGGGTTGCGGCGCCAGGGCGAAGGCTCCCATGCGATATTTGACCGGATCAGAGAGGCGTTGCCCGACCTAGTGATCGAACTCGTCTCGGCTGGCGGACACCGTATGGAGGCGTCGTTTCTCCAGCGTGCCGCAATGTGCAGCTACTCGGACGCGCACGAGACAATCGAGATACCCATCATCGCCGCGGCCGTACACCGGCTGATGCTGCCCCGGCAGTCTCAAATCTGGGCTGTCCTGCGCCAAAACGACTCTCTTCAACGAATGAACTACAGCATGGCGGCGACATTCTTGGGCCGGATGTGTCTTTCCGGCGATATCCTTGACCTGGATGAAACTCAACTCTCCGTTGTGGAGTCTGCAATCGAGCTCTACCAGAAAGCTGTTCCGGCTATCAAGTATGGCAAGAGTCGAATCAAGGGCGATATCGGGCCCAGCTGGCGCCACCCAAGAGGCTGGCAAGGCGTGGTTCGGACCACGGAAGACGATGGAATTGTCGTCATACACACTTTCGAGCAGACACCCGAGGAATTCTCTGTCCAACTGCCCGGGACGGATTGGCGAATCGTTGAGGTGCTCACTCCTCTAGCAGTCAACATGGATGGCGACTGCCTTAAGGTCGTTGGTGCATCGGCTTTCGATAGCCAAGTTGTCCTTGTGCGAAGAGGTGCAGTTTAGACTTCACCATTGGGTTGGCTGATGGGAGAAGTGCTGCGTTCCGCAGTTCAACTCTGCCTAGAAGTAGTAAGTAGGTTCGTATACTTAGGTACTAGTAGCTAGTGGCTCGCACACGGTCGTCGTCCAGTTCAAATGCATCTTGTCACTCTGTTCATTCTGACAGATGGCGCACAGTTTGTGGGAATAGCCTAGCTAGAACAAACAGCTTATAAAACAACCTCAACGATCCTAAGCCGAGACACGTCACACAGCCCATCCCCTTGAGTTGTTGCCCATAGATTGCTACAAAATGAGAAGGTGCCGCGAAGCTGGGGAGTAGAAGTCCATCGTAACCCTGTGGCATGGAGTTCCGCGTGTCCGCATGTTAAGATACCAAACAAAGCCCTAACTAAGGGTGGGGTAGATATATCATTTCCCGCGAACTCTCAAAAAACAACTGACGAGACTGCGGTTTGCATATCTTCGTATTACTATCAAGGGCTTGCCCCTCCCCCTTAGCGCTCAGGGCAGATTTTGCCCGTGAGTAACTCGACCTTGGGATTGTTCGCTCGGAACGAGGCCCCGAGATTGGTCTTCTGCTGTGGGCTCAGCTTGCCCTTTACGATGGAGAGCTCGCGGTAGCGCAGAGCGCGGCGGGTGCCGCCTGCGCCGAGGCCGCCGAGCACCATGGCAAGGATGGCGACGGGTGCTATCTCGGGATTCTCGACGAGGGAGTAGACGGCAATCAGCACGCGCCATCATGGCGCCGACGCGGCCCAGGTTGCCAATGGCGGCGCCCACAAAGGGGATAAGGAAGAGGATGCCCTCGACGATCTTGAGGGTGAGGTGCTTGGTCCTCCGCCGCTGCTCGTCCTGACCGATCTTCTTGACCTCCTTTATCGACTCTACGGCGTCCTCGAGGAGGAACACGGGCATAGCGAGGACCTCGACGGCATCGGCCGGACTGCCCTCGAACAGGTCAAGGCCGAGCATCATATATATATCGTCGTACTAGGTCCATATGGTGTCGAAGTTCTTACGCGCCTTGTCCACTACGGTCTTGGGGTTCGGCACCTCGAAGTCCGGCTTGCCGGCGGGGAAGCCCCAGTGCACCTTGTCGAAGTTGAAGCACATGCCTATACCGCCAGAGGTCTGCTCGTAGCGGAACTCCTGCGTGTACTTGCCAAAGTCGACCTATTCCAGGTCAATACCCTCATTGGCAAGCGTCTTATTAAGGCCATCGCTATCGTGTAGCTCCTAGAAGAAGGTATAACTCTGCATGTACTCGTTGGGCGGATTTGCAGTCGTACTTGCTGGCGTCCTTGCGCTCACCGACTTCGCCCTCGGTGTAGTAGCAGTCGAAGAAGCCGGCAATTGGCTGCTCGCCGTCGATCATCATGCCGCAGAGACGCTCGCTCAGTGTGTCGTGCATGAAGTTGCGATAGAAGCCGAAGACGTCGTCGTAGCCGCTCATGGACTTGTCGATCATCCTCTGGAAAGCCCTGATGGCGTTCATAGCGACGCACTCTCCCAAAGACTTGTCGGCGTCCGTGATCACGCCATCGAGGTTGTTATAGTCCTTGAGCTCGCACTTATAGGAGGGGTCCATAGCGTCAATATCGACGTTCGAATCGGAATTAGCCTTGCACTCGGCCTGCAGGTCGACGGCCCAGTCGCTGACGCCGCCAAAGTTGAGATCCTTATACCATTGGGCGCGCCGCTCATTGGTCGGACTGTCCATGTAGGACACCCACTCGGTCGCGTTGTAGACCAAGACGTCAGAATCAGACGCCTAGTCGTAGTAATCGTAGTACTCACCGCCGATGCTGTCGTAGATCTTCTTCAGCTGGCAGATCTCGGCCTCGGAGATATATCCAGACGTGTTGGTGCAGTTGCCCAGTTCGCAATCCTCGCTATATATTCATTTAACATGTTAGATCAAACTGAACAAGAGCGCGAAGCAAGAGATACCTAGGAAATGTAGGTAAAGTACTACTCACGCAGCGTACTTGTTGCCGACGTCCCACTGGCCATACAGATCGTACGTCATATAGACAATATAGTCGACCACCTTAGCGATATCGTCAATAGGAAAGTGGCGGAGATACCAGTACACGCCGGAGCAGCGAACGAGATAGTCTTGCCTGCAGGAAGACGTCGCTTCACCATCTTTAGAAACTCCAGATAGTTGTTGCCGTCCTCGGTAGTCCCCGGATCGGCGCCTTCGATGTCGTCGGCACCGGGATATTCCCAGTCGAAGTCAACACCAGCCAGACTGTGCGTCTTGACAAAGTCAACGACGTTGGTAGCAAAGACGAGACGGTTCTCAGGCCGGACGGCCCGGCGGATGATGTGGCTGGTGGGATGCTCGTTGGAAAAGGCCCAGGCTCCGTAAGAAAGGACCTGCTTGAGCTTGGTGCCCGTCTTGACGAACTTCTCAAACTGCTCCTCGGCGTCCTTGACGCTGGCGGTGAAGTCTTCGTTGATCCAGCCAAAGGCGAGGTGGATGATGGTGTGCGGTCGGTAACCTCGTCGACGCCCATGTTTACTGCGAAGAAGGCCCATCATCGTATTGTTAGCGGCTTAAGTACCTAAGGTAGTTTCGAGTGCCTAGGACAAGGAAGAGTAGTACTTACAGCACGGGCGGTTGTGATTCCAGGCCTCAAAGTACGCGATGCGCTCAAACTTGGCCGGCGCCTGTTTGTTGTTGACAATATCCATGCCACAGTTGGAGATGCAGCCGTACGTGTCCTTCGCGGCGGTGGCGGGGGCCCCATCGACCGTGGTGTCGATACAGAAGTCGATAGCGGTCCCGCACTGACCCCAGGTATTACAGCAGACGTTGAGCGGGCACGGGTTCAGGGCGGCCAGGTCGGTGCCGTTGGTAGGACGAACGGTGCCGGGCTTCTGGGGACCACAGAGGGCGTTATCGATGGCAGCGGGGAGGGGCGGATTGCCGTCGCTGATGCAGACGATCATGTCCTGCTTCATCTCCCTGCACTCGGTGAAGCCCCACGTCTTCTTCCGGTTGAACTTCTCGATGTCGCCCTGCTCTAGCAGATACTTCTCCTGGATGTCGAAGCAGAGCTCGTCCTTCCGGACGACATGGGTGGCGCACGAGCCGTCGGGGTTCTTCTTGGGCCGCAGGTCGGGCTTGGTGCCCTGGGAGCAGCAGACTACCGACTTGAGCTTGAGGTTGGCGCAGAAGGACTGGCTGCCGCCGTTGAACTTGGCGAGCTGGCCGAGGCTGACCCGCTCGGGGCAGCGGCTCTCGGCAGTGCTGTCGCAGGTGTCGCCTTGCTGGACCTGCACGTACTTGCACGTGCCATCGGTGTTCGGCTTGGGATCCATGTTCGGCATGGTGCCTGGCAAGCAGCAGACGTAGTCGCCGGGCTTCATAGAGCCGCAGATCTTGTCACTGCCGCCGTTGTACTTGTAAAAGTCGTCAACCGAGATCTTGGGGTTGCACCTCCGCTGGGCCATGGACCAGCAGCCGTCGCCGGACTCGACGCGCGCAACTTTGCAGTCGGCGCGGGCCTCGAGCGTGGTGCCGACAGCACTGACGCGGAACGGGTGGCTTGCCGGGTTGGGCGACTGGTCCGGTCGCAGGTGCTGACTGGCGATTCTGCCGTGGCTGCGTCTCTCGGCAGCCAGAGTTGAGTAACTCGAGTTGCCGCTGCTGGTGGCGTTGGCGTGGAGCACGGCGTCTGCGCCCATGGTCATGGCGATAGCCGGGATGATCTTGAACTTTTGATCCTTCCACGTCTCGGAGGCGCCGAAGCCCGACAGGCACTCAGCCTTGGTCCATTGGGCAATGGCGTCGCGCACGGCGTCGACAGGGCCGGTCGTGTCGTAGATGACGCCGAAGGTGTGCGCAGCCGACCGCTTGCCCGCTGGGCCGCAGACCTGAGCACTGGCCTGGCGACTCGGGACGCTGTTGATGTTCCCGGGGGCGAACTCGTTGAAGCGCTCCAGGAGGGGTGCCGCGGACGGCTTGCGTATCTCGGAACCGACGTATAGGCCCACGACTGTGTCGCCCGCCTTGGCGAGAATCGACGTGGCGTCGCAGGTCGGGTCCTCGAGGAGCATCTTCCAGATGTGCCGCAAAGTGGAATCCCGCCGTGGGCAGCAACTGCGAGAGCATGTGGGACAAGACTTATGTCTGTGTTGCCGTTCTGTAACCCCTGACGGGCCGGATGACACATGTTGAATTGGCGCAGTCAGATAATAGATGAATGAAATGAAGTCGACAATGCCGATCACGAACCTCTTCTCCAAAAGCCATTGCTCTATCACGGCGAGAAACTTGATACTATTATCCACATCCACTGTAGATACTCTCGGCTATCCAACTCAAATATAAGACACCGGCTCGGGAAGCAGGACTGGAAATCCTTGTCTTGCTGGAAGTAAACCCCTTGAGAAGGGATCTCTAACCACTGAACAGATGGACAATCCAATGCCCACCTCCCGGAATGTTTCGACCAGACAGTCGAGATCCTCCCTCGGCGGTATTCTTCGGACCTCAAGCGTAACAGACCCAAGCTTCGGAAAACGGGCACGCTCTCGGGCCATGGCCAGAATATCCCTGAACACAATCGGCCAGTAGAAAATGCAACCCAGGCGAAGACGCACCAGCGATGGCGGAAGCTTTGCCAGAAACTCGTCCGTCGTCACCGCCTCACAGCTACGGTCGCTCTCCACGTTGTCGGGCTCCTCAAACACCGGCCCGTACAATACAAGCTGCTCCAGCTCCAGCGTCTCAAGAGCAGAGAAATCCTTCAGCGAAAGGCCAGCCTCAAACCCCCCGAGCCTATGCCAAGTAGGGTCAAAGTAGTCCTCGTCATCATCTTCATCGGTCCCGTCATACTCCTCGCCCTCACAAACATCATCTTGCGTCAACCTTGCCTTAATCGGAAAGGCCGAATAACACAACCTCTTCAGCGTCTCCTTCGCAGTGCCCAGGTGCCTTTCTGGATCTAGCACAGGCCGTCCAAACGTCACGCCGCCCTGGAACAATTCCAAATCCTCAAACACGGTACTGTGCCGGACGATAGCCTCGGCCTCCTCGACGCCAATATTCTCGCCGCTGATGGACAGCTTCCTCAACCGGGGCAACTCCACATCCCACGGCAACGCCTTCAAGCCATCGCGGCCGCCCACCCATTGGTGCGGGTCAGGCCCGTCGGCGCCGCAGTCGGCCGCGACAAGACTCTCCAGGTTCCTCGCGCACCGTAGAAACGCCCGAGCCTCCTTGACATGGAACGAGTACTCCTCCCGGGGCCAGCCCTTGCGCCACCCAACCAGCACCACGTGCCGGAGCCCTTCCATCGGATGCGTCCAGTCCCTCCACGTCCTGGCGGTGACCCGCCCAGGAACCCGCGCTGCAGCAGCACGTACGTGACGCCCGGCGCGAGCGTGATCGCGAGGTCCTGCAGGTCGTCGAGCGAGCCGTACTGCCGGAGCGTGTGGTCGTCGTCGTCGTCCCTGACCGCGAGCACCAGCTGTTCCTCGTGCGGGACGTACAGGAGGTAGTCGTTGGGCGTCCAGAGGACCAGGCTCCGGACGGATGCGGCCAGGTCGCGGCGGCGGTGGAGGGTGCGCACGAAGCGGGCGAGGCGCCGGCGGGTGTCGGCGTGGCCGGCGAGCGAGTGGAAGAAGTGGAAGAGGACCGGCTGGGTGGCAGCGCGCAGGTGTCTGGAGGACGCGCTGAGACTGGCGAGCGCGCTTTGGTCGTGAATCGCGCTGGCGGCTTCGTCGTGGGGGATTTCGCCGATGCGGGGATGGCGGCAGTGGATGCACAGGTTGCCGCTGATTTGGATGAGGATCTCGGCGGGGAGGGTGAGGAGGGTTGTGGGAGCGGGGATGGTGCTGGGGGTCTGGACATTGAGGCTTGCCATTGCGTGTTGTATGGTAGGCGACAGAGAAAATTTACTCGTAGTAGTCGGAAGCTGTTGAGGGAACGATAATAATCGGACAGTGTGGTCAATTTGATGACCTTGTTGATTTTTTGTGATTGTTGTTGTTGCTTTTCGAAGTAGGGAAAGAAATCCCAGGGCAGAAGCAGGGCGGATGAGAGCTGTTGGAACCACGGTGATGCGCATTACAATAAAGCAGGCCAAAGAAATGGAACCGTAGGTGGTTTTTCGGGATGATGTACCCTGGAACCTAACCATTCATTGTTTTATTATTTATTCAAGAGGTCGAAGATCCGTCGCTGTCGACGGAGATGGGCCTATTAGCACCGCCAAGACGCTAATCTAAGGCATGCTGCTGCGTTGCATGCATGACCCCCCTTATTATAGCAAGACCCTATGTGGTCGGTCCGGCGGATCCGTCTCAATGCCCTTGGCGTGAGGCACCTTCAGGCTTCAAACGGCCAGGTTGCACTCGTTTGACTTATGTCTCCGGTTCCTACATCAGGTCCCAATGGTTTGGGGCACTCGCGAATGCTTCTCCTGTTGAACGCCAGAGCTCCAAGTTTCTGTCTCCTATTGTAAGACGCTTCTCGAAGTTCACTATGTCGAGAAGCAGCCATCCTCCAGCACCCTCATCATCTGGTGATTCATATACAGCCAATTCCCCAGCTGTGCTCCCTGCTGATCGACCTCCATGGTAGTGTCGCCAGGCACGGCAAACGGCGCAGCCGGTGTCCAACCAGGGACGGACGAGTTCTCGCTAATAAAAGCAACACCTGCAGGCAACTCTGCGCTATCTGAGCCCGGGAACGGCATCTGCTGCGCGGCCTGATGACCCGTCGTGTCCGGCATCGCCATCGGCGTCGGCTGTTGATAAGGCGGCTGCATCGGCAGCGAGGCCCTGGCATTCCAGGCATTGACTCCCGAGTCTCCGGGCCGGTTCACCACGCCTGTCTTCAACTTCATATAGCTGCAGGCGACGTCGTACAGAGCCTTGAACAGGCGGAGCTCTTTCTTGATGCCAGGGGAAAAGAAGTCCGCTGCAGGCGTTTCAAGGATCTCGACGAGATTTCCGAGACGATCGAGGTCGGCTTGGTTGCAGGTCTCGATAACGTGACAGAAGAGAACGGTGAAAGGCACGAAAGGGGATTGAAGTACGGCCCTGTGAACCGTCAGTCTTTCCACTACCATCCGACTCAATGACGATGTGGTGCTCGCGTACCAGTTAAGGTATGATTCAAGAAGCTCATCCTCCACCTTTGTTAGAATGGCTATGCACCTCTTGTGTTCTTCAAGGGCTTCGCGAGCACTGGCGATGCAGTCCTTTCCAAATACTGTACCGTCACCTGGTTCCGGGGGTATGGCCCGGTAGATAAGACAGAAGAGGGACAAGTGGCTGACCCTAGTGATGTGGTCGAAGGCGTCGAAGAACTTGACACCAATCGCCTGGCCGACCGCGTCCTTGTAGCGTCTCTGGAAGGTTGTCAGGAAGCAAAGACGGTAACACTTAAGAGAGCTGCTAAGGAAAAGGAGCTGAAAGGGAACAGGTACTAGTTGGGAGTTCGAGAAAAGCAGGTGCCTTACATCGTCTGCCGTTGTCTCCGTTGATGTGTGCGCCTGCAATTTCGATGCTAGATGTCTTGCCCGAGCAACGCGGATACCCTGTGGCTGGATCAGTGCGGCAGGGCTATATATCTGATCATAGATCATGCCTTGAAGCCTCGCCATGTCGACCAGTTTCTTCATGTGGGCGAGCTTCGCCGCTCCTGACTTCGAGTCCATCATCGGCAGAGGGACAGTGACATCCCCGTCTCGGATGGTGGAGGACCGGCCAAGGCGAAGAGAGAGGGCCTTTTCATACATGTATATGATCCAGAACATCTGGATCTTCTGGGCCTTGAGCTCCGGACTGTCCTGCGCCATGGCGACGATGTTGTGCATTCCCAAGGTTTGGCTCATGTGGGAAGCCGTGGCGATGAAGTTCCAAGCAGCTGACGGTTTGCAGACTTCATTACAATACATGGCCTGTTTAGGGAAGTCGGACACGTCAGCAGGTTCCCGATGGTTATGTAGGATGCGCGGTACCTACGGCCATAGTCATAGCGGATGTGGTGTCCACGCTTGACGGTAGATGGAATGGCAGGTTGGACAGGACCGTCTCGAGATTGTCTCGACACAAGGTTGCCTGCTCTGCGTAATGGGCCTTTGTGCTGGGCTCTGTGCTGACGCTCTTGCAGACATTGAAGAGCCAATAAAGACCGGAGTTGACGATGATGAGGTCGGCATGGTTGACATCGCCAGGCGAGTACACCTTGAGGAAGAGCTCTGTGAAGCGGGGGACCGAATTGGCTTCGTGATTCCAGAAGAATCTCACCCGGGGATGTTCTGTGAAGTAGTAGTAACTGTCTGTCAGCACACCGACAGCTTGGACTCCGGAGAAACACATACCGTTGGCCATCCTGAGGCACGTGAGGGCTGACTCGATAGGCGGCATGGGAAGATTCCGAACCGTGCAGCCAGGCTCTAGGGGTTTAGCATGAGGGTAAAGGTAGTCAGCATCCTGCTGGTCGGTCTGCGCACCGAGAGTGCGGCTCAGCGAATCCAGCACGGAGGCCATTTCACCGGTGATGTCGATAGAGGGCCTGTGGACAATGGCATCGTGGAGGAACCGGTTGGCAAAGGCGGCCTGGGCCGACAGAGACGACTCTCCCTCATACTCCAACTTTGGCGTGAGGATCTTGCGCGCCTCGCAGCTGCCTAGAGATGCTGTCGTGGGCGCTCCGGGTGGCAGGTTGGGCGGGGCCGACGTCGTGCGTGGTGCGTTCGCTTGGGGTCTGTCATGGAGATTGCCCAGGGCGTAGCCCAAGTCATCCAGTTTCTTTGCGATGAAGTCAATCTTCCTCTCGCTGAGTTCGCAGGGTCAGTCACCGTCAGAGGCAACCCCAGGAACTGTTGACTCTGGGAAGGCGAGCCGAACTTACTACAACTCAGAGATGAAGACCCTTTGACGCTTCTCTTTGGGTTTGTGCATTGGGTAGGTGCAGGGGACATCAATGCGGGCGCAATAGGAGCATGGGTGCCGTCGGTCACACCGGACCTGTGGATTCCGCACTCAGCCTGGGACGACCCAACAGCTAGAATACGGTAGCGAGGCTCGGAGTACTTACTTTGCGACGTCGGCATCGATCACACTAGGGAGGCGGAAGTCAGCGGCGGGGTTCGGGCGCGGGAGTTCTAGGTGTGACTTGCCGATAACTTGGAGGGCGGGATTTTGTCATCGTCCTCTTTCTCATTGGCATTATCGGAGTGCTGAGGCACCGGCTCATGGCAGTCGCTGGTACTGTCCGAGTCCATTGGCCTCCTGTCCGATACGTTTCCCAGGCCGTGGTGTGTCTGACAGTCTGATACAGTGCGAGAGCGTCCCGGCCAATGAAACAGAACGCGGGCCGCGGAGGCGTCGTCGATCGACTCGATTGAACGAGGTACAACCTGAATCAGCAGCTCAGCCCGATGACGAAACGGTGGTGGGCTGCTAGACAGGACGCGGCTTACTGTCAGCGCAGGCCAAGTGGCATACCAAACGGCATAGGGATGGAATGGAAGGCGGCTGGAAGGGCTGCTTGTTCTCCGAAGCCCGATGGGGGGAATTGCAGGCAGTGGGGGACGAGGATGATGTGCGGTTGCCGCTTAGTTCGAAACTCCGGAATAACTTGGCTCCGAGTTTCCTGTTTGCCCTATTGTCTGTCTTTGCTTGTCCGGTAGTACTCCAGGATCAGTACCTGGTCGTCCACGCGTTTTGATGTATTGCGGCAGGGGGTGCGGAGTCCAGGAATTCTTGCATGCCGCGTTCCGGCCGCAGTCTGCAGATGCTTCGGGCGCGGTTTCTTGGCAGTCCGCGTCCGCCGACTCCAATGGTGCTGAACCAGGACGGCGTTGAGAACAGTGATGTTATCCTAACAAAGCATCACCAATGAGCTGGGATCTCATGACCCTATCTAGCTGATTGCATGCTTATGCGGTAGAATCATTGCCACTTACAGCTGAAGTTACGAGTTACTCTGCCCTGCACCTTGCGTCCTCTTTGATTCCGGCACCTGCCATCTATGCTTCATTAACAACTTCAACCGCGAACTTCTTTCACTTACTTAACTACGATACCCTAATCGAATATGCCGAAGTTGACGAGGATGAGAAAACAGCAACTAGCCGACGAACCAAAGTGGCAAAGCCTCCTGGCTGACTAAAAGCCCTACGAAGAGCGATGAAAAGCCGACGGCGGGTTTCGGGAGCCTTCTCGTTAAGTGGTTCCAAGCATACTTGCTGTTCCCGGTCCTAGACTCGCTGACAGTACGCGCGATATAGAGTGTCTTCAAGCACGGACTCTGGGTAGACGCCTAGCAGTGTATCGGGCGTCATCGACACCTGTCTTCAGGGGATCAACTTTAGCTACCCTTGGACCGGATGTCAAAGTTCTTGATAGCTTGTCCCTTTAGATTACTGCTCTGAAAGTCACGGCCCTCATGGTATGTCCATCCACAACAAAGTCCCTATAGCTTCCGCTTCAACCTAGTAGTGTCTGATCACCCATGCACGGGACGCAAGCGGCTCCGGCAAGAGCACGATTATCGCCGCCCTTAAGAGATAGCACGATCCTTCTGCTAGTTCGACCAAAGGCGACGGAGTCAGCATCCGTGACCGATTCGTCAGCTGGCTTCGTATGACTATTCGCCTCTTTACAACTGGTTACTAAGATGTGCGGGGCCCTCGTCATCCTTCTATATCGGCCTCGATAGCATCTTGATCCACCAATCACGCCAGTGCGACTTGAGTCAGGAATCGGTTTTCCTCAACGGCAGCATGCTTGAGAACGTTTCCCACCGCCTGGTGGGGACGCCATAGGAGAACGTCTCACGTGAAGACCAGCTGATAGTAGCTACTAATCCCTAAGCTACCTACGCATATGACACGGTGTTCCCATGTCGGGGTAGACTTATAGTTGGATCTATCCGCAATACGATGCTCATTCCCGCGAGGCAAGAGTCGGGAATGTCATTTCCCACCACTCGGTCACCAAGTTGCAGGGGTAGTATAACCGAAAGGCTGGTCTATAGCTGCATGGGCAAACACCTACCTAGACGGGCATTTCATGCCGTACGACCTACGGGAATTGACAGCTGCTATGTTGTGCTACCCTCCAAGTTGCCCATCATAACCAGCCTAGGTACAAGTATTTGTGACACTCCTGCAGCGTCACATTTGCTCGTTCAGCCCTGGCGGACACAGTCGTTGTCGTATGTTGGTCGATAGTACGCAGAGTCTTACCGGAGAAGCCGGAAGGTGTATTTCGTTTAGGGAAAATGCTGCGTGGAAGTGGCGAGCTGAGCTCAATACGCTACAGGAGCCAATCGTACAGTTCGGGATGTGTCTGTGATCTAAGTGTATGCTGTGAGTCGGTGATTCGACTCCTAATCCAATCATCCAATCTTCTGGCCACACATAACGGACAGGGCTTTACTAGACAAAGTGGGGAACTCGGCGAAATTGATGTCAGAAGCTTCCCAGGATGGGCTGAGTGACATAGCATCGGTGGCCGGCAAAGGTCTCAGCTCGATCATTGAACCGATCCCTTGCCTATTCGAGTCAACCATCTAGGCCTCCAATCACGGAAATGAGTTCACGTAGCACCAGAACCGAGTAAACTATATTGAAACATCCTTCAGTTCTTCTTATTTCATCCTACGTGTATCGCCTCTACGATATGGGTAACTACACTAATAACATTCCCGCCACTTACACGCTGAGATTAGGTATATAGGACTCACGCTGTTATCGTTTGTCTAGCCTGCTGATAACATGAAGTATAGAGCTAACTAAGATAAGTGTATGACTTTCCAGTCGGGTTCAGCGTATAGTTACTAGTTGGCGCGTTAATATACCAGGAGTCGTCTGCCTCTGCACAGGTCCCGCGGTTACCCAGCTGGCTAGCCATAAAATGTCCAAACAAGTGTATTGTAGCCAGCTGGCGAGGACTCTCCAAGTACACTGCCCGAACTTGAGTGAGCAGAGGAAGTAATAAGTACTACGCTTGGGAGTACTAGTAGTGACAATTAACTACCCTCGAAGTGTGCTTCCTGTAGCCAACAGTGGATTGTGCGTTATGGCTATCGGTCCCGTTCATGTAACCAGGAAGAGACCGCGTGCCATGGTGCACCAGTCTCGTTGCGGGTTGCCGTAATCGTGCTACTTCGGTGTTGGCAGAAGGCTCTACATACCTTAGCTTGTCCTGCCCGAGCTTCTCCGAGGTCCTCAACGAGGGTTAGCCCACTAAGACACCTGATGGTGTAGCACTATCCTGGATCCAGTCAACCGACTATCGGGCCCAGCCCGTCTCGTATACACCGGCTAGGCAGGCTTGATGGCTTTCAATATTCACTACATCCAGAGGTAGATCAGCATGTCGGAGGACTTATATGAACTCGAAGGAATCGGGTATTCTGCAATGGAGGATCAACACTGATCGCCGATCTTGACAGCACCTAAGACACATAGCCTTCTCATATCACACCGGTCACGTCAGCCACAGTTGCACCGGACACACAATGGGAGCTTTAACAGACGGTCTAAGCTGCTTATGCTATGAGCCGATAATACGAGCAGGCGGAGAGGCACTGCTCGTCGTCATCGACAAGGCTGACTCGGCCGCTCCAGCTATGCGATTGCTATATAAGAGACGCAAGTTCCTCTCCTATCATCAATATCCTGGTACAATACAACCGCTTCAAACCCTGAGACCTTCACATCCCCGCTTTCGAAGGCTATGAACATGGTTGCCGACAAGCTGTCTCGTCTAGGGGCACTCCTCGTTCTTGCAGCCCCGGCAATGGCCATTGACATCCCAGCCATTGCTACCACCACAATTCCATACTTAGGATCCTGCACTGACAGGATCACCTGGGCACCCTGCGATGGCCAAACAATTGTCGTTGTGCAGACGCCCATTGCAGTGCCCGTCTGCTCCACCACGGTGAACCCAACCAGCACCAGCTCCGCTCCGGCCTGGACACCTACGCCGAGCGGCGCCTGCTTGGTCAATCCTTTGTGCACCCCAGCTGGCCTCGACATTTCTTACTACGCCAACCCCCTTGGCGGCTACAGCAGCGGCAACCCCCCTTCTTCCTACTACCTGACCGAGGGTCTCGAGCCCCTAGACTCCTCCCTGACCAACGTTACCTTCTTCCCACAGAACTACAACGCCCCAGCTGGCTCGCAGGTGGTCTACCCAAATCCCAATTACCCCTCAGGTGCGTACTGGGTTGGATGGACGCGCGACACCAATGGCGGCGTGATCGTCGACGCGAACAACTTCACCGTGGTATACCAAGGCTTCTACCGGGCGCCGACGACGGGCACCTACACCCTGTGCTCGACGGCCGACAACGAGAACGACGTCTTCTTTGGCCATGACAACGCCCTCAGCTGCCTGGACGGCAAAGCTCCCGCCGACGCCACCCCGCTGCTCACGACTACGGGTGGGAACTACATCAACGGCATCGTGTGCAAGACGGTCGACCTGACCGCGGGGCTATACTACCCAGTTCGAAATGTCATGGGGAACTGGCAGGGTCCGTCGGCGTTCAACTTTACGATTCAGGGGCCAGGCGCCGCGGCGGATGATCGAGCGCATGACTTTACGGGGCTGGTGTATCCAGTCAGCTGCGGATCATTCCTTTGATCCTTATGGCGATGTTGAAAGGGCTAGCCGAGTGCCGGGACGGGGGACAGGGGATGAAGGCCCTTTTTCTTTTCTGATCTTGTTTACTTACTTTTGAATGGAACCTACTAGGTACTAAGGGTAACCTGTCGAGCCATCCGGCAGGCAGGTGTTCAACACACCAGAACGAACTCGTTGCTGCGGGTGCAATTTATATTTCGAGTCGCAATCATGTTCTTTGCGCGTTCCATCCCGTAGTCGTGATACATGCTTACATTAGTTTCACATTACAACGACGTCAATGATACTTTGGTAAGGGGCTGGCCTCGACGGGCGGTGTTGTGGTGGATATTTCCCGTCCAATGACTGACTGCAGCTCATACACATAGTACATACAGCTATACCCTTGAGCCGGACTTTGTAGCATCGCGTCTCTTCTCGATGGTTTTGTTTCATCGCTTCTTTGTTCTTCTCACTCCTAAGCTGACCGGTATAGGCTTGATCGTTGGGCAATCAGGACATACACTTGGCGGCCCCCGAACCTAAGGTATGTTTCCAGTCGTCATTAGCTTTAAATAACTCCGAGGCTCTAGTATTCGCTTGCTGAATACGTGCAAGCTCTCTACATAGTATTCTTGACCCCTTTTTGCGCCTCTTTGCGGCCAACTCCGATCATCAGCCAGCTGCTGTTGAGAGCAATCCTTCTGACGTCATTCAGCTGTTATCGGAAACGGGGCAAACTTCCTACCTGTCTGCATTGCACCATGACCCTTTCCTGACTACTGTGCTTCTAAGCCAGAGAAGCGTCACATCATGTCCGAAGCGAAAGTAACTCAGTTTCCCCTGGATGACCTGCCTGCCTGGTGCGCCCGTCATGGTGTCAAACTCCATCCCCTGATCAAAGCAGTCAACGTCGACGGACACGGGAATGGATGGATCGCCCTTGAGAGTAATGGCCCTTTCAGCTCTCAGGACGAGGTATTGCTGCTCAGCATTCCACGAGAGGTCATTTTCTCGACTGCGTACGTCAAGGAATATGCGAATGCAAATGAATCCTTCCGCCAACTGTTTGAAGCTTTACCGGAATTCAGTGTAAGTGAATACAGTTGCGGGAACATGAAGGAAGTTCCTTACGGCATGATGCTAAATGGTGCCGCGGCAGGTCGAGCCCCGCCTCCTTATTATCCTCTTCATGTTGGTGCAGCTAGCGCTTCTCCAGTCATCGTAACGCCCGAGCGAGAGGTCGCAGCCAGACAGAGATGTGGTCGAGCCCTGGAGGGAATACACCCTTCTCCAGTCAGCCGACGTCCTCGTCTCCACGATGTGGTCACCCGCCGAGCTATCCCCACTCAAGGACACGTCCCTCGAGTCAACAGTGGCGGCAAAGCTCGCCCTCCTGCAAAGAGAATTCTCCCTTATCACGTTAAGAACACGATCTCTGCGCTTCTGGCATGAGACCCTCTTCCATAACAACGGGGAACCAGTCTCCCTTCAGCACTGGATCTGGCTCGACGCCCTCTTTCGCTCACGCTCCTTCGACCTGCCCCGCTCGGGCGAGTCAATGGTCCCCTGTCTGGATCTGGCCAACCATAGCAACGAGAACACGGCATACTTCCGGCAGGAAACACAGACTGAATCCGTTACTCTGATGATCCGGAGAGAGATAATCTCGGCTTTGTGTCCCGGGGATGAAATCACGATCAGCTATGGCAGGGACAAGCCGGCAGCCGAGATGCTGTTCAATTACGGCTTTATTCCTCAAGACCCTAATGGCTCTACTACCTCGGTGGAACAGAGTGAGAGTCTGATGATCTCGTTGGACGACACGCCTTCATGGACGCATTGGGCACGAGACGATCCTTTCCTGGCGGCTAAGCTAGAGCTGTTCAATGATGCCCCTATGCTACGTCTGTCGGTCGACCGAGAGGGAGTCGCAAGTTGGTCGTGCTCGTTTGTGTATATCTTGTGCGTCGGGGAGGAAGATGGGTTTGAGTTCAAGAAGGCCCAGGGAGAGGATGGCCGAAGCGGATGGACCTTGTTATGGCACGGGAAAGAGATCTCGCGCATGGCGGGCATGTTGGGGCTGTGGCTGAATGCGCAGGGTGAGCTCTCGGGTGTTGTTCAGGGCCGGCTCGTGTCTGTCTTGTCAGGCGTGGTTGCCGATCAGCTTAAGAAAATGCGGCCGTTAGAGGTGGACGCTGGGGTGGTGAAGGATGGGAATCATGGGATAAGGCCATCTGTTTTGCGGTCCGTGATACAACTCAGGAAGGTGGAGACGCGGATTCTGGAAAGGTGTTTGCAGGCGTTGGAGGAGGAGAGGAATAGGTTGCGGGCTTGAACGTACCGAGAAGGGGTCTGGAGGAGTAGGATGACTAAGGTAAGGTACTGTTGCGTGGAAACGGTCAGGGTATAAAGCAAAATCTTGCCTTTCGCACAACTGCAATTGTTCGACTCAACAAACACGGGCCAGCTCATTGCCCGAAGTTTTGCCGGCCGAGAACCCGTTCGTGTTCCCGGAGTGGGGCCGGCTCCGTAACGACTGCAAACGGCGCCGGCGACGGAGGCCGGAAGGCGTCGCCCATTCTACTTCATTCACACCCCGTTAAGTCCCTTAGCTCACACCCCCGCGCATTCGCGATGGCGGTGCATTTTCGGCGCCAGGATCATCCCGTTCCCGGCTCGGGGACGCGAACCAACTGCGCCTGACCCTCGGGCCTTGGTGGTGGGTGGCCTTGCTGGCCTTAGCTCGCTTATGCTGTTGTGGCCTCCGCCGGTAGGCTGACTTGAGGTTGACAATGTCAAGGGCTCAGTCTAATCACTTCCATGGCAGTGCCTTGCCAGTACCATGGCTCTGTGCCCATGGATGCCAAGTCCACCCCGGACTTACTGTGTAAGTACGGATTACCCGCAGCGCTGTGGGGCCACTCCACGGGCACTTCCTCGCTCCCGCCTCGCTCAGTGCCAAGGGCGGGGCGGGCCTTGGCTTCGCATGGCGGCTCCAGCTCTTGAAGGACCCATTCGAGGAATCGAGTCTTCGCCAGATTCTCGAGAAGATGATTTGACAACCATTACAGAAGAGACGTCATGAACAACGTCGTCAAATTCGCCATGGGCGGTCCAAAGGGCTTGCTACTGATCACTGCAATCACAAAGCGCGGGTTTCTATCGCCTTCGATTAGGAGCGCGACAGCCCAGACTGGCACGATGAGTGTCCGGTGCGTGGTTTCAGGATCAAGAGGCATATTAAGCCCGTCGGAAATCCTCTAGGCGGGGCTGAATATATCCACGGCCGAGTCAGATGGTGCGCAACTACCACGAGACACGGCCCACTCATGGCCCGAACGGTCGGTGGCAGCTCTAATACGGATACTGCCTTTCTTATGGAATCGGAAGCAAAATAGTTTAACCGCCCACTGGCACTGTGATGCCAGCAAGAGCAATGGTGTAAAAATGCCTTCTGCTTGCCGATCAGACCCCTGCGGCCACCTCTCAAACCCCTGCGCCACGTTGGTTGCCTCAGCCCCTGCATGAGTGCCTATAACTATAAGGGAACTCATATGCTGCGGGGTAGCCACACAATCACAGAGTGAAGATTGATTTCACCTTGGGCAAAAATGTCGGCCCCTGACCCCTCGCAGCAGGCATTCGAAGCCGCCAAAAACGCCTTCAAGCAGAGTTTGAAAGACGAGAATTTGTTCAGGGAATTGCTCGCAACCACCAGCGTAGAGCAGGTTTACAAGGCCGCAGAGGATGCTCAGGCAAAGCCGTACGCAGACAGACGCCTCCGACACACAGCCAAGATTCGCAGCTTCATCGACAAATTAGCCGATTATGCATCTGCCGTCGACACATTTGTGCAGGCCAAGCCGGATATATTAGCACTGATTTGGGGACCCATTCGTTTATTGCTACTATGGACGAGCAATATCGCAAAGTTTGCAGACGCTATCAACGAGGCCATGAAGAAGATTGGTGACGCGCTGCCACATGCTCTCAAGTTGGCCACCATCTTTGGCGACAATGACAAGTTGAAGGCGGTTCTGGCATTATTTTACAAGGACATCCTCGACTTCTATGTAATTGCCTTGAAATTTTTTAATTTATCTCGTAAGTGTAGTTATTCGCTCGTCAGCTCCAAATGTCAGGTACATACTCATTACCACTAGGGCCGAGCCTCGTCTTTGAATCGGTATGGCCAAAGCAACGGGACAAGATCGATGTCGTTGTGAGCAACATCCAACGGCATACAACTCTGATGAGAAGCGAGGTGTCAATGCAGCGCATAAGCGAAGAGCATGAATTTCGAGTCAAGTCTTTGGCTCATTTTGATCACGAGACAGAATTCCAAGAGCTGCAAAAGTTCCAGACGCTCAAGACTCGCGTCTCCCCTCGGATCTATGACGATCGACTTGACTGGTTGCTAAATCGCTCGTCCAAAGCTTCGGCCGAGTGGCTTGTCACCGACAATATCTTCCAAAGTTGGCTCGACATCTCCAACCCAGCTGTGCGACTGTTGTGGTTACAAGGGATTCCAGGAGCAGGTAAACTCTCTTTTTCCCCTGACTCAACAAGGCTTGTCAAAACTCATATTGAACTCTAGGCAAGACTTTTCTTTCCGCAGCCGCCATCGACGAGGCCAAGACACGTCACCGAACCCTTTTTGTATTTGTGAGCCACATCCATCAAACCAGCACCACGACCAGATCCATTCTCCAGTCGCTGCTCTTCCAGCTGGCATTTGACGTCAAGGATGCCCAGTCTGTCCTAGTCGAATCAAACGAACGAGAACTGCTCGGCAGCACTAGATACGTCCTAGAGTTGCTCAAAACGCTCCTGGATACTCCTACTGTTGGGCCAACGTATCTTATTCTCGATGGGCTCGACGAGATGGAGGCTGTCGAACGCAGGATATTGTTACAGCAGCTGACTGACTTGGAAAGTTGTCCCGCGGTGAAGATACTCATCAGTAGTCGGCTCGAGGATGACATTGCCAGTATTTTAGACGCCAAAGCCACCAAAATCCGGGTGGATAAGAGGAATTCGGGCAGTATCCAGTCCTATGTCAACCAGAGGACACAGGACTGGATACGGACTGCGGACTTTGGTCAAGAAATACGGAAGCAGGTCGAGCGTCTGCTAGCACCCGTAACTGAAAATGCGAACGGTAAGTAACTGATCCTAACCTCCTGCCGTCCGGGTTCTGTTCATCTCAATCAAGTTCGAGTTTGCTAACGATATGGCATAGGCATGTTTCTCTATGCTCGCATCGTCCTAGATAACGCCGAAACTTGCAACGGCCTTGAGGAAATCGAACGAGAACTTAGAGTACTCCCCGTCGACTTGAATGAGGCGTGAGTCTAGTGGTGGAATCACCTGTCATCGTGGAAACTAAGTAACGTTTTAGGTATCACCGAATACTTACTCGAATCAGTCAATCCTCTCCAATCTTGCGACGAAAAGCGAATATGATCCTCGGCTGGATTGGGTCGTCTCCTATTCCCTTGACACGGCACGAGATGGAGCAAGCCTTGTTGGTCGACTCAAACTCAAACGCAGCTCCCGCCGTTATCACCAATGTAAATTTTGTCCGCATTTGTGGCCCCATCGTAGAAGTTGTGGATGAGAGCCTACAGTTTGTGCATTTCACCGTCAAGGAGTAAGTGATTTGAACCTCTGCCGCGATGACGTCTGAAACACTGACAAAGCTACAGGTACATTTTCAGTCGAGAAGTTAGTGGCTTCATCGACAAGGCCGAAGCCAATTATAGCCTTGCAAAAACCCTGCTAACCTATCTTTGCTCTGGGGCATTCGACAAGGAACTTCCAGACCAAAAGCTTCAAGAGAACATCGTGGCCGGAATATACCGCCTCCATTGGTTTGCCACAAGCCAATGGATCACCGTCGTCAGGCGTTGCGTAGAGATGTCCAAGGACCTATCCGCCTACCCGGACTTGCTCGAGCTCCTCACACACCTGGCTCTGGAGCTGAGGAACCATTCCTTCAATGGCCAAGTGGACCTCAACGACCGTGTTTTCCGGACCATGGAGCCAGAGCGGCCTGAGATTTCCCAGTTTGTCTGCGGAATCTTGCAGTTTCGACAAGACGACAAGCAGTCCGATTGGAATTACACAAACAGTATGTTACGCAAGCTGCAACCCCTCGACTTGAAGGTCATACAAGTCAAAAAGCTAACTGGACCGTCATCTCATAGGTCACACGTGGGTTGACCTGGACCCCTCCGTCATGTCCTTCACGTCAACGCGCATCTACAAGCGTCTCGAGGAGTTGCTATGCGAAGAAAGGAAGCATAGAAAGCCCCCCGACTGCTCCTGCTCGACCCTGCACCGGCACTACGGAACCAGCATCTTCAAATGCTCGTACCCCAGCTGCAGTCTCAACCGCTCCGGCTTCCCCACGCGCAGAGCCCGCAAAGCCCACGTCGACAGCCACGCCCGGCCCTGGAAATGCGACGACCCCTCGTGTTTCTACGCTACCATTGGCTTCTCTTCAAGGCGGGACCAACGCAATCACTGGCAGGAGCTGCACCAAAGCTCCCAGCCGGCTGGGCTGACGAACCTGACACAAGATTGCTTCTCCCGGGACGATCTCACGGTTCTGCTGTTCGAGCTGACCAAAGCCGGCGATGTGGATGGACTGCGGCGCATTTCCCCGTACTTGGAGTGGCTGGGCTGGCATGTGAAGCCTGCGCTCCTGCTCGCAACAAAGATGGGGTCGCTGCCAATGGTGGAGATCCTCAGCCAATTCGCCGGGATATCGGGAGCATTTGATCCGCAGTATTTCTCCGGCGCGCTGGTCAAGAGCGAGAACCCGGCCCTCCTCCGCTGGTGGCTGGACAAGCTTTGCGAATTGTACCCAGGTGCAGACGACCATAGAGTCCCGGCCTACGCCTTGTTGGCCGCTGAGGCGTTTTCGACCAGCTCGCCTGAGATGTACGCCGAGTGGGAGGACTTTCTGCTGGACCCCGTGCGGCAACTAACGTCGGCCAGGGTCCCGCGCTTGGTTTCTCGAAGGATGCTCGACCGCGATCCAGTCACGTTTGACGAGGTCCAGGCGCTGATCCCGCACTTTGGGAAGCTCTCGGTGGTCTTCTCCAAGTCGGTCTTCTGCGCGGTCAAGAAAGATGCCTTGTTCGAGGCCCGCCTCATCCAGACATGGCACCGCTTGATCGATGTCGTTGGGCCTCTAGACCCCCGGTTTCTGGGCTGGTCACTCAACATGCTGGCGCGGTCGTCCAACCACTCCATCACCCTGGCGACGGAGCTGTTGCGGCTGGGGGCGCCCATCGACTTTCCGCGCGGAAGGGCGGGCGTCATTGGGGAGGTGAAGTTTAGTCCTGAGGAGTTAAAGGATCGTTGGAGGTATGATGCCAGAGGTGAGAAGGTTCCTCAGACACATGCGAAGCGGTACAAGGGTATGACGGCGCTGCATTATGCGTCGCGGGTGACGTCGGAGCAGGCGGCGCGGTTCGCACGCTTCCTACTCGAGGAGGGCGCCAATCCCGAGTATGGATGGGCTCACGTAACGCCTGCGGAAGAGAAGGGGGCAGGGTTGATGCAGAAGTGGCTGGGCGAGTCGTGGGATGAGGTGGTGGCGAGGACTAAGGAGGCGAGGCAAGCGAGGAAGAGGGAGGAGGGGGTGGAATTGGACGACGACCTGGATGAGGATGAAGACGAGGAGTTGCCGAAGCCAAAACGGCGTCGGAAAGCGAGAGAGATGCAAAAGGGTGATAGTGACTGAGAAGAAGACGAGGATGAGCAGACCATTCCACTAAGGTAGCCTCCGGGACCAATGCAACAAGGGACAAGACCATATGACTATTTTGATATGCGGAAAACCGCCCACTACATGAGAAATTCAAGGAGTTTCTGTTGATATCAACGGTTAGTGTGAACTTATCAAGGCCTCTCCCTCCAACCATAAACTCACCTCCCAGCGCTCCTTGACAAGACTTTCTTCCGCCTCCTTTCCGTCGCTCTGTGTCTCAGCTGATGAGAGGGATTCGCTAATCATCCTTACTTTCTTGGCCTGGATCCATTGGATGTACTGATACGCGGGTTAGTGTATGTGCTCAGAGAACATTGGAAATAAACTTGCTTCTTCGATGCTCCCATTCACACAATATCTTGTGATATTCACGTCTCTAACCTGACCGATCCGATGCACGCGGTCCACTGCCTGAGCCTCGGCCATGGGGTTCCAGTGGGGTTCGACGATGTGTACCTCGGATGCGACGCTCAGATCGATCCTAAGGTGTTCGAGAGTAGAATTTAGTTTTAATGAAGATGCCAGTGGTTGCGTGTAAAAAAATAGGGGATAATGGACTAAGATAAAAAGACATACCCCTCACCAACTGCCCCGGTAGTGGCTAGCATTACCACGCAGCCCTTGTAGGAATTGAACCGCTCTAGAGCGTTTCGACGATGCTGGAGTGAGGACTGGCCATCGATACGTGCCGAGGAGAGACCAAGGGACAAGAGTTGCGGATCCAAGCCTTGAGATATCAAGTCGAGCATGCCGGTCCATTGGGAGAAGATGACGCTACAGATTGTTAGTGGACGATACATGAGACCAAGGGAAAAAGGAGACAAACCTCTTGACAGGGGCAACATCACCACTGTCTAAATTCGGGCCCCTGAGCGTGGCAAGGACGTTGCGCAGCAGGGCCGAAACCTTGGACGATGGGCTATAAGCCGAGTCAACACCACACGGCATTATCGATACAGACGAAACGTCTTCTGTAGCCGGGCACTTCGGACATGTCAGTGCCGTATCACTTGTAGCCGGTGTTGTGCATGTTTCGCACGCGATGTGCTTCCCGCACAGAAACTCAACCGCCACGTCAACCTCCCGCTTCACCCCGTCCTCGCCATTTTCAACTCTCTGGCCACAGACACAACAGCTCCGGCCCGCCAAGGCCGCTTTCTCGAGCACATCCCAGCTCAAAATGCCCGCGTCACGGTTCCGCCATACCTCGAGCGCAGCTTGCGGGAGCAGCGCCTCGCCGTGATCGCAGATTCGGCGCAGGACCGAGAGCAGAATGATGATGTTTCCCGCGCTCTTGCGCCGTATTTTCCCGGAGATGTTCTTCTTCTTCTTTCCCAACCGTTTTGCAACCACCTCTATAGAACCACCACCCTTGGAGCCCGCCGCCGAGTGCTGCTCATCGCCGGCATCACTAGCAAGCAGATAAAACCGTCGCTTAAAAAATTCATACACCTCCCTCTCCCCTTTCCCCAACTCGACCCCCTCAACCCGCTCCCTCTTCACGGGCAGCCTCAACTTCGACGCCAGGTGCGGATGCGCCTTCGTCCGGCGCAGACAAGTCGCGCGCACGAGCTTGCGTAGCATCAGCAGGCTGTGCTGGCGGTGGGCGAGGACGGGCGCGGAGATCCAGAACCGGAACTGGGCCTGCGTCACGAACGGCGGGACGCCGATGAAGGCGAGTAAGGAGCCAAAGTCGCTGAGCCGGTTTTGGATTGGTGTTCCTGTAAGGCACCACCGGTTGCGCGCGGGGGCTTCGCAGGTGGCGAGGAAGGTTTGGGAGGTGGGGTTGCGGATTTTGTGGGCTGGGGTTTGGGCTGGGTTAGTGTTTACTAAGTTGGATAACAAGTTGAGACGGGTGACAGGGAATAGGGGCGTCTGTTAATGTAAGGGTGGTTGACTCGCCTTCATCTAGTATAATCCTGGCCCAAGTCCGAGTGTATAGCGGGCCAGACGTAGCCCAGTCTGAACGAAGGGTGTCATATGTTGTGAGAACGGCGTCAAAGTTGTGCAGTTCGTTGGCCGCGTCCTTTCGCTTCGAGCCGTGGTAGACGAATGAGCGAAGTCCGTCAGGTCGGATGTGTCTATGCAGGTTAGGCCACGCCAGCCATTTGATGAACAACAAGCCAAGTTGGTAGGTACCTGCCTTTGAATCTGTTGCTGCCATCCATAGATCGCTTCACGCCAATCAAGTCAGTAGTTGCTTCACATGCCACGTCCATGGGCCTTATATTGGTATTGACACGCACTTGACTTTGGTGTCACTATCAGTGTTGCTTTGGACAAGTGGGCCGGTTGAGGTGGGGGAAGGTCGGCCAGGGTGTCTAGATGATGGCAGACAAGCGCTAGGGTAGACAGCGTTTTCCCCAAGCCCATTTCCTAGTCAATGTTAAATGGATCGGTTGTATCAGACGAGACATTCTGACGTACGTCGGCTAAGATGCCTCCTCGCAGCTTTGGCAGGGGCGTGCTTTGAAGCGCCTTTGTAACTATGTGTCGATATCTGCAGTAAGCGGTTGTCAATTGTTGACGCACTAAGCTTGGAACGGCATCATGTGAGTGTAGGTAATAATGCAATGCTTACACGGTTTCTCCATTCTCAACCGATGATTCCCACAGCGACGGGAACCGCGCTTTGCCGTCCAGTATGCCGTGCTCTCTTTCAATCATCATGGCGACAGCCTCGAGTTGGTGACTATAACGCCGTTAAGTTATTTTACGTCTCAAGACTGTGCGCCGTAGGTAGGTAATCATCCACGTACTCTTCGAGTGTCGAAATAATCCTGGTGCTCTGCTTCAACCCCAACATCGAGCTCTCAGTTGGGCCGCTTGCCTCGTCGAATATCCTTAGCATCCGGCTTCTTTCCACTTCCCAGAGCTCTTCCTCTTCTTGATCAACAGAATCATCTCTATTTCTCGGACCTCCGGTGGTCGAAGGGCTTCGAATCCTCGGCATATCTTTTCCCGGGGGAAGAAGATACATGGGGTTGAGATACTTGACCCTTCTGTCATACTCAGACTCCTCTGGGTATTGAAGAAACAAACCACCCTCACCAAGAAGGTTTGCAACGGCGTCCTTTTCCGACAGGAAACCATAGACGATGATTCTGAGTGGGCGCACCCGGACGGAGTCAAATTCAAATCGTGATGTCCCCAGTAGGTTGGATCGCCGCCCGTTTTCCGTACCGATGGACGCAGCTAGCGTCACCGAGTGCTCCTTCATAAGTCGTGCCAGGGGTTCGGAGACCAACATGCCGGCTGGTTCCCCAGTATCTTCGTACAGGAGTTTCAAAATGTTGTTGAGACAGCTGATCTGCACCGGAGCAGATTCTGGGGCAGGTTCCCAGCGCTTGTGCGTACAAGTTGCCTCCATCAGGAGCTAAGGATATGCAGATTAGCGGTATTCCTGAGAGAATGGTCCACGAATAATTCATACCAATCCAAAGCAAACTTCATACGGCAGGCCCGCAGAATTCTCAGCAAAGGTAGCTGGTGCACATTAGTCTCCGGGTGTTGAGAGTGCAATCTTAGACAACAATGGTTATGACATACGAATCGTACTTGGAGCGTTGAGACTCTGTCCATCTCTCCCAACGCAGCTCAAGCTGTAATTCCGCGAGGTTTCGACATGATATGATGCTGTCAAAGTCGGAGACGGACTCGATGACGGAATCTCAATAACCTCAATAGCGTCCTGTTCAAGCGGCCTCGTCGTTCTCTTAGTCAATCTCGGTCTCTTCACCGGCGAGATTTTATCACTGGGAGTGCACCGTTTTCCCATGTTGAATATGTCATTACAAAACCAATGTTGACGTTTAGATCAAACAACTCGGATGGCCAAAGTCAAAAATAATAGCAAGGTGGCCGTCCCTTTTGCTCCCTCGCAGGGTCGCAGCCGCCTGTTGGCTGCCTCTGCAGCGCCACAATCTGGGAAGCCTTGGAAGTTGAAACCAACCCTGCCACACTGTGTTAGGGGGCATACCAGCATAAATCTCCCGGGTCCCAACATTTTTCGAAGACACGAAACGACCCGGGGCTTCAGAGCTGCCTTGCCATATGCACTTAGGTGATATCCGCGGTCCGTTGGATCCCAGCCATCCGTCTTAGCGCTCCGACTTTGCCCTTCTAGAGTCGAGACACCTGACAACAGCGTTCCAAAGCGGGGTGAGCGGATCTTACAGACCATCATTTGAAAGCAGCTTCTCTACGAGGCATCATAATAATACCTACGCGGTGATTGTAAGCCCTTTCCGCGCGACTGCTTGGGCTTCGAGTACGGACCATGGCGATGTGGATTGAGGGGAGAACCGGATACTGTGGCGCTGTGGGAAATGGCCTGCTACCAGGCGTGCAGCACAAAGCCCTCGCGGCAGCCGTCCAGCCAATCGTAATGCGACTCAAAGGATGCGATGATGAGAAGACATGCCAGGGCGCAAGGCGGCAGTCAGCAAGGGCGGCAGGACGGCGCTTCAGGAGCTGAAAAGGTTCCCAGTTTACACTAGCGCGAGACTCCTCTTTTTATTCTAGACTAACCTCATTAGGTAGCTCTCATCGCGCAGTTGCACCGCTGCACATCACGGAGATGTGCTCCCTTCAGCATGGCTCGCAGCTAGGTATGCATGACCCCCGTGCTCTCACTCTTGACTGGCGTGCTAATAAGCCGCCTATCCCTAGAACCGCCCGCCTCCCATATCCCGCGCTTCTACAGATTCGGCGGCTTGGCTGCACGGGTTGACAGCATCGTCATCCGGATATGGTATACAGTCCACGATTTATCACCGATCTACTTCCAAGCGCTGCCTTACCATGAACCTGGGACTAACAACTTCGTCATACTTAGGAGCCTGAGGTCTAGATAGGTACGTTTGCCTCGATCAGTAGTCAAGGGAGTCATGAATCGTCATCGGCGCGACTGGGAGTTGGCAGTCATTGCTCGCCACGGGTACGACCAACCGTCAGCGGCATGGCGGGCAGTGGCAGGCACGCGGCTTTCCGTATAAAAGCCACCTTACTCTCGCCCATTCTCTTCTTCTCACCCATTCTCTTTCTCTCCATCACAACACAGCGTTTGCAAACTGTCGAGCGGCACAGAATTTCCCAGCAATTGCCTCGCAGTGGAGAGGCGGGGAGGAGACATGGGAGCCTTACGAGAAGGTGGCCAAGATGGAGTGGCGTAGTAGTTGGACGCGATTCCGACCCCCTACCGACCCGCTTGACTCGGGAGCGGGCATCCCAGCAAGCTGCGGTCTCCATGCAAGTGATCGTGAACCTTGAGAGCAACGCGTGTGCTCGTTGGCAGGACTGCTCCTAGCCCGCGTAGCTCTGTTGTGTGGTCGAGGCTTTCCGTCCAAGACGAGCATCAGGGTCGGCTAGGTCAGACGGTATGGGCCATGGTCGTATCCACTTCGACGTTGGCCAGCTCGCTCAGGTTGCGAGCGCCGGAGCCGGTACTTGCAGCGCGAGCACGCCAGGTCGCTGAGTCCACGTCGCTCTGTTCTCGCTCCTTGTGCAGTAACCCGACTGTCGGTTTACCACGGGAAAGCTCATCCTGGGCCGACGAGCAGGTCGCCCGCGGTGCAGTCGTCGAATTTGGGCTGGTCGAGGACGGTGGCCCCGCAGGGTCCGCATCCTTCGACACACGCATGAACACGAAAGCGGCCATTAGCCAAGACGTGTAGAGGAGGGTCACAAACGCGTTTGGTTGGCTAAGAGCAGGGTTTGCAACGCGTTTGGTGAAACTTGTGGTCACAACAAGGCGATATTAGATTCACACCACAGCAAAGGTCGGAAAACTGAGCTGAAAGACGGAGTGGTGAAAACTGAGCGCAAACATGTTACCTACCGTTTCAGTCACTCAGAAAACGTCTCTGTACGTGACCTAGACTCCTGCTGAGTCAGCAACTCGACCTAAACTGAAAGTGAAATACTAGTTCCGGATTCACGTTCTCGGCCTCCCCACAATAGCGACATCTTCTCGTCTTCATTGTTGTTCAAAGGGGGCGGTTTCTTGTCCTTAGAGCGACCTGTTCTGGACCCTTTTGAGCAGATAAGGAAGATTTATATGTAAAATGTCGGCAACGGGTGAGGTATCTAGAACTGTAGGAACCGATGCCCCTTTAATCTGCTTGGCGACGTCCTTTAGCTTAGGTCTAGAAAGAGAAAGGTAGGTGCCTACTCAACTATTGCAGCACTTGATGTAATAAAACCTTAGCTAGAGAGTGTAGGAATAGCATCTTCAAGCTAACGGCAGAGAAGGTAGGAGCTCAATATATAGAGATATTCTAGACTTATACTCACCTCGTTGTCTAAGACGGATCTGTATAGAGCTGGACAAGAGTCGGATAGCGGAAGCTTTTCGAGGGCGTCTATTTTAGGGATGCTTGCCCCTAATAAGGCTTCGCAACCGTGGGGCCGATTAATCAGCGAAATCAATGGAGGAGACTAGAAAACCTACCGAATGAACACCTCAAACTATGCCTGTTTTACTGAAGCGTATTTGTAATTCTAATTGTTTGTTTGACTCTAAATAATATATTTGTCTCAATATCTGAGCTCGAAGAAAAAAAACGCTGCTTGAGAGTAGTGCTACTAGGCCCCTATGATGGTCCAGGCTAGGTGCTGATCATACTATATAAACCACCAGCGCTGTACCATCCAAGGCCTCTCCTCTAGGTCTTTCCCTCTGGCAGAAAGTCGCTCATATTGGTCTCCCAAGATGAAACGCTCGGCCCGCTCGTTTAGTGCGTCTTCCTTCGACTTCGTCCACTCCTGACCAGCTTGAAAACCCAGAACCTTATACCTCGCATATGCCCACTTGGTCCATTTCCAAGGCCATGCAAAGTCAGCATAAAACCGTGCGAAACCGTCCTCGCCCGCAAGATAGGCCAACGATTTCAGGATACGGTTGTATCCGGCAAGCACTTGCTCTCCCTGTGCTCGAGAGAGCTCGTCGCGACGGTCGGGTCCGAGGGGTACATACGATAACGAACCCGCCATGGTCAACCGTAGTGTGAGACTAGAAGCTCTTAATTTGTGCTTGACCCAGTCGACGGTTGCAATCCAGTCCTGTAGAGCGGGATGCCCGTCGTTGGGCCAACACATATGGTTGTATGGCGGGAAGATCAGTTCGAGAAACCGGAGGTAGCCTAAGCAGTCGGCGGGGACCACCTCCCTCAAGAATTGGCTCGCTGCAAAACGCTCGGCCGCGTAGGCACGGGGCTGTACTTCGCGCCACTTGCCCGACTCTATCGACTCCCAGTCTAGGCGGTTGTTGTCCTCGAGCCCCTGAACAGGCTCATAAACCTTGCCAACAATATAGGGGTTGAATGCTCCACTATCGCTGACAACGAACCGATTACGAGAAAAGAAGACGAACTTGGCGTCTTCCGAAAGAGTATGGCAGACGAGGAACAAGGGCGCAGGCGGGGCCCAGCATCTGCAGGCAGATGAGAAGGCGGCGTGTCGAAGGCGGCAGAAACAACCGATGGAGCCACGCCATACTTCGGGGTCATTGTCCTCGATGAATATACGTTCCTGGTGATAGCATCCCTGAAACTGGCATCCATGGTGCCAGTGAAGGTCAGAGGGGCATGGGAAGTTGCCTGGTGGGTAGCAGCCTTCGGCGGGGTATCGATATCCGCGATCTCGACTACTCCATATGACTTCCCTCCAAGGGGTGATAAGGTCGGTGTACTCGAGGATGTGAAGACGTAGCTCACGGGGAAGGCTAAGGATACGAGGGCCCGACGGACTTGATAGGGGTTCCGGCGTACGGCAGGCTTGCAGCGCCGCGTTCCTTGCGATCCGGGTGAGTTCCGCATCCGGACTTTTGCAAAGTCGAACGTGACAGTCCCTTAGCTCCGGAAGCGAAGAGAGTGGCGCGACAACTTTAGTCACGGTATCCATGATGTCGGCCTCTTGTGGATCAAGGTCGCATACTAAGGCGAGCTGAAGGCCACCAGGCTTGATCCTCGAAGATAGGTAATCTGCTGTCCGCAGCCATTCGTCTAGCATCGGCCCGGCCGTAGAGCAGGAGCTCCGAAGTGGCTTATCGTGATGGGCTGTATGATATCTCTGGCAGCGGTCCGGTTCATGTAGACCATTGAACCTTAGGTCGTCGCAGCACTCGCCGCCCGCCTCGTCGTACTCGTCTTCGCTGCGGTGATGACAAGAAGCTTGGTTCAGCACGATCTTGAGACTGAGCAATGACGCAAGCGACGAGGCGGTGAGGTTTCGCACTGGCTGAAGCGACGGTTCGACGTTGTGCCCGGGTCCGCGCACGTGTCGGTAGTGGATGACGAATCGGTTGGACGAGTACAGCAAGGCGGACGCTTCGCCGTAGATGAGGCGGCAGGAGAGCAATAGGCCACGAAAGCCAGCCTGCTTCATAGGCCGGTAGACTGGACCGTCCAGGTCAAACAGCATCGGTAAACCATCCCAACGTGCTACGCCAAGGTGCAGGTAAATGCGGCGTCGAATAGAACGGGGGAGGCGCAGAAGGAAACAGGAACTTGAAGAATGAGACGCGCCATGCAACGGCGGCGCCATTTGGGCACCTGTGTCCGACGCAGTCAAAACCGGATCGAGCAGGAAGGTCATATTGAGAACGGCGTGGATGGAATCTTGGCGATGTCGGATGTGGGATGTGGGATGTAGCAGCGTCGCTGAAACGCGAGAAGTTGTGGCCACGAGCAAGCTAGAAGGAAACGGTTGCAGCACCGCAGACTGCAGCAGTTGGTTGGTTCGCGTGGTTGGCTCGGGCGGGGTTAGGGTTATCACGCAAAATGTTGAATGTTAGACCCCCAGCGCATCTGTCTGTCAAATTGCCAGGTGTTTGACACGCCACACTCCTCACTCCCAATTCCTATCCTAGTATGATCTCACTCCACTCGTCGTCTGACAGCGCAAATGCAGCCTTGAAAACCTTGCCCAGGGCAACGCGGCGGTAGAAGCCCTCAACAGGAGAGTGCTCAACGAGAAGCACAAAGAAACAAGTCCCACTCGGACTCGCCGCGTTCCTTGGGGATGTAGTAGGTCCAGTCAGGGAACTCGTCCTTTGTGAAAGCCATGGCATCGGAGATGGCGACGAACCCAAACTCGGTGCGATCGTCCATCGGCTCACTCACTCCAATCGCTGTGTCGTTCACTAGTGCAGTACCGTCACCGTTCTCGGTGGCGTGGACCGCTGGCTGCTTCTCCCAGAGCCACTCGGCATCAACGACGATGGAACCGCACTTGTCGCCGCGTTGGTCCGTGATGTGGCACCGGCACAGGCCGACTTCCACTACTGCGCCACCATCGCCGCCGACGTGACAGCCCGCAGTGGCCGTGACGGGCACGATCTGGAACGACGCCTTCCAAGTGAAAAACTGTAGAAAAGGCAGGTCCGGGAATTCGCTGCGTCCGGTTGTGCGGGTTTCTGTGGCTAGACGAACATTGTAGGGATATTCGGGCTAGGTGAGGGTAAAGTCCACCTTTGGCCTGCCTCGGCTTGCCGACAGACCAGAACTTTCGTGGCGGCGACCGAAGGAATCGTGGATTTTGCCAACTCCCAAGTTCTCTTCTTCTTGCTCTGCTTCGCTTTCTGCGCTTCTTTTCGCTCCTCTTGGAGTCCGGACTGTGTTGTTTAATGCTCGTGCAGCCTGTGAAGGATATTTCCGGGGTGGCTGGAAGATCTCTACTATAGATCTTCCAGGCTGGCGTGGGGGCATTGCCGGCCGGGGTTGATAAGAAGTCCCCGGGGGTTGTGGTATACGTTGACCATAATAGGGTCCAACTGGTGTTGGTGTCGGCACGGGATGCGACATGTCCACTGATTCAGATGTTTCTGAATCAGAACTGCCGTCGACATCCTCCATGTTGTCCGAAATATGGACAGAGGACATCTGATAGCCCTTCCAGATCTGATTGCGGCTCTCGTCTTCTTTGGCCCATGACTTATCCCACACGCGCCGCAGTGTTCCGTAACCGTCTCGTATGTGCCAGTCGATCCAGGTGTGGTCTAGGAGCCAGGAGCGAACGTCAGTCAGACACCCGTCCACCATCTCCGCGTCATATTCAACCCCGACGCTTTCCCATCCACGCCATGACCAGCTCGGGAATTTCATATCTTTGTACTTGGGCTCATCCAGATTTCTCGGACGGCTGAGCCATGAAGCTCGACTGGCCGGCTGCCATAGCAGGGCAAAGTCAAAATGTGACGACGGAAGACCAAAGACAAAGGGTGACTTCATTGTGTACTCGCAGTTCATCAAGAATGGTAATGGGAAACAGAGAGTGATTTCAGTGACTACTCTACGTAGGTACAGTACACGGGCACGTAATAATGCTGTAAGCGAGTGTTCGGGACCCAATGCCTGCCTCGAAGGTCACAAGACGAGGTCCGAGAGCTCAACGTTCACTCGCTTCCCAGAGGTCCGTGCCCGCCTACGCTCCTGATGCCACAATTTTGATGAGGATGCCATCCGGGGTATATCCCGCCGGGTAGGTTGAGGCTTTGTATGCTGGGGCCGAGGCGTTCACCTGAACGCCGAACGAGCCGCGTCTGGTGCCGCAGCCGATGAGAGACGTAGCTTGCTGGTCAGCCGTGGCACTGGCGCCGCCGTCGATAGTGTTGGCGATGTCGGCAAAGAGCACGCTGCTGTTGACCGTGTTGTCGATGTACTTGGCGAGGGCCAGCGCGGTGCCGTGGGCGTAGACGGACCACTCGCCGCAGTCCGGAGCATGGACCGTTGCCATGTTGAAGAGCTGTCCGGTCCTGGTCTGAGCACCGTAGCTGCGCAGATAGGACGCGATATAGGCGACATCCTCGGCGGTCACGTTTTGGGGCTCGCCGTTTGGGGGCTTGTAGCAGAGCAGGCTTGTGCGCTCGTTGGCGTAGCAGATCTAAGCCGCGCGGGCTGACACGGGGCTAGTTGCCGGGGCGGCATTGCTAGGGCCTAGAAGGGCGAGTGGAGAAAGCAAGAGAAGAGTATGGGAGAACATCTTGGTAAGAGGGAATGAGTAAGATATCCCAGATCTATGGTGTCGCCGTCTCGTCGTCCTCAGGCTCACTTTGCCATGACATCCCGGACCGGCCTACATGGTTGATAACACGCGGAACTACTACCATGTAGCTCCCGATAGAGGTAAGCAGTGGGAGTGGTTGAGAGCAGCAGATGTAAGCTGCCAGCGGAAACGACGCCAGAACCTGACCAATTCGCGAGTTGTCAATAACAGGGAAGGTAAACGGTTCGGTCTGGCCATACTACGGCAGCCTGGAGAGGTATATGGTAAACCTGGCTGCCAACACAGTCATTCGCGGCGGCTATTCCAATCAGAGCGGCACCAGGACGATGCAGTTCAACGGTGCTGCGGCAGAGAGCGGGAGTCCTGGCTCGGGCTATTGGCTACCGAGTCTGGCAACTCTGGGGACGGTGCGTAGGAGCAACATATGGACCGGGTGTTGGGGGTGCAAAAAGTGTTAACAAGAAGTCCCAGCAACCCCTGGCCGGAGATGGCTACCAGTTCTTCCGCGATGTTACGGACTTTGGGGCCGACAACACGGGCAAAACGGACGCCAGTGAGGCCATCAACGCGGCTGTCAGCAGCTGGAGCAAGTCGTCGGCGAAGGGCGGCGACACTCGCTGCGGCAAAACCTGCGGCAACACGTTCACGCAGGGCGCCATCGTCTACTTCCCGGCCGGCACCTACAAGATCTGCAAGCCCGTGGTCCAGCTGTACTACACTCAGTTCATTGGGGACGCGAGTAAGCCCCCGACGATCAAGGGATGCCGCACCTTCGAGGGGATCGCGCTGTTCGACACGGACCCGTACATCCCCGGCGGCGCGGGCGCGCAGTGGTACATCAACCAGAATCAGTTCTTCCGGCAGATTCGCAACTTCATCTTCGACATGCCGCGCTCGACGGCCGAGAATGACCAGCAGCTTGTGCCGACGGGAATCCACTGGCAGGTGGCGCAGGCAACGTCGCTGCAGAACCTTGTCTTGAACATGCCCAAGAGCAGCGGCAGCTCTTCGGCAAACGCCACTACGGCTGTGGGGATTTTCACCGTATGTTTCGTCCCTACTACGTGCTATCCCATTGCACTTTCATCAACGCTGATACATAAGGTACTACTCTGTCTATTACTGCCTTCAGGAAAACGGCAGCGGGGGTTTCGTGTCCGACCTCACGTTCAACGGCGGCAGCATCGGGTGGCGGGTGGGATCACAGCAGTTCACGGCGCGCAACCTCAAATTCAACGACTATCTTACGGCCATTCAGATGATCTGGGACTGGGGCTTCACCTGGCAAGGCATCGAGATCCACGGTGGTGCCGCCGGCTTCAACATTTCCGGGGCCGGCGGCGCTACGGGCCAAGGCACCGGAAGCGTTTCCTTGGTCGACTGCTCGGTGAATGATGTGCCCGTCGGCATCTTGACAAGCAACAATGCAGCCAAGGCACCGAACATAGTCTTGGACAACACCGTCTTCTCCAACGTGGACAGGATCATCCAGGCCGACGGCGGGGACACGATCCTGTCTGAGAACTCACACCTGTGGGCAACCGGCAAGCGCTACAACGGCTCTGTCGGCTCATCCAGGGCAGGGAATGTCGAGGCACCGGCCAAAGCAAAGTCCCTTCTTGACAAGAATAGCAAGCTCTTTGTGCCCTCGCGGCCACAGTACGAGACGTTGAGCGCCGACTCCTTCCTGGCGGCCACCACGGATGGCGGCTGCCAGAACAACGGGACGGGCGACCAGACAATCTGCCTCAACTCGTTCCTGCAGAAGGCCGTGGCCGCAAACAAGATCGCCTTCTTTCCGGCGGGCATCTACACGGTGGGGCGCACCGTGATGATCCCGACGGGCTCGCGGGTGCAGGGTTCGAGCTGGTCCCAGATCCAGGGGGCGCGCTATTACTCTGGCGATATGCAGAATCCGAAGGTCATGGTGCGGGACGGCAACAGGGGCGACGTCGGCACCATGGAAATCGTGGAGATGCTGTTCTCGGTCCGAGGCGGCACCGCCGGCGCCGTGCTTATGGAATGGAACACGGCCGCGGTCGACCAGGGAGCAGCGGCCATGTGGGATTCCCACTTCCGTGTTGGCGGCGGCAAGGGCACGGATCTCGACTTGGTCCGCTGCCCCAAGTTCAGCGCCAACGACGACTGCATCGCCGCCTCGCTGATGTTTCACCTCACGGCCCATGCATCCGGATACTTCGAGAACGTGTGGGCGTGGGTGGCAGACCACGACAACGACGTCTCCATATACAACCAGCCCGACTCGTCATCCACGCAGATCAGCATCTTTGGTGCCCGCGGAATGCTGATCGAGTGGCAAGGCCCGTCGTGGCTCTACGGCGGGGGCTCGGAGCACTCGGTCCTGTACAACTACCTCCTTAGCGACGCCAAGAGCGTCTACATGGGCCACATGCAGACGGTGTCCCCGTACTTCCAGCCCAACCCGGGCGCACCCGTTCCCTTCGAAGCAGCGTCCGAGTTCGCCAATGACCCCGACTTCAGCCAGTGCAACCTTACGGCCAGCACCGTGGACGAGCGGTGTCGCTACGCCTGGGGTCTTCGGGTCGTCGACTCGACCGATGTCACGATCCACAGCGCCGGTCTGTACAGCTTCTTCAACGAGTACTACCAGGACTGCATCGAGACGAACAACTGCCAAGAGCGCATCCTGGAAGTCACGGGGTAGATGGGGGTGGTCATCTACAACCTGTTTACCGTGGCGACGGTGATGATGGCGGCCGGCATCGACGGCTCCGGGATTCTGCAGAGCGACGCCAACCAGCGGGGCTTCACGACCGAAGTGGGCGTGTGGGTGCCGCTTCCCGGCAAGAACCACGACAATGTGGTGTATGTCGGCCCTGACATCTTCACCAAGCCCACCATGAGTTGCTCGGCCCCCTGCGTGCTGGTGATTCCCACGAGCCACCTCCGCTCACCCACCATAATTTCCCCGAGCAGCTACACTACCTCATTCGAGAGTACGGCACGGTCACGACGACTTCGTTGCATGGCGCTCCGACCGCTGTCTTTGTCACATCCACCACAACGGTGATCATCTCGATCCCCCCGATCACCGTCAGCGGCATGCCCTACTCCAATGTCAACGTCACGTCTGGCGGGGAAGCAGAGATCACCGTCTACCCCAGCATCAGCGTTCCCCCAGTCACCGTCGGGATTCCCGACGGCAGAGGAAGCACGACGTCCCGAACAGTCCCCCTGCCGCCGTGGCCCTTGGTGAATCAGGGGCCCAGCGGCACCAACTTGATCACCGATCCGGGCAGGGAGTCCCCCAGCAAGAATAACACCAACACTGGCTCCTTGACAAGCCGCACCACATACCACACGGGCATCACGTCCACCGTTGTGGCTCCTTTTGGACTGACGGTCACGACCGTGACATTCCCCCGTTCGATCGTCCCGACCACCATTTCGTGCCCTGCCACGACAGAAATCGCCTTCGCCACACCGGCCATCACGGTCCGCACAACGTGCACCGATTCGGGCTCCCTTGCCCTCACCTTTAGCTGCCCGGCCAGCAAGATTGGCATGCTCCTTGCGGCCACGGTGGCCGTGGTAAATGCGGACTGCACCTTGGTCACGGCCTGGAGCACAGGCCAATACGCGTCCTCGACGACGGAGCCGCTGCCGGTGTGGGTCACGTGGCCGCGCTACGGCAGCATCGTGCCCGTCACAACGCCGGTGAGCAGCCCGCAGCCGACGGACAACGGCGTGGTCGTGCCCTGCAGCCTGTGGTTCTCCTTCCTCTGCATCTCGTGGGGCGAGATTCACGGCGACGGCTGGGTGCTGGCCCTGCCTCCGGGCACCTACGGCCCGGGCCCGCTGCCGCCGGACTACATCCGATGGCCTCCCGGGTTCGGGCTTCAAGGCACGGTGCCGCCCTGGCCCCGCATCACCATCGGAGACGACCACTGGCTCACGACCGACGACAAGCAGCCCGAGTGCGAGACCCAGACGGCACAGCTGTGCACCACCACGACCTTCTTCTCGGCCACGACGACGAGCCACGGCGTGACGACAACCACGCTGACGTCTACGTCGGAGCACTGCGAGACCATCACCGGCTGCTCCGTCCGGGACTCGCAGTCGTCTGCCACGTCGACCAACGTCGAGGTGGGCACGCAAGTCATCGCGCCCGTAGGGACGTGGTACAGCGAGGCATGGCCGGCGCCCGACATGGGTGCCGCGTACGGCAGCTCCGTGTTTGCCGTGTTGAGCGCCGACATCGCCGCCGACAGCGCCCGTGCTGGCGGTCCCGCCATCAGCTTCATGTCCGGGCCGACCGCGTCCCCGACCTGCGTGAGCGGCACCGGCTGCGGCGGCCGCCTCTGCTCCGGCTACTGGTGCACGCCCCATCCGTCCGGTGACCCCCGCCACCGGGCTACCGCGACCCCAAAGACCCCAACTCGGTCGGCTACTCGGCGCCCAGGACGACCATTAAGTCCTCCTCCTCCTCCACCACCACCATCACCAGGTCGAAAACCTGCACTATCACGGACGTATGCGACGAGTGCTCGCCGCCTTGCTGCCACCAGGGCACATGCCATACTAGTACCAGCTCGTCAAGCACCACGACGACGACGACGAAGACGGCTGATGGGTGTGCCAACTACGACTGCTGCTTGTGCGGGACCCCCTTCGATGATCCCTGCTGTTACTCGAAGCATTGCCAAATGAGGGTGTTGGTCGTCGGCGGCGTGACGACAACCGTGTACGGAACGATGCCTGTGACGGTTACGGCGGAGGGGGTCACAACAGTAGTTTCGGATATGGCTACGGGCCTGGTGACGGTTGATGTTACGGGTACGGGGGGCTGACGACGATGAGGGAATGGGATGGTAGGACCGTGTGGAGGGGTACTAGTAGTATTGTCCTACTAGACATACTATGATAGTAGTAGATGTTCAATGAGTGATCCGTCTAGCGATTTCAAGCGCAGCCTGCATACAATGGCTCCTCCCCGGTTATAAACTCTCACACCATGTCCGTGTTTGTGTTCAGCCTGTTAAGCACTTCACCTCCGCCGTGGCCTCGGTGCTGCTCTTCAAGTCTTCTTGGCCCAAGTTCTCTCCACGTCGAGTCTTATCTCCTCTTTCCCCCATGCCAGAAGATCAAGGTGTTACTCCGAGGGTGACCAGGTGGTTGGCGTAGAAAGGGGTGTTATAGGCAAGGTAGGCACGAATTAGGTTGTCATGGGGGCAGCTGGCGTTCCGGTCGGGGAGAATACCGATCCAGCTTTCTCAGCCTCGGCATCCCTCTTCTTCCCCCACCAGGCCGGGTTGTCAAGATTCTCGACATCAGAGTCTCTCTTCTTTCCCCACCAGGCTGGGTTGTCAAGGTTCTCGACATCCGAGTCTCTCTTCTTGCCCCACCAGGCCGGGTTGTCCAGATTCTCGACCGTAGAGTCCCGCTTCACGGCTCCATCAGACCCTGCCGGCAGGGCCGCGGCATTCACAACACCGAGAACGGCAACTCCGGCCGAGACAATGCTCGTGAGTTTCATGTTGGCGATGTCGGACGATGTAAGCACTGTGCGGTCCTTGTTAGCCCGCGCATTTAATCCGTAGGAGCTCGAGTCCAGTACGTACAAGACGGAAGACGGCTGTAGACCAAGGTGAGGAGAATCCTGGGTGCTTTAGTCCTCTTTGATAGATCTCAAGTCCTTGTCTGCTCGAAATGGGGGAAAGGGAAAGTCTGTTTCTTTATAGGCACTGCCGCTGCGCCACTTCAACGGTGAATCAGCACACCCAGCGTAGCTTAACCCCTTCATTTGCCACTCTCACTACATATCCGAAGGTCATTTCAACTTCAGACCGAGCGGCCCAATTGTTCGCCAAGGATCGCCAAGGATCACGAGAAGGAATGGACGGCGTGTTACTGATGCATCACGCAGCGCACATAAACTGGTTTGTTGAGGCCTGCTATATTCGGAAGGTGATACAGAGAATACCGGCCTGATCACAACCGTGTGGACGTTTTTGCAAGGTTATTGGTCCCCGGCTGCTCGATGCATTGTGTCGAGTCCGAGTTCTCGGATACCCGGCGGGCTCGCCGGGACATTCTATCGCCCCTTGAATCGACCGGCCCAGCTCTGTGATCTGGTTCTTCTATTATCCCCTTTCCCCAAGCGGTTGCCTTCGACTGAGTTGCCCAACGGACCTCTAATCCTGACGAGTTCCAAGCTTGAAGCCAGGGAATAGCAACTGAAAGAATGTCTCGGGACGTGAGGGACTCTTCCGACAAGGAGCACCTCCTTTCGGGGCCTCCATGGCGCGGCGATCCTGACGAGTCCGTACATCGCCGGGAGCAGGAACCACCAACAGCCTTGCGTTGTTCCCTGGCGCTCAATTTCGTCTTCGCCGGCCTTATCCTGCTATTATTTGTTATCGTCCCCGGGGGCAAGCACGATTCAAGCCGGCTTCCGGGAGAGATCTATTGTATGTCTTGTCTTCGCACCTTATCCCGGCAGGCGAGTTGCTTACTGCCGTGACATGTTCCGCAGCGCCTGCAAATGAGGCCGTTGCGTACAAAACCGTCGTCTTCCGCAGTGGCCTCCACGGAGACATCACAGAATACCAAGGCCCTGATCCCGAGGTCAATGGCAGGTGGGAAGAACTGTATAATGGTAAGTTTGACGTGACCCTGCTTCCCTTTTGGAACTCGTTTCTTCATATTTCCTTCCCTGGACCAGCCTACTAAATACAAGACCAGGTTTCGGCGTCTCCCTTATAAGCCAGGCGTCAGCTCGCAAGCTCCCTAACGCCACCACTCCCTTACCACAAGACCGGTCTCTCTACGTTGTGCAGCTGGATGTGTTCCACCAGCTTCACTGCCTCAACCGTCTGAGGAAGCTTCTGTACCCAGATGTGTATCCTACGGACGTTTCCTCGGGCTCGCCCGAAGCCACAGACACGCTGTATCACCTTGAGCACTGCGTTGAGTCGCTCCGGCAGTCGCTGCAGTGCGGGTCTGACACGAGCACGATCTTCTGGGAGTGGAGTCCCGCCAATGCCAAGATGATGGGCAATACAGCGACCACACACACGTGCAGGGACTTTGATAGGATACGGGACTGGGCGGTTCGTCATAAGCTTGACGGGGACTTTGACATGCTTGTGGAGGTAAAAGGGGCACCGATTCGTCAGGCTGGGTGATAGTACTAGTATGAACCATTGCCCGCAGGGTTCTGTAGCAGTGTAACCTAATACAACAGTGATCATTTCTGTTCCTACCCCTGAAAATGTTTACCGCTTCTCTAACGTGATTTATAAGCGAGTCGTGGGTATAAGCGGGCCGTGGCTTTCCAAACGCGACATATTACATTTCCACTTAACATCAATTTTCTCTATAACCCGATATGCCCTCCCCCTCAAAAGAAGCCAGGGTAGTCTTAGCCCTCGAAGCTCTTCGGAGCGACAAACAGCTACGGCTTGAAGCTGTAGCTAGGCTCTATAATGTACCGGCTTTAACCCTCAGGGACCGACGCGCTGGCAAGCCTGTACGACGCGACTGTACGGCCAATTCGAAGAAGCTTACGGAATCCGAGGAGCAGGCTGTTGTTCAATATATTATTGACCTAGTTGGACGTGTATTTCTACCTAGACTCGCTAGTGTGGAAGATATGGCCAACCAACTGCTACGTGTACGCGATGCGTCCCCTGTCGGCAAGCTCTGGGCCTATAACTTCGTCAGGCGTAAGCCAGAGCTTAAGATGCGTTGGGTACGTCGGTACGACTACTAGAGGGCCAAGTGCGAGGACCCAAAGGTTATTCGCGAGTGGTTTGCACTTGTTCAGAATACCAAGGCCAAGTTCGGGATCTTAGACGACGATATCTACAACTTCGACGAGACTGGGTTTATAATGGGTATTATCTGCGTGGGTATGGTCGTTACAACCTCTGACGGCTATGGTAGGGCAAAGCTAGCCCAGCCCGGCAATCGCGAATGGATAACGGTAATCTAGGGAGTCAATGCTCTTGGCTGGGCTATCCCTCCGTTCATCATCTTAGCCGGGCAGTGCCATCTCAGCAACTGGTATACCGAGGCCAATCTTCCACTTGCCTGGCGTATCGCGACTACCAATAACGGCTGGACTACCAATGAAGTAGGCCTCGATTGGATCAAGCACTTCGACTACTATATAAAGTCCCGTATAAAGGGTATATACCGGATGTTGATCCTCGACGGCTACGAGAGCTATCACTCGATCGAATTCGAGAACTACTGCCGGGATAACAACATTAAGACGCTCTGTATGCCTGCACACTCTTCCTATAAGTGCCAGCCACTCGACGTTGGCTGTTTCGGGCCGCTGAAGCGGGCGTACGGTCGCCAAATCGAGAACTTGATACGCGCGAACATTAACTATGTCAGCAAGCTCGAGTTCCTCTGTGCCTTCCGCGAAGCCTTCTTTGCCTCTATGACAGAGAGCAATATATAGGGTGGCTTTACAGGGGCCGGCCTTGTGCCGTACGATCCAGAGAGGGTGCTTTCTACCCTGGATGTGCAGCTTCGTACACCAATACCCCCGGCCTCATAGCCTACTATAGTACAACCTTGGGTCTTCCAGACACCATACAACCCCCGAGAAACCGAATCGCAGTCGACGCTCATCAAGACTCGCATTGCCAACCATCAAAACAGCTCTCCGACTTCGATGTTGGCGGCTGTAGATCAACTTGCCAAGGGTACAATGGCTGTCATGCACCAGGTAGCTCTCCTTCGGTCAGAGGTCTCTTCGCTCCGCAAGGCCAACGAGGCACTAAGCAAGCGCCGCAGAGCTAAAAGAACGCGCGTGCAGCTTGGAGGATCACTTACTGTGCAAGATGCACAGGATTTACTGGCCCAGAAGGCTGTGGGTGGGGAGGTAGTGGAAAATACACAGCCGGAAGGTAGTAGTACGGGGGGGGGTCGTACGAAGGTTCGGTGCTGTGGTGTGTGTGGCAAGCCTGGCCATAATGCCCGTACCTGCCGAGAGGCTGCAGAATCGTCTGATTCAGCTGTTTCTGATGTAATTGTAGTTGGTTGATACTGTTGTTGTTGTATTTTGGACGGTTGTTGTTGTAGGGTAGTGGAAAAGCCACGGCCCGCTTATACTCACGACTCGCTTATAAATCACGTTAACTCGAGTGCCGCAATTGTTGATTTCCTTGCTCGTTATCCTGGTCCCGGAGTTCAATAGTAGAAGACATCATTAACAGTCTGGATATCACTGATATCAGCTGGACTACCCCGTGCTGCCCATCAACCAATCCATTTCCAACCCTTGCCCTTCGCATCGGCCCAGCGAACCCCCACACAACAGACCGTCGCACCCATCAAGAGTGCCCCGTCCCAATATGCGATACTCGTATACGCCCGAACCCCCTCGTCCGAAGCGCCCAGCAGCTGACCCCCAACAGGACTCCCGAACATCGTCCCCAGGCCCCGCACAAAGAGGATAAACGCATTCACCGCTGCGTACTGCCGGATGCCGAAGACATCGGCCACGAGAGCCGGGAATAGCGCGTAATATCCCCCGGCCGAGGAGCTGTACAGAGCAATAAACGCCAGCCACAGCGCAGTAGCGGATGGCGACGCATCCTGCGTCCGGGAGCTGGAGAGCCAGAGAGCGAAGACGCTGCACGCGGCGAGGAGGAGCGTCAAGACAAGGGTGTTCTGCCGGCCGAGTCGGTCGCCGGCGTATCCAGTCAAGACGCGCGACACGGCGTTGACGGCGTTGCTGGCGGCAAGGAGCTTGGCACCTGTCGAGGCGCCGAGGCCGAGCACGACCGTGTAGGAGGGGATGAACGAGAGCGGGAGCTGTGCGCCGGCCGCCTGGAGAAAGGCGGCGACGGCAGAGAGGAGAAAGGTGGGTCGAGCGGCCAGCGCCCGTGACACGTGCGTGTTTCTTCTCCGCTCCAGTCCTCCGTCGGTTGACACGGTTGCGAAGCGGCTCCGCGGGACGGCCCAGGCGATGGGCAAGCCGGCAAGCAGGTTGAAGACGGCATAGATCCGGAGCGTCCAACGGCCGCCGAGAGAGCTAAGAAGTGCACGGATGACAGGTGATAGCACGAGGCCGCCGATGCCGCCGCCCGCGAGGATCTGGGAGGTGTGAAAGGCCTATTAGTATATGAAGGCGTCTCCGAATAGCGCGATGGAGAAATGGGAGTGCCTTGCAGTTGAGTCGACACTCGACAGAGGACTTACGAAACCCATCGCTGTCGCACGGTGGTTGGTGAAGTACTCCGGTGCAGGCGCTAGAAGCGGGAAGTACAAGAGCGACATGCCGAGGCCGACTAGAAAGCCTTGTGTGAGCAAGAGATGCCATATGGAACGGCTGAAGGAGGCCAGTGCGAAGCCGGCTGTCATGATGAGCACGCCCGACACGGTGATTGTTCTTGGCGTCAACAGGCGCAGCACCCTGCGGCGCCAGAGCCGAGTCGAGGGTGTGGTCGGGCCCCAGATCCCATGCTCGATACGTGCGATCACCGGGTTTACGAGGATGCCGCCGGCCCAGGTTAGTCCATAGCACAGCGTGCCCACGAAGGCGAGGAATGCTGTCGGCGGTGAGGTCTGCGTGGCCGGAGAAGGCACCAGCACATCCTGGCTGAACGAGAGATAATACTCCTGAAACACGCCATAGCATTGGTTGTACCCTATGGTGAGGGCAATCGTCGTAAAGGCGGAGAGGAGCACCGCAGCTTGCTTCTTGCGAGATATTGGCGGCAAGTTGGACGCCCGGGCCAATGGCTCCATGTCGGTTTCAGCGTCCCGGGCCGTAAGCGAGATGGGTGCGGCTAGTTGTGCTGTTGCCATTGTATGTTGGACATTGACGGACTTGATGTGAATGTCGGACAACAGGAGTCGAATATTTAGATGCTATAAAATGCGAGACACCGTTATTTCCAAGATGCTTTCCGATATTTTACGTGAGGTTGCATCCTGACATAGTTTTGGCGATCCTTTTCGGCCGAGTTCGGTAGGAAAAGCCCGGGTGCGGTCGGGGACGGTCCGCGGAAAGTCCGGGAATAAGAGAATGTCGGACCGAACACCGAGGCCACTGGAAGGACGGCCGAGTTGACCATTGGGCTATTGTAGCCTTGATTGGGGCGAATGTCTGAAGATATGGACTGCAAACCGGGTTGCCAACCACCACAAAGTCTATCTCCACCAGGTCCTGATGACGGATCTCGTTGGCCCCTTGTTGGGGAAGATTTACTGGAGAAAGTTCACATAGACGATACAGTTCCAACTTAGTCTCATTGAGTCGAAGCGTGTCACAACTCACTATGGACGTCTCCAATTAGATCATACTGGGAGACGGTATCCTCGGAGTCGTCCTCCAACTCAAAGCCATCACAATACGACCAATCCATCATCACACGGAACCAGAAGGCAGCCCCGCGAGAAGCAGCAAAGGTGGGATCGTCCGAGATCACAAGCTCGACCTTCGGCGGGCTGGTAACACCATAATCCACTCGTAGTTGCGGAATGCTCTCAGCGACGCTTCGTAGGGTGTCCAGAAACTCGGGCCGGTGCGCCGCTTCACCCGCCGCGAGGAGGATAAAGTCGGAATAGGAAAAGAAGCCCCCAAACCGCTTGGTGAATTTCACCACAGACGAAAGCAGTTGGTCCCGGAGTGCATTCCAGAAGTGCTCGGGTGAGGTTGCCGCATCAAGTTGCTACGACGGAGCGCAGGGCTCGCCGGCACCCACGATGCCACCGTCTTGGGTAAGCTAGTGACTGCGCTGAAAGCCGAATCCGAGGCCGCCTTGCAAGCTCGCATCGACACCGTCTCCGTCACGGCGCCTTGGGTTGCCGCGTGGGAGGGCGACATCCCTGTGGACAGTGTTGTCAACGACGCACTCGTGGCCGCAGGGCTGGCGCCGTACACGTGGGAGGCCAGCGATCCCATTTACTTGAGCGAAACAAGCGCCGTTCTTGCGGCGAACGGACGTCGGCTGTGTTGGGACCGGTGGTGTCCGAGTTCTTCCGCAAGATAACAGGAACTCGAAGCCCGAAGAGACCACAGACAACATCGCCCACACCGACAGCCGCGTCGGTCATGCCAATCAATTTGTGTTGTGCTGTCTTAAAGCACTTCAAGTCTAACAGGCGTCGCGGCATGGCATCGACCTCCGCGACAGCCCAGGAAGACGCTTGAGCGGGCTCAGGACCCAAATAGGCTCTCCAGAAGTGCTCTAGTTCGGATTCGAATTCCTGGTCAGGTTGATCCCAACATATCCGTTTGCAAATCCGCGTCATCGCTTCGCTTGTGTAATCCGGGACTATGTCCTTAATCCTGTCCTCGATGCATCCGATCTCATCGACCTGGAACCCAGTGACAGTGATGGTCTTATGCGTGGAAGTCGAACTCGCAGCTGGCGGCAACGGTGTTCCCAGCAAATTTGAACGTGCTAGCCGTCGCTTCCCTGCCTTTGGGGCGGACAAAGAGCATGCGATGGAAAGTGGACTGATGACTGCTCGGCATCGTGAATTCAGGGGTCCAAGAAGGCAAGTCAAACCGCTGTTTCTGGTGTAACAATCACTCGGCGTATGTTCGGCCAAGGAAATCAAGTGTTTGATCTTCTTTCCAGAGCCACTCAGCCGCACGCATGTAGACGTCGCAGATAGCCCAGTCGTAACGGATCTCGATTTCTGGAGGAATCCCAAAGTCCTGTGGAACGCCGAGGATGCCGTACACTTTGTCCTTCGGATCGCTGGCTTTGTGGCGTGCTGTACTGGATAAAAGCATACCAAGAGTGCACTTCGAGATCTTCCACTCAGACTGTGGCGGCAAGTTGAACTGATAACGCTCATAAAAGCGATCTCGTTGGCTGTGAAGCCGGGAATTCTTGATCATCTTGAGTTGACCGATGCCGACTATGACCGGTTGAAAGTGGTTGTAGTCACCGGTTGTAGCTGTCGCCTCTTCGAGGAGATCTGTCTGGTCGCTGAGTAAAAGTGTGGTCGTTTTGCACATCTGCTCCCACTCGATAGCCCACCGGCCGCATACAAAGACAATCTCCTAGGCCAAACCGAACTCTTGAACGATCCATATTCTCTCCCACCAAGGCCTGGCAAAGAAGTGACCGAGCGCAACCCAAAATGGCTTAAAGTCGTAATTATGTGCCAAATGTCGGACGGCGTCCAAGGCGACGTCTCCTTTCTCGTCCCACTGAGAGGATAAGCCGTATATGAAGCGGAGTGCCGGAACAGTATACTCGTCTTCTTCACTGACCCATGCGATGACGCTAGAAGCCTTGGTGTAAATCTCGTGCATCAACGCTACCTGCTGAGCTCGTTCGGAGCTGTTGCTCTGGTCGATGCAAATAGCGTCGACCCAGAGGTAGTTCGGGTACACCCAGCCCATACTACTACATGCGACGTCTTCCTCCCCAGGGGTTAAACCCACTCGGCAAGGACACACAGGGTTGCAGCACCAAATCATGTTCCTTCTAAGGCGATCCAGCGCCGCTGCGAGATTTGGCCGGATCGACAGATACTTATCGTAGATACCATCCACCCATAGAGTCGACTGAGGGCTTTCGTCCCCCCAGACGTAGGACAAGGCGTTGAACTTGAGGTTCTCGTCGTCCAGCGACACTTCTGTAAGGGAGCATGTGAGGTGCGATTCGCGAAACCCCAGTCGCCCGTCGCCTGACCATAGTTGAATCAGGCGAATATTCGGGCTGGCAGGGCGCTATAGGTGTATGGAACTCCGGGATTCTTTGAAGTTCTTCGATAGGTGTACATCGCATATGAATAAAAAAAAATAGAAGTCAAGGAAGGGCAAAGGGCAGTTGGAGGGTTTTGCGTCTCTCCACACATCGATGTCTATAGATAAGATATATTGGATGGCAAGATGATGAAGCTGCAAGGCAGCAATGGTGGGGGGGCACGATGGAATCGAAGAGAATTTGAATCTGGAGGTCAATTGGCGGTTCGGCAAAGGGTATCATGTGGTGTCATGGGAAAAGCCCAGTCGCCATCGCGATTGGATCCAGCAGCCTGGCAGTGCAAGAATTGTAACAAGTGCCCCACGGCGTGCACAGAAGACTTTGAGGGGTTGTATCAAGATTAGGACGTATGCTCCAGCAACTGTTTGAACGGGCTGTGTGTTGTGAATGCATGAGAGAACAACGTACGATGGGGGTATTAAACCGTACCACGGGATATTAGTACTAATACTGTACTAGTTCCCCTCGGCCCATCAGTTCAGATACTTGTCGCTGCCAACCAGAAGCAAAGATGATGCTCTGAGTGTATTATGCCCCTATCCTCTCCGCTCTCACTTCTGCTAGTATGATATACGACTCTGGCGACCCACACTCTCAACACGAAACCCAATCTTCTCCATCGCGGCGATATCCAGGACTCCTCGGCCGTCAAACACCCACTGCGGCCGATTCATGTGGTAGTAGATCTTCCTCCAATCCAATCGGCGTTTGGGTGTAAGTTTCATACTGGCTCCAGCTCCAGCCGCCCCCACGGCCTTTTCTGCAAGGCAGTCGGGACAGTTGTCGGGACAAGGTGGCATCGGTTGGAGGCGCCCAAACGTGCTTTCTGCTTCGGGCATGATGTGTCCGCTGGCCGTCGCGACAGCGGTTTGAGACTGCAAAAGATAGGAGTGGAGCGAAAGGAGGTCGCTTTCGTTTGACTCATCTCTATCAAACGGCCGGGGATCTGCTATGCTCATCTCCATCTTGGCCTCCACCTGCATCGGCAGGTTTCTAAATTCGTCGAACTCGGTGGTGATGAGTACGGCATCGGAACCCCGGCATGCCGCGTACACGTCCGTGTAGACAACTACCGGGCCACCGTTGCGCTGCAGCACTTCTGGCCCAGCAATGCTGTCAATTTCGTCCATGATCTGCGCTGGGTTGCAGAGAGGGTCAAACACTGCGAGCTCTTTGGGACCCTCCTCGAGCAGTGTCTGGACGATATGCAAAGCGGGCGACTCGCGCGTGTCGTTCGTGTCCTTCTTGAACGCATATCCAAGCACCGTGAGCTTTTTGCCAGCCAGCGTGTTGTTCAGACAGCTGATCACTCGTGACGTGAACCGGGTCCTGGCAAACTCGTTCATGTCGGTGACGGCCCTCCAGTAGCGCGCAACCTCGGGCAAGCCCAACGTCTCGGCGAGGTAGACCAGACTCAGAACGTCCTTCTTGAAGCAGCTCCCGCCGAAGCCGATGCCGGCCTTGAGGAACTTGCCGCCGATGCGGGGATCGGCACCAATTGCCTCGGCGACCTCGTCGACGTCGGCCCCCGTCGCGTCGCACACGGCCGCAATCGAGTTGATGCTGCTGATGCGCTGCGCTAGCATGGCGTTCGCAACCAGCTTCGCCAGCTCGGAGCTGAAGACGTTGATGGTGATGATGCGAGACCGCGGAATCCAGCTGGCATAGACCGCTGCGAGGGCGGCGGCGGCCCTGTGCCCGGACGGAGTGTTGCTGGACCCGATGAGGATGCGGTCGGCGTGCAGCAGGTCCTTGACGGCCGTGCCGGCTGCTAGGAATTCCGGGTTGCTGAGGACCTCGAAGGGCACGCCTGGTCGGTAAAGGGCCAGCTAATAATTCGAGTCAGGGGTTGGTACTTCTTCCAAAGCATGACCCCGGATGACTTGCCTTACCCTGCACGAGGCGTGCCGTCATGCATGGAACAGTAGACTTCTCCACAATGATGATGCCGGGACGGGCGTGTTGCGCGACGAAAGCTGTCACTGTCTCAAAGGCCGCCATGTCCGTGGCGGACCCGGCTCCATGCCCGCGGCGCTTCGTTGGCGTGTTGACAGCGATCAGAACTATATCGGCCTCGCTTATGGACTTGGCCACCTCGGTGGTGAACACCAAGTTTGGACTTCTTGCGGGAACTCGGATGTTTGCCCCAGTACTACTAGTAGTATCCGACTGGCACTGTCCGGCACCCGGTTCACCCTCGTTATGGAATGGAGAGTCGCGCTCGTCGTCGGAGCCCCTGCGGAACCGCGTAGAGCCACTGTGGAAGGTACACTCCCTTGAGCCGTCCCGGGTAATCCGCAGTATGTGCTTCAAGCCGGGCTCATGGATCGGGGGGTGCTTGGAGTTCCATCTCCGTATGCGCTGCTCGTCTTTATCGACCACCGTGACTCGAAGATGGGGGTTATGTAACGCGATAACCGCGGCGGTTGGTCCCCCTACGAGACTCAGAATGTTAGTACCTTATTTAACGAAACACAATGTCTGCCGTTTCGTGAAGGGGAACACCCACCAACAAAACCGGCGCCAACACAGCAGATGTTTCGGACTGAGGTGGCTGGAGTTGTGATGTCGAACAGCGGAAAGGACAAGAACTGGCTATTGTTGCCTTGCGCTTTCACGGGCGAATAAGCAGAGTCGTCTCTAGGACGGAGCTCGGGGCTGAACGAGGAGCTGTCCGTTGGTGTAGGAGGGCCGATGGAATCGTCCAACGTCACGCCCTCTTCCGAGTCGACGACGGACAGCGACGGGGTGCTCATGGTGCTTTCCCAATGGCCTGGAAGCAAAGAAGGGACAGGCAATGCCTCGCGAGCGAAGGGGGACAGGTCGCAGTTAGTACGGCAGAGACGCTGGTTTGGATGTGTTGGATGTGTAAGAAGAGGGCATTCGGTGCCGCGAATCGGGAATCAGAATGAGCCGCGCTCGTAGCGGCAGCAAACAGAGATAACGGTATGCAACATCCGAGGAAAATACCCTCCCCCTCCGTCAAATCCCGCATGACTTTCCGACATGACATCCAACCTGACAAGTCGCCTCCAAGCGCACCCCTTGGGTTCCCTTGACACCAGCATCATCCCCACATAGAAAGCGTAGTGTGTACCAGTATGGCCTGCATTGCCGAATGCGTTTGGCTGCAGAGTAGATCAGGACATCTGGCACTTTGAGAGGAAGACAGCTACCCGTCCGCCACGGTGCGTGCCTCGATTGCTTCGCGGCTGGAGGTTCGCAATGATGAATGTTGAAGGCGGGGTTGACGACCGGATGACAAGGTCAAGCACACCACGTTGTGGCGCATTCCAGGAGCACGTTGGAGCAACGGCGCGCCCCTATTCGCGCGTTGCGGAGCAACCCCATTTAACCTTATCACCGATCAGGGGTCCATTTGGCGATAAGCCAACGCGGCATCCCAGACCAAACAATCCACACACGTTCCCTTTTCTTTGGAGAGCTCGTCGTCGACCTCAATTTGAACCGCCCGGGTGTGGCTAGCGGCATGTCGACCTGAGACCATGGCATTCACACAAAGCTTACACCTTCCCTGCGGCGGACCTCGGGGTTTGGTCATGCGGCACAGATGCCACGCAGGATCACGTTCAAACACCAAATTGCCAACAATGCTGACCGGAGTTGATCGTGAGAGTAGACACCGCGCATCTTGGCCACTCTACTCTTGAACACCCGAGGGAGCGGCACAGGTCTGCACTTGCGATGTGCTTTGTCTTCTGGCTACGGCCGTACTCGCATCAGATTAAGTCCATAATTCTTCTCCCAACACCATGGGGTCTGCTCCCGTGGCGATGTTCCCGGATTCGCTCCGGGGAAAGCGGATCCTGCTATGCACCGAGTCGCTCGGACCCGTCAACGGCGTTTCCAGGACGACATTGATGCTCGTCAACCACCTCAGGGCCAACGGGGCCGACGTTGTTGCGGTTGCTCCTCACACCCGCGAAACCACCTTCGCCCCCAAGCCCAAGGACGGCGCTGGAGCCGGACAAAACGTCGAGATCAGGATCCGCGGCTATCCGCTGCCCTTCAACCCCGAACTCTCCGTCGTCTACCCCGTCAGGCTCTCCACGCTATACAAGAGAGCCTTCGGAGGCGAACCGCCAGACCTGATCTACCTAGCATCCCCGGCCTCGCTGGGATTCCAGGTCATGCTACAGCTCCGGCAGCGGCCAGCGGAGAAGCAGGTTCCCGTCGTATGCAACTTCCAGACCGATCTGGCCGGGTACTGCGCCATCCTCTTCCCGCCGCCCTTCAGCAACCTGGCCGTGCTCGCGTTCGCCGCCGTGCAGAGCTTCCTGTTCAACCACCGCAGCGTTAAGACCATCTTCTACCCCAGCCGCTTTGTGCGTCGCTATCTGGAGCAGCGGCGCGTGCGCGGCGACAAGCTGGAGGTCCTGCAGCGAGGCGTCGACACGGAGCTATTCCATCCCGCGCGGAGGAGCGACGCCCTCAGAAAGGAGATCGCGCCGGGCGGGGAGATCATCCTGATCTGTGTGTCCCGGCTGGCCGGGGAAAAGGGGTTCGGGTTCCTCGCGGACGTTGCCAAGGAACTTGATGCGCGCCGGTTGCGGTTCAAGCTCTACATTGTGGGTGGGAACCGAAACGCGGCGGTCGAGACGGGGGTCAAGGATTCCTTTGCGGCGCTGGCCGAGCAAGGCAAGGTCATCTTCGCCGGCTTCCGCACCGGCGAGCCTCTTGCTGTGGCATACGCCTCGGCTGACATCTTCTTGCACTGCTCGGTCACCGAGACCTTCGGGCTTGTGGTGCTCGAGTCCATGGCCAGCGGCGTGCCCGTCGTGGCCCGGGACGAAGGCGGGCCGAGTGACACGGTGCGTGACGGGGAGACCGGGTACCTCACGCCGCCCGCCGACATGGCCGCCTTTGCGGACAAGGTCATGGTTCTGGCGAATGATGCCGTTCTACGCAAAAGGATGAGCGATAATGCGCGTAGGCAGGCCGAGGAGGCGACCTGGGATAGGATTAATAACAAAGTCGCTTGGCGTATGGCTGAGACTATTGATCAGCACCAGCGGGAGAGGGGCGAGGTGCGGGCGGGCGTCAAGGGTGCGCCTCCATGCTTGCCGCAGGTCGAGGACGACAGACGGGCAGCGGCGAGCATGCCCGTCCTGGAGTGGCTGGTGCCGCGGGATGTGGTCAGGGCGAGGATGGCTGATGCACGGCTCGCCAGGGGCATGGCGGCCATCTTTGCGACGTGGGTGGCGGTGGGAATGTATTTGGTCTTTATCAAGGTAAGCTTGTGGGTCAAGACGAGAGCGAGAGAGGCTTCCCTGAGTCTTCCGATTTCGCGTAATCACAGTGCTCGCCTTCGCGCGTAGATTAGCTGAACGCACGTAGGGTTCCGATCAGGCTGTGATGCGACAATGATGTGAGTTGAAGCGCAATGTTGCTCTTATTAGTGGCCCGGATATGGGTCCTTGCGATGACCGCTGTTGGAATATATCCCCGGAGAAGGACTATCTCTATCCTTTAGTTTATCATCACGGATGCCAGATTCTCTCTCGGTCAGAGGTCTGATTTGATATGTACAGACTATAAGTATTTTACCTCTCCACGGGCACGGTGCATTCCTCCACGTCAGGGGGTTGTCCTTGGTCTGCCCTATCCCAGAGTGGTCCACACATGCTCTACATGTACTATGCATAGCGTACGAATTACCCGCAGGTAAAAACAAGGATTTGTCTTGAGCATGAACTTGTCGATCTTCGGACTACAAGATTTTCGTAGCATCCATACTACCTGTACTCGAAGACACTTGGACCTCGCGCCGCGCCTCCTTACATGCTCGAACTCGCTGAATGTCATCTTGCCCTCAATACTAGTCTCCGCCCATACGCACCTGAGTACCGTGACCCATGCGCCGTCACCAAGGCCGCGCAGATTCATCTGATCAAGTCCTTGGCTGTCAAACCGCCCCCACCATCCGAGTCAACTGTATCTCCAAGGGTTTTGCTAACGATAGGTTGCCGCATCTAACCAATAGTAACTTGAACAATGAGCGCATTATGGAACTAACACAGCATTAAGGACTTGCGTCTCTCATTCCCACCTGAGAGACTCGAGTCAGTGCAGGAGCAGAACATACAATATGCCATGATGATAGGTCTCTTAAACCTACAGACTCTTCGCACTGGGAATCAAAATGATGATGCTGATGCTGCTACCTCTGGGCTTCATGCCCTGATGCTCTCAACTGTCTGTAAGAAATATATCCCTTCAATCTGACAACAGACTTCATGAATTCATTTTCCTTGCAACAATCATCTTCCCGTTCTCAGCCGTCGGTGTTTTTGTCCAAGCAAAACTGGCGCTCGCTTGACGCCATTTACGCACGATCCGGTCCTGTCCAGCCGCTCCTCTTCAGCCACGCTTCGAATGAGCTAGCAGTCAGTCCAAGTTCCTCAGCGGAGCGGTCTACCTGTGGATCCAGCGCCCCGTAGGCGACCTTGCTCTTTGGAGCGATGGCGGCCCATTGCATCATCTGCTTGGCGTCCTCTTTGAAAGCTGGTCCGACCAATGGAGCCGTCAGATCGCCAAACTCTTCAGCGGATGATGGGGAGTGGATGGCTGGCTGCCCAGTGACTCTCGTGAAGGTCTCTGCGATCTGCTGCGGCGTGACCGGGGGGCTCATGACGAGGTATGTCTTGCCGCGCGTCCGATCGACGCCCAAGTTGAATACTTCTGTTTTGTAGCAGGTGTGGTTAGACAAAACCACACATTAGGGGACCCGTTCTGTCTCATCGCCGTTTTCTTTTTTCTTCTTTTCCGTCCTCTTGGTATCGAGATAGGATATTGAACTCACTTGCTGCGAAAGAGCCCATATCATATTCCGGATCCGTCCACTGCGTCACCTGGTCCGATGGAATTGGATAGCAGAACCTAGCTACACCGTCCTCTACGCCATGTAGAAGCGGAGAGAAAGTCAGTTTGGTTTCCTCCTTATTTTTCGATAGAAACGATCTCTTCGGGTTATGTGGGTTGGGGGGCCGGGGGGGAGGGGTCAGACGAGGTACAGCTCGACATACCCTGGCGTCGACAATACTGTCGCCATTGTAGATTCGTGTAGAAGAAACCCGGTATGAGACAAGTGACTCTTCCTGGGAGCTCTTCTCTGGCGATCTTCTCAACGGCATGCTTGTTGTTCATGTGGTAGAGCTTAGGAAACTGGCCAGACGTGGCTTGCATCATGTCAGGCAGGCTGCTGAATACAAAATGCTGAACATTGCACTCCTTGGCGGCGAGAACAATGTTACGTCCAGCCTCAATTTCGTGCTGCATGTCCTCTTCGTCAACTATCTCCTTGTCAGGGTGCCTCTCGCTGGTAATGGCGAAGACTCCATAGGCGCCAGCAAAGGCCTTTCGCAGAGCCTCGATATCGTACACGTTGGCGGCGACAACCTCCAACTGCCCATCATCGTTTTGCTCCTCGGCTAGGAGCTTCTGGGCCTTGGACGAACCTGGGTCGCGAGTGCCAGCTCGGACAATCCACGATTTGGACTTGAGCAATGCCCGAACGACGCCACCGCCTTGGTGTCCCGTGGCTCCAAGGACGACGATGACTTTTGGATGGCTTGAGGATGTTGACATGTTTAGTACAAGAATAGCGACGCAACCGTATTAGAGTCGAAATGAGAAAAGATAGATTCAGGATGTAAGACAAGGAGTTTCTCAGAGCATGACCCCAATATTCGAGGGAACAGGATCGAAATGACTTCAGGAGCAGGTGTATCGCTTCTTATATTCACTAACGGCTTAATAATTGTGAGCTGTGTTCCGGCAAAAGGATGTGGAATCGTAAGATCATTGATCCTTGAGATCGGTGGGTATAAATGTGGGCCACGGTGCCAGCTGTCCATGCTGCACACCATCACGACCCCCTTCTAATAAGCCCACCCGTTACTTTCATGTATGTTGTGGATCTCTGATGCTTGGTTGCTGCATCCATGGGCATGGGTAACATGTTCACCATTGGGCTATCTTGCTGTGTTGATGATCGTAAAGCTGGACAGGGTTTAAAAAGGAAGATTCTTTCCTAGTTGTCGTCTTTGAGAAGTTCCGATCTATTTCCAAAGAAGCTACCAACTAAAATGCGGCTATTGTGAGACGTGAAACAATTGGACATGGCTTCTTACTTCGGCCAAGGGTGTCTCAAAGGAGCTGATCCAGGGCATCTGCCGTACACGCACCATGACCTCGCCCCATTCTTTCCGGTTTAGTCGATGCATATCTTCTGCAATCAGGCTTACAGCAGTTTCTCGTTCGCAGGATCCGTGACAAGAAGCAATACCGCAAAGAACACTGAGCCAGAGCCTCACAGACAAGATGTCATCCGAAGCACCCGAGGCGGTATTTGCCGCCCAGCCGGACTCCACACTGAGCATGCCCAGCAACTCTGGTACGTATGCCATGGGAGAGCCGGGCCATGATCGGCACATGCGTTTCGTCCAGATAATCCAAACGATGACCCCTAGCCGTATGGATTCCAAGATCTGATCCAAGTGAGAAGAAAATCGGATAGTTCGTCCCATGCGGTCAAACAACCGATGCGCCAGGGGGTTGATTCGTAACCCCAGAAAGATCTCATCATTCCACAAGGCATTCCCTCTCGCGGCCAGTTCTGACTCAATGATGATGGCTACTTCGCTCAAGGCGGCTACGTAATCCGGGATGTGAGTCAGCCGCACCCCGACTTCAACTTCGGCAGTCGCAAGAATCTTCGAGACCGGTATCGGTAAAACCTTTGTTGATGGGTCCGTGTGGAACATTGATGGGGTGAGGTCTAGGGGCAGCGAATATCGTGGCCTCGTGTTGAACAGCAAGCATGTCGCGACGTCGACCCTAGGACACGGATATTAGCTACAATCGAAGGACTCATCCGATTATTAGCCATACCAGAAAATCATCAATCTCAGCTCATTGTTACCCTTCAGAGACTGTATCCCGCCTCTGGCAGCAATCAACCCTCCAAGGCCTTCCAAATGGACACGTGCTTGATGAAACTCGAGGCTAAGGAGCTAATAACGGAACGATGTTCAGCGACAGACAAAGTGACGGCACAACAAGCCATGCGTTCCACTTACATTGTAACAAATGACGGCCAGGACGGCGTAAATGACACGATCCCCTGTCGCTAGACCAAAGCTAGGATTCGCCACAGTCGCATTGATGCACGAAATTGTCCCCAAGGAGCGTTCCAATGCCATGACTCTGATCCTAGCAGATGACTGGCGGTAGATGCCCTTGAGCACGGACGGGTCGGAGAAGATGGCCCTGAAGTGGCGGAGGAATGCGGACGCTGTGAAAGCAAACGGGAATGAGAAACCCTCGGAAGTCAATGCATCTACACTTCCAGTGCAGAGTAGTCTTTTGCCCTCGGCAGCCAACAAAGATAAGCCATACGCCGAGAAGGTGTCCATTTGCCACTGTTGTTCCAGGACGCTGAGCGGATCCTGGCTCCAGAAGGGCGGCAAGAGAGCGTTCACTTCTGGGTGATTGGCAAACGCAGGAGGAGACCCAATCTCGACGACGAACTGCGGATTTCGTTGGGGCTTGCGTCGTGATAATCCAATATCTTTCATGATATGGCGACGGATTTTCGTCATGGTGGTCTTATCATGACGGCGAACAACACCTGTCGGTTCGGTGGAGTGTACCCAGTGGAGTCGTTGCTGCTTGAAGGGGCTCATGGTGGTGGTATGGCGCTGGGGGGTGACAAGGGGCATGGGCGGCAAAGGCCGAAGGAGGCAGAGGGAGTGAGAAAAAGGAGACCTACGGACATCATGAGATTGCTTCTTGGTGCTGGGGATAATCGTCGTTACGAGCCCTTAGTCATCAACGGAGATTCGAGCTAGGTTCTCTCCCATCGTCTCTACATTGGCCCCACACCAAATCCGCCCGGCTCCAAAGGTATGTTGGGGCTTTTCCTGATTAGGCATCTGGTCCCTGGCACCTTGCAGGAACTACTACATGGTTTTAGACGTACTGTGATATCGCCCGCCCAAAAACACAACCTGATAGCAGTCATACGCCCATCCTGCCTGTCCTTTCTCGCAGACAGATGGCCCTCAAACCAAGCCAAACCCGGTCCACAGGCCCCTGGTCGATCAATGCCTTCTTCGTGATCCTCCAGCACGCTGAACGGCCGGTGGATTCTTAGACTTGCCTCATGCACTTTTACGGATCGGACATCAGGTCCCTAGGATCTTGCAGCAACTTAGACTGAGGCTTTTCCTTTGTATCATACGGAAGATATCGATTTGTCATCAGATACTGGGGACGAGATGCTGTCCAATTTGTCAGACTCCAAGCAAACGTGCCGCGGAGACTTAGATCACGTTGACACATTATCAAGCAGGGCGTGTGATGTTTTGAAGTACGAGTATTTATGTTCACAGTCCTGGCGCCCTGAAATTCTCACTAAAACCTCCTGCTGCACAAACAGCAGCCAGACCTTGATGCCCTGAAGCGAGCGAACTGTCATAATTCAAGATGACTACCAAGACCAACATCACTGCGTACAGCGAGGGCACACCTAATGGATTGAAAATCCACATCGCTCTGGAGGAGCTTGGACTTGAGTACAAGGTACTGTCGTGACACTTTTCCCCCGGCCGAGTGATGAGCCTGACACATTGCAAAGCTGGTGCAGATTGACATGTTCAAGAACGAGCAAAAGGAGCCGTGGTTTACTGAGATTAACCCCAATGGACGGATCCCGGCCATCACCGACGTGACAGCCGACGGCGTGGAGCTCAAGATCTTCGAGTCGGGAGCTATCCTGGAGTACCTAGTGGCGACATACGACAAGAACCACCTGATTTCTTATCCCTACGCGACCAAGGAGCACTGGGAGACAATTAGCTGGGTAAGGGATCGAAATATCTTGATAGGCCTGGCTTATCTCGCTGAAGTACCTCCGGCTAACTCTTCCGTAGTTAATGTGGCAGATGGGCGGCCTTGGACCGATGCTAGGCCAGGCTAACTTCTTCACTCGTACGTAAGAGAACACGCGGGAGGTCAGGAACCCCGTCTCACGTTTGCCACAGGTTCCGCGGTAGGAGTCCACCAGTACTCGATCGACCGTTTCGTCAATGAGAGCCGCCGCTTGCTTCGAGTTCTAGATGGCCATCTTCAGAAAAAAGGATGCAGCTTTTTGGTCGGTGATCGTCTCACGATCGCCGATATTGCCATCTGGCCGTGGGTTTCTGCAATCAGTAAGTGTTGACCCCGTGCGCGTACACCGTGGAATCTTTTCATAACCGGCTTTAGGGTTCTCTGGGTTGCGCGCCATAGAAGACTTCCCGAACGTTTCCAAGTGGTTCTGGGTTTTGCTTGAGCGTCCAGGCTTCCAGAAAGGTGCCAATATTCCGGGGCCGAACAAGTACCTCGCTACCAACAAGATGACAGAGGAGGAGATGAACAAACTTGCTGAGCCCACTGTGAAATGGATCGCGGAAAGCATGAAGAGGGATGCCGAGGCCTGATTTCTGAGGGGAATACACACCTCTGCATTAGCCAATCATGCAAGAATCAGGCAGAAGTGCATCGTTTTCTGCTAGAATTCAAAACACCTTCTACGTTAAAGTTGGTAACCCGATAGCGTTACTTCAGTGCGTGGTTTGTGCTATGCGAATGAGGGTTCGACTTGGTTCAGGACAGCAGCCGCCCAGAATCATCGTAGAGATGACGATACCTGATATATACTGTAGTTATCGTGGGTGGCCATTAGACCAATAAATTATGACGGTGGTCCCCGCTGAGGTTCAACTGTTGCTCTGGCGCAGGCCGAGCAAGTAGGTAATCAATGTCCTGTCAATGGCATCGCAGTTTCCTGCTTCTGCTGGCGCAAATTCTTGTAATATGTTTAAAACCGTAGTACAGGGCAGCAGGCAATTATGGACACCATCCCTTTGCGGCCTGCGTATCTCATCTGAGCTCTCCTGGCCCTGGGGGTTGAGGGCTCATCTGTATCTCGGCGGCGGCAAGTGGGAGGGACAGGATCAGGAGGTGATGACCTTGTCGAGGACTCGAGATTAGCAAAGTATAGTGCCGGCAAAGCGTAAATACATGCAAAGAGAGCAGGAGGTTTATGATGCGCTGATGGGACCAGAGGCCTCTCGATGTATTGTTTTTTGGATGGCGGCGATGCACATAGCTCATAGCTGTGTGCAAGGATCGACTCCGCCCCGTTGTTATGTAGGTATGTACAGGCCGGCTTGCTCCGATTGGCAGCATGCAGCGCAGTTCAGTGGTGGCGCAGCAGCGCCCAATATGCACTCGGGGTCGGACATAATTATTCAGAACGAACATGCAGTCTATATCTATATAATGCACCCCACCCCGAATCTTCGCTCGGCCGGCTTTCTGGACCGCCTTACGTTGAACCTACTACCTTACTAGTACTCAAGCGAGCCACAGAGTATTACGCACCCAGCAATCAGCGCATCACTCGTACGGATGGCCACTTCTTCGGGACACCAGCGCGCTGCCGGAGGCCAAAACCCACATCCGCAACCACCACGGCCGGCCTACCCCAGGCAGGCCCAGGCGAATCAGGTCTTACCTGTCGTAGCTGCCCCTCCCGCGCCGAGGAAGAGAAGGGTAGGTAGGAAACGAGGAACTCCTTCCTAGGCGTTCGATACGCAACATGCGTCGTGCTTAGGTCGAAAGACGTGCTAACCCGACATTCTGAATCCACAACAGAGCCTCTCTTGGCTCTGTTGCGGAGACTACGGCCTGGCTGGCGCGATCTTTAGCTGTCTCTCCGCTCTTATTGCCCTGGCAGTCTGGTTGGCCGACAGGTTTAAGCCGCAGGATGATAGTAGTAGTAGTACTCCGTACGCAAAGGGGATCTATGAGGAGGAGCGCTACCAGAGCGACGTGGAGACCAAGCGACTGTGTATCGAATTGAAGGTGGGTGCCACGTTCCAGCGGGCTTGCTCTCCACTCAGACATCGGATCGACGACAGTGGGTAGGTAGAAGAGTGTGCCTCGAGTCAGGGCTGACAATCCTTTATTATAGAAGGCACAAGCCCCATCGTCCGATCTGGACTGCGAGCGGATCCTCGCCTCGCCATTTCCCACGCGTCACGAGGTCTTCGAAAGCGCACTTGGCCGGGTTCTAAGGGCCCCAGCCAGGGTCGTGTCTGGCATGTTGACGATCCTGACCCTGCTTCGGGACTTGGTCTTCCAAAATTCGGTTACCGGCGTGCTTGCGATCTGTGTACTGGCCGGGCTCGGGGCCTGGCTTTTCACTGCGAGATCTCTGCCTCATGCAGCCAGCCACAGCCACAGCACCAAGTCCTCCGAGTCGTTCAAACGCACACCGTCCGACAGCAAAGGTGAAAGGTCCGAACATCACGGGCATCAGGGTGGTCATTCATCCTCAGACCCCGGACCAGCTATGACCTTCTCAGCGGATACCGGTACCCGCGAGAGCAGGACAACGAGGGTGACCCGTCTACGATCTCGTGCCGACCCAGCACATGTTCCGCGGGACGAGGATGGCGTTGCTGTCAGCGCGGGCACGAGCTCCGGCATATCACAGAGGCTAGCTTCGAGCACCTTGGAAACAAGACGAGCCGGGCAGTCTGATCAGATGCCATCGAAGGGATCTGCGGCGTCAAGAGTCGATGAACAGAGACGGCGCAGTCCTGCATCCACATCGTCGTCGTCATCACCAAACCATGTTTCAACGGCAGCATCTACCGCCGTCTCGTCAACCCCGTACCGATCGTGGTCGGCACTGTACAACAGCGCAGGAGGGAGCGACGCAGACCACGAATACGGAGGGCCGACGAGGCCGACCAATTCGCTTTCGGATAGACCGTCCGAGACATACAGCGCCGCGTGGCCGGTGCAAGGCACAGCTCCGAGCCGCCCGGAACAGCCGGAACGGCCGCAAGAACAAAAGTGGTCCTGCGTGAGTGCTCGTTGCTTTCACCCTTTTCAGTACTACTACTAGTAGTAGTTGTAAACATGGGAAAGGAATGGGCAATTGCTAACGCCAGTTACAAAACTCCCGACTAAAAGTGTCAATGTGGGATGGTAACCCACCTACCCAGTGCACAATGTTTGTGCTCGCATTCTATCTGCTCGAATTGCAAGATTCGGGAGGATATGTGAGGCGATATGTGAGTGCTACTACTACTACTAGTCCTAACCTAAAGTCCAGATCTACCCGTGTTAGTATTCTGTGACCGGAAGCAGAAATAAGACGAGAATGCTAACTTGGCGACGGAACAGAGAAAACATGTGATGGGAGAATCCCTGCCAGCTTTTACGGGGGCGAAGAAAGGATTGGATATAAGCAGTGTACAGAGCAGAATCGATCTACTTCCAGGTTAATATTATCATATATAGTGCCGTTTGTTCTATGGGCGTCCTCGTGGCGCAAGAGATCAGACGCGCACAGTAAGAAACGTACCGTGCCTGCGTGTTATTTCGCGACACCGCTCTCGGATGCTGACAGCGTTGTTTTTTGTCTTGGCGCGTCATCTGGCCCAGCATCCATACGGATCCTGTCGCCTACCTACTCTGTATTCTCGGTCGCGGGTGCATTAAACGCGCCATTAGCGTGGCCTCATCGACCTCGAACTACATCTACCTCTGCCTGGAAGAATGGAGCGTTTACAAAACGCCTCGGAGAGCACCGTTCGGGCCATCCTCACTGCCCTCTGCGATGACGATCGAGTCCGCGCCAAGGTGCTGAAGTACCTTGCGATGCTGGAAGCCAAGGCCAGTGCACCCAGCGCTGGAGTGAGCCATGTAATAAGCGGCCAGAACGCAAGGCTACCTCTACCGCCAGCATTTGTGTGCAATGCGGAGCGGCGTTTGAGGAAGGCCTCGCGGAGAAAGACTGCGTATACCACACCGGTAACACACCACAACTTATCCTCCTTTTATTAACCCTGCGTTGGAGTGGGCACTTACCATAGAACTAGGTACAATGGACGTTGACTATGACGACGACGCTTGGGCGGATTGGGACTCGGATGTTGGCGGTCCGAGAGACTAAGACGAGAATCGCGAGGAATACCCAGAGAATTTCTTCTGGACATGCTGCGAAAAACGGGGGTGACGAACCTGGGTGCACGCGAGGCCGCCACCAATCGAATCCAGAGAAGTCAAAGAAGGGCCGGTATTAGCCGAGTCGGAGAGACGAGGAGTGACGGAGACGATAAGGACCACCAAAGGCAGGATACTTACTACTAGTAGTAATAAAGGGAAGAAAGTCGACCTAAACGCAATCCAATGTATCCGGTTTTGCGTAGGCGCTGCTCGTGTATTGTGTCTACGAACAGCAACACCCATCGTTCTCACTCGTAGCCAAACGGTCCCTCCCTTGTCCAGATCGTCTCCTATTGAGGAAACTCCGAGTCAACCATGTCCGAGTGATTCTTCCGTTCCACGGGCCAACCATATGAGCCTGTCTCGAACGCTTTTATTGCAAGTAGGGATTCACACGGGACATAGCGCATGCTTGAGGAATCCGAGACTCTAGGGACCTTGATTCCTTATGTACATGGAGAGCTTGGTTTCCAGCCTTCTTCCCCTTGTTCCTGCTGTACCGGTACTTCCAGTAGCTGCCTAGGTATCTTGTGGTCTCCGCCCCTGATTTCAGCGTCTTTGAACACCACTAACATAAGGCTCGCCTGGAGAGGCGTAGCAAGGAAGACCACATGCATGGACGCCAGTGTGTAGTAGCCGAGGTAGGGCTGATATACATGGACATCTTTACGACGGATTGTACACTACCTAACTATAACAATCGGGCTGCTATATTGCAGGGAGCAATCTCTTTCGTGATTTGATCCATCTCCTACTAGTACTTAGACCATTCCTAATCAACCTTCGGGACATTCTAGCACTACAAACCTGGATGGCCCTGACACAGCCAGGCATTCTAGCATGACACCGTGCTTTACCAGCTGAATGTCGGCATCGTGACTAGGAGAAAGGGACTGTGTGCTCTGATATCGGCTGCACCCAAGGGATTAAGCAAGTTCAAGCTGGCTTGACAAGGGCAAGACGTGGCTGTGTTTGGATAATCGTCCCCAAAGTCCGATTCATCCGATGATCCAGAGGGAATTTCCAGTGGCCAGCTACGCGTTGGACTGGCTGCACACTTCATCTACATGAACATAAGCCAAGCTATTGGCAATTAATATGTTCAACACCCAGGGACCCAACAGTTCAAGCCATGTAATTCTGGGCACAGAAGTATCCTCCGTGGTTCTTGGCGCATCGTGTTGACAGACGGATAATCAGGCAGCGGCATTCCTCACCAGGATGCTCCAAAGATGCGGATGTTTTCGTAGTATTCGCTCCATGATAGAGGAGAACATGGTGTGCCGTCGCTGCTGGGTGGGGGTGCTTGGACTGGACTCGAATACCGGTAAACAAAACAGGCCATTCTAACGGTTAGCGCTTATACCATACCCGTGGCGCTCGGGCGGAAACCTGGACTTCACTAGTACTGTGCAGACGTCGGATCATGACAAATGCAGCTTTATCCGCATAGGAGACGCGAAGACGTGGAAGGCGAACCCGAACCCGTTCCTTTGGGTGTCGAAATTAGACCTTTCTGGGGGGCAACGGGTATCGATGGGGCATCCTAGTTCAACCTAACGTTCATACAATATTGGCAACACGTACTAGTAGTACCACCGGAACATAGTCCCTGCATAAACGGCAAGAATAGAGTCCCCCCCGCACGCGAAGTAGTGTACCTAGATTGGTGAATTTGAATCAAGTCGGGGTAGCTTGAAGTCCGATGTCCTCGCACTTTGTCCATCGGAACGAGTTAGCATGTAGGTGCCTTGAAAGCTCGGACTCGTCCTCTCCTTTCCCCTCCCCTGTTCTTGGCTATCGTCATCTGATGACTTGTCGCTCTGTTGGTTTGCTCCCGGGCCGATTGCAGAGCTTCCTCAGCAAACAAGCAACGAGGCCAGCACGGGGCAAGCTTGCCGATATCACGGGGGGAACGCCCGAACGAGACGACATGGGAAGCTCGCTGGAGCCAGTCGCGGAGGACTCGAGGAGAGGCAAAGGGCTCAGCTCGCGCTAGCGGCACGACATTGCGAAAAAGCCGTCTTGGACTCTTGCTTGGCATGGCAGGGTGGTATTCATCCTTTTTATCCGGCGGAGGAGACATGGGCGCCCAGCAGCGTTCCTCCAATGCGGCGACGAGACGGCCAGGCTTGAGGCTGTCCCCCCGCGTTTGCCAAGCGCATGCCAAGGGTTGTGCCAAGGGTTGTGCTAGGGGGTCGGTACCGGTTTCCCCAGATCCTACTTCGACCCTTGGTTGCCTGTGGTTGGCTGGGTTGTCGAGCAGCACCTCTCGCTCACGGGAGCTACTAGCTACTGGTACTGTACTTGCGGGTGCACGGCTACTAAAGGAGTTCAGATGTCTTAGTGGAATGCGGAGAGGTGGAACTTTTGGGCCTTGGCTTCGATTCCTGTCTCACAAACATCGAAGCGTCCAACAGACAGATCCGGGGGTCGCTCCGAGTCAGCGCTTAGGTACATTATTAACGTACGTTGGATACTCTACCTCCATCCCTGCTTTGCCCCTGTCAACCCGCGTGGGCCCCCCCAGACCGCTGGCCAGACATCGATGGCACGCTGACACGCGGTACACGGAAGCATCATGCGGATTGCCGTGTTCTTTTCCTGGGAGGTGGGAACAGCATCCCGGCGTCTTGGGTCGCTTTCACAGCAAAGCCAGAACCAGACTAGACGGATCCCGTGAACGCGACGAGGGTTAAAAAAGAACGTAATAAGATGAACCTCCCCCCGACCCCCAGCGCAGGAGTCGACTTTCCCGAGGTCTCCTTCCTTCACACGGCTCCTGTCGCAGACATCTACTACGCCAACAACAACAGGCTGACGACAGTCACCTGCGATTTGCAAGCATGGCGATCGCATCAGCTACGGCTGCCGAGAAGGGCAAATCCGACCCTATCGTCACGCGGATTGCCAACGAGGACAAGAAGATGTTCTACCAGAAGCCGAACCTCTTGTTCCTCTATCTGATGCTCTTCCCGACATGCATGGGCATCGAGCTGACGTCCGGGTTTGATTCCCAAATGATCAACGCCCTTCAGATTGTTCCGGCCTGGGACGAGTGTGAGTGAAAAGCCTCTCTGTTGCAGTCTCGGCGCTGTGTTGCCATGTCCATCCAGCAAGACTACCTAAGGTAGGGGGGCCCGGCTGACCCGCGCCTCGCACAGATTTCGACAAACCCCAAGGCTCGCTCAAAGGCATTATTGCCGCCTCCTACTCGCTCGGTGCCATCTTGTCGCTGCCCTTCATCCCCATCATCAACGACCGCTTCGGCCGCCGCTGGTCCATCTTCGGCGGCTCCCTCGTCATGGTCTGCGGCGCCATCATCCAGGGATTCGCACAGCACGTCGCCATGTACATCATCGCGCGCATGATTCTCGGCTTCGGCATCCCGACGTGCATCGTCTCAGGCTCCTCGCTGATCGGCGAACTGGCGTACCCCAAGGAGCGGGCCGTGCTGACCTCTCTGTTCAACGTCTCCTATTTCATCGGACAGATCGTGGCCGCCGCCATCTGCTTCGGCACCAACAACATCACATCCGACTGGGGCTGGAGGATCCCTTCGCTCCTGCAGATCTGCCCTTCGCTGCTGCAAATCACCTTCGTCTTCTTCCTCCCGGAGAGCCCCCGCTGGCTCATCACGAAGGACCGAGGCGAGGAGGCCCGGGCGATCCTGGCCAAGTACCACGGAGAAGGCGACCGCGGCGAGGAGTTTGTTGCGGCCGAATTTGCGCAGATGCAGGCCACCATCCGGCTCGAGATGGAGACGTCCAAGAAGTCGTGGATGGACCTTGTCAGGACGCCCGGCATGCGTCGCCGTCTGCTGATCAGCTCCATGCTCGGCCTGTTCACGCAGTGGTCCGGCAACACGCTGATCTCGTACTACCTGGGCGACCTGCTGAAGATGATCGGCTACACCGAGACCATCTGGATCCAGAAGATCAACGTCAGCATTGCCTGCTGGAGCTTGTTCTGCGGCGTCGTCGTCTCCCTGCTCGTGGTCCGGATCCGCCGCCGCGTCATGTACCTGATGTGCACCTGCAGCCTGCTCCTCTGCTACATCGCCTGGACCATTTCGATGCAGAAGGCCCAGACCGGCAAGGAGACCGGCCACATCAACAACGCCGCCAACGTCGCCACGCTCTTCTTCATCTACGCCTACTCGCCCTGCTATAACATGGGCTACAATGCCTTGACCTACAGTGAGTCTCCTATAATGCCTCGTCACCAAGCCGCCGGCAAAGCACTTGAACCTGCCGATACCTTATGCTAACCACCGCTTTGCACCTAGCCTACATGGTCGAAGTTTGGCCGTACGCCGAGCGCTCCAGCGGCATCGCCATCTTCCAGCTGTTCGGCCGTCTCGCTGGCTTCTTCACCACCTTTGTCAACCCCATCGGCCTCAAGGACGTCGGTTGGCGCTATCTCATCTCGTACTGCGCCTGGCTAGCCTTCGAAGTGGTTTTTGTCTACTTCATGTTCCCCGAGACCTTCGGCCGCACCTTGGAAGAGCTCGCCTTCAGTATGTTTCATCGTTTTCTTTTCATTTCTTGTTTGTTTTTGACAAGTGACACTAACCCGCAACCCCAACCCAGTCTTCGAGGACAAGGCGCTCGCGGACAAGGCCGTTGCCGCGGTCGAGAAGGTGGTTAACCACGGGGAGGGCTACGAGAGGCCCAGCGGGGAGCAAAAGAGCCCTACCGCTGAGGCCAGGGAGCATACCTCTGCCGTCTGAGCAGCCTACCATGGTGATGATATGGTTGTGGAGTACCTGACTGTGTTACCTTACTTCCTGATCGTTAGTCCCAGGTTGTTTGAGGGGAGTGCTTGAACAAATTGAGATCTTTCGGGTCGACTTAGGGGTTGTACTATCCGAAAGTTGTCGTCAGGTCTCATGGGTTCCCTTCCCTTACTGGCAGTAAAGATGTGTTATGGTACTCTAAGACGAATCTAACCTGCACCATGAAGCTCTAAGTTAGCGTCTCTGAGTAATTCCACGGAATGGTCCCCTGCGTAACCACCCGTTGTTCATCATCCGGCGTAGTATAATAGTCCGTGCACTTGTTGCCTACCTTGTACCCAACACACTATATCCCTTTCTAGCCAGCGTTTAGTAGCCTAAATTGCTGAATCGTTGCCTCGGCAGTTCCACTCGCTCGTGTTGCACCTCGCCGAAGACATCATGGATACTAGGTACTAGACTTGTACGACAGGGAACACCAAGCGAGCCCCGAACTGGATCTAGTGGCTAATGCCAAAGGGTGATGATGTCACCGATTGGCCATATATTCAAAATGTCAAAAGAAAGACAGCTGAGATGCTACCGTACAGAAGGACAAGGCACTTGAACCCTAGCGGTATGCGGGTAAAGTGAAGGATTTGTCTAGGACCCAGTGTTGGGTTGATAGCAGTTCAAGTTGTAAGACCACATATTTTGCCTGGTATGACATGACATGACATTTTGCCCGATCCTCCCATTCTAGCCTCCCTATGAGATCCCTCAACAAGCGTCCGTCAAACGTCGGCAAGGTCGGTCGGTCGAATCTACCAGTGGAACTGGCAAGTGGTGTCCTGCTTCCAGCCTATGCCGTCCTTGCCGACGACCTGCTCCTCGGTAACTTCGTCGGCGACGTTGAATTCGACAATGTAACCGTTGACGACGCTCTTGGCTGTCTTGCCCACCGCCTGGTGGACGGCCACGGTAAGCACAACCGAGGGATCCTTCCAGTTGGCCAGTTCCCGGGGCGCGACGGCCTCGATGACGATGTTTTCCTTGGTGTTGGACTTGTCCGGTCCGAGATACTGCGTCGTGGCGTACTGGCCGATCTCGTAATCTTCGTTTCCGCCAACAGCCGAGGTGTAGCCCCAGGAGACGGAGATCTCTTGGCTGGGCTCCGAGCTGCGCCCGGCGACGAGGGTCAGGTTGAAGGGCGCGCCGGGCTTGATGCCGGCAGGGGCGGTCATGCCGATGATGCGGGCAGCAGCCAAGGGAGAGGCAGCGTGGCAGCGAGGATTGTTGAAGAACGCATTTTGATGGTTGTCTTGATTGACGAGTATCTGGGAAGAGAATGGAAGAAAAACGTGATTTTGATGACAGGCGCTTTGGACTGAGGATCAGGAAGCGGTGGTGATGGTTGAGTTGTTTGGTAGGTGAGGGGGGTTCGTCTCCCTTTTATAAACAGATGCTACACTTCATCTTTACTAACTGTAAGGTCATCGTTCCAGTCGCTGCTCTGGGTATCCTCGATGTTGTCCATACCATACGGTAGGTACCTTGATGGCTCATAGCACTCAACTGGCACTCGTATCGAGCCCAGGAAACAATCCACTTGCCACGGTTACATGCGTTGATTTGCTACCCTATGTCAAGCGGAGCATGGACAACAAGGCATTGCCCGAGCGGAAACCTTGAATGGAGTCATATACCTAAGTCTTGAGGTGACTGGCTCGGCGAATGGATCAGGGAGACAGCGTTTGACAGCATTTACCGGAGTCTCCCACTATCACTAGCTACGTAGTATCTGGCTGAAGCTCTTTGGAAGTGTCTCTGTGGGATTTATTAGGTGGGCTATCGTGGTGCGGTGATATAGAAGGGTTGTTACCAGCAGTGCTCGGGCAGTAACTGTCCCTATTACCACAACAAATCCAGCTCTAACTTGATATTGCCCTATTCTCTTCCCGTTAGGTAGAGAAAGCAACGCATTGAAAGATGAGATGGTAATGCTGGACAATGAAGGAGTCCGGCCCCATCTCTTGTGTGGATGAAAGTGGAGGCTACCTTGATGGATAAGGTAGTACTCGGTTGTGCTATGCTCTCTCCACGACTGTAATACGGCCAGAGTCCCATGCTGGTGATGCTAGGAGATACTACCCACCTCCTCGTGATTGTGTGCTTATTGCCCTGCCCCCGCTTGAAATCGGAAGGCGATATACACTTATCAACCACGTGGTGGCTCTCCTCCCTCGGCTGGGGGGAATACCTCAGTAACCTATCCGTAAGGGTAACATCAAGCCCGGGCATCAAAGTATCGATTTACCGAGGTTAGTATTGACACGGGATTGATGCCACGATGAGGGCCACATTGATAGTGCTTGTGAGCTTAACAGTAGTGTGGGAGTTGAAAGGAACGGCCCTAAAGATTCGAACAGATGCCCACAGCATGACAGACTCTAGTGACAGTATTAGAGCAGTCTTGTTAGGATGCCTGTCAATGGTTACACTTAAGTATGGTAGAATTGCTGGATGGTACTTCATAGCTTCGTTCATCGGTCGGAACTCGGCCTGGTGTTTAGGTGAAAGCCGAGAGTTTTCCGTCATACCGGCCTTTGAGCCCAGACTAGACGGAACCCGGCTCATACTATAGCCCAGAGGATATAGGTTAGCCCTGCCCATAGGTGGGAACTGGGAAGTTCGGGCGGGCCACTGAGCATGGAACCGAGTCATATATCTACACCAGAGCCCGATTCCGTGACGGGGGCCGGCGGGGCGACCCGGCTTAGGCACCGCTCAGCCAAGAGACGCCCGGAGAGGTTCCTCGGGGATTTCAGTTACAGCAAGCCTACGCGTGATAACTATTATTATCTCACGGGGTCCATTGGAATGGTATAAGATTGCGCTAACTAATCCTTGGGTAGTGTGATCAAGGAGAGAGATATCCAACATCTTGATAGGTTGCTTGTTAGTTGTAGCCTGTGGCCCCGAGTGACTTCAAGTTGCCGGCGATCCTCAGTGTGCTGGGAAGGGTCTTGAGACACACTCGACATCGACAGATACTCCAGCATCACCATCCCGTAATGCCAATACTACTAATACCATCTTCAAAAACAAGTTCTCACGCTGCTCAAAACCCCAACATCCTCCTGGGGACTATTAGAACCCCGCCCTCACCATTTCTCCGGATCCGCCTCGTCCTTCGTAGTGGCGATAGCAACCTTGTCATAAAACACCCGCCGAACCCCCTGACTGCCCTTCATCCCCTTATCATCATGCCATCCATTCGCGTACAGGCCCACGCGGAACTGGAAGGGCACATCCTCCGCCACGGTCGTTGCCACCCCGCGCTGATCCAGCACCTGCTTCCCATCGACCCAGACCTGCAGGGACCCATTCGTCGCCTCGCTGGTCCACGACGCGCCAAGAACCACGGTGTGCCACTCCCCCGCGCTGAGGGGCGCCACGCCGTCCAGCGGCAACTCGGTCGTCGTCTGGTCGCACACGCTGCCCGACTTGAGCCGCGTGAACAGCCGCCGGCCCTCGGCCCAGACCATGGTGCTCGGCATGAAGGCGTCGCACTTGCGGCTGTCGTCGTCGGGGAAAGGGGCGATGAACTGGGCCAGGTTGTAGCTCTGCGGCGGGTCGAACTGCCAGTCCGGCGCCAGGCGGAAGGCGAAGCCGTAGAAGCGCCTGTCGCCGTGCCGGTAGCCGTTGGCGATGTGCACCTCGGAGTGGTACCGCCCTGTGTAGGACGGATCGAAGGTCTGAGTCATCACCAGGGAGGGGGGTTGGTCGAAGAAGGTGGAGCTGTCTTCTTTTAGCTCGCCGTTGTGCTCGGTTTGCGTTTTCAGGCCGGAGAGCGTGCCGCGGTTGGTGAAGATCTGCTCGGCGCGCAGTCCGGCGGGGAATGTGGTGAGCAGAGCGGCAAGGAGGAAGGTGAGGTTCATGTTCTTTGATGATTGGCTGGGATGGTGGAGTCTGAGAGGTCGGAGATGTTGGCAGATGCGGAACTTTTGAACTCGAAGGATAAAACAGAGACCATGACAAAGAAGGCCGGGGACGTGGAGCTGCAGTATTTGTAGCAGACTTTGTGATCCTTGTCTCCTCGATGACCGCCTTACGTTCTCATGACTTTCACCCTCGCTAATCCGGTGTGCAATAGAATTCGCGGAAATCTGCTCTATACGAGGACCGTCCCCTTTCGAAGCAGGTGCTCACTGCCGAGGGCTGTGGCCGAAACATGGGTGTAAGCTTAGCAGCTCAGACCTACAACGTTCCGGGACCCGTCGCCTGACAGCTTGGAATATTGTGCTGGTAGTGACGGGGGCAGACAATAATCATCAACCACTTGAGGATGACCGACCTAGAAGAGATGTAACTCCATTCCTTATACGAATACAATTACATATATTCTCTTTTTATGAGGAATCCTTCGTAGTTAGTAAAGTACCTGCCGATATTCCTGGCGGTCGCCGAGGTGGGCCAAGGGAGGTCCGTCCGGTCTGTTTTGTGGGCGGCGTGGGCGGCCGGCCTGGGAACTACGGGTACTACCTCTTTGGCCTCCTGAAGCAGTGGTGCAACCGTCCGCTGAATCTTCAAGATTGGAATTAATGCCAATCTAGGGATGTGGGAAGTCCTACTGCAGTCCCGTGGCAGCCATAAGTACCACGTGGGATTGGATCGTCCTTCAGATGCTCGACGAGCTGTCAACATACCAAACTCTCATGAGGGAAGAGAGCCGACCAAATTGCGCACTCTAAGACTTTGTAAATGACATTATACCTTATTCTTTACCTAGTCTGAGTGAACACATACTACCACTATTAGTAGTACACTTTGTGCACCACACAGGACCTAACACTGTGTCCATCCGGGCCTCCGGTAGTTTTAGTATGTTGCAGCCCTTACTTGAGACCGTGCGCAACCCTCAGCGCAGCAATGGCGTCCCGGTCATACTCGTGCTTCTTGCGCATGGCATCGATGTACATGAAGGTGTGCGGACAGCCGAGGTAGCGCTTCAGCGTGACCTTGTTCCCGCCGGCCACGAGCTTCATGGCATAGGCCTCGCCCTCGTCGCGCAGCGGGTCGGCCTCGGCCGTGCGGATGAAGGTGTCGCAGAGGCCGGCGAAGTCGGGTGCGCGCAGCGGCGCAAACCACCAGTCGGGCCACAGCTTGCGCAGCTCGGCCGTCTTGTCCTGCGGCATGCACATCCGCCCGAAGAACTTGATACGCTCCCAGGGCAGGACGGGGCCGCGGTGGAACTCGTGGAAGGACGGGAACGGCGAGTCGGTGTAGTACTTGTAGCTCAGCCCGTCCGTGGATGGGCAGACGGACGCCATGCACAGCTTCAGCGGGATGCCGGCGTCGCGGGCCAGATGTTGTAGCACGATGCTGATGTGTCCGCCTGCTGAGACGCCGCCGATCGAGACGGAGTCGGGGTTGATGTTGAGTGTCGCGGCAGAGCTCCGCGCCTGATTCCATTTCCACGTTTAGTTGCAGAGCTATTCCAGAGTACTAGATGGTGCAATGCATCTCACCCAGTTCAGCGCGTCAAACGCATCCTGGAAGGATTTACCAAATATTGTTTCTTCCCACGTCAGCAAGTTCCGCGCGGCATGTCCTTGGATGGTACTCTTACCCGGACAGTGGCGGTAGTTGACATCAACAACAACGACTCCCGCTTCACGCATGCTGAGGCAGAGGGCGCCCTCCGTGTTCAAATCCCCAAGAACGAAGCCGCCGCCTGTGCCAACCAGTCAGTGCACACATCATCACGTGGGTAAGTAGTAGTTAAGCGAGTTAGTACCGTGGAAGTTCAGGTGCGCAGGATACGGTCCTGGCCCATGCTTCTCGGGATCCGGGTGATATATGCGCACGGGAATCTCAACGCCCCTGTCGAACGACGACTGGAACTTGCTGTCGGTCACCCTCGGGTAGCCCGACGTGTCGAGGTAGCAGGGCGACCGGCTCAGCTCCGGGTGGGCGCGGATGTACTCGATGGTGTAGTTGTTGACATAACCCTGCCCTTGCGTCCTCATGCGAGCCTGGCTTTCGGCATAGTACGACAGAAATTCGGGATCCAACTTGGGCAGGATGTGGTCCTCGATCAGTGATGCCACGTCGACGGGGCCTCCCGCGATGCTCTCAGCTTCATTCGGCATTGTGGAAGTGGCTGTTTTTGGCAATTGGAGTGTAAGTGAAAATTAGTGCTGCTGTTTCCCTGGCGATTTGTTCGGAGTGTATTCATCGTCTTTGGGTCGACGATGCTCCAACGGGAATGTGGCAGTGAGATAATAATATAAGGGTTGCCTCGGTTCTTTCCCCGCATTCCCCGATATATCGGATTTCGGAAGTGATGTCCACTTAGTTGACAAGAGCTCGGCAGAGGATCCGGCTGTCACAACTCAAGTGCAGTGGGGTTCGTCATGTATTAGAGACATGTGTACTGCAGTACATTAGTAGTAGACTCTAATAATAGCCGTTGTACCCGGCTACTACCAACCGGGCATTATGTACAAAACCTCGAATCGTGCTCTTCGTGGTATTCCCGCTGCAACGCGCTTTCAGCTTATTGAAGTGCAGGTAGTCAGCTCCTCACTATAATCCACATCTGGAACACCACTTATCATGGATCAGACGATCCCAAGCTCGTTGTCACAATCCTGCAGCAGCAAGAACTCGCTTGCCGCTTTCCCGCTCCTTCTCTTCCCGGTGGTTTTGTATGGGCAACTGCGGCTTGATGACTTTCGGCCAGCGCTGTGACCCCTGTCTCGGCCTGTTCTCCAGGATGATGGCCACGTGGCGGGTTCGAAAGCTCGCGAAGGGGGGAAAGATTAGTCCTTCCTCGTGAACCCCAACGTCGCCGTGATTCCCAATTTCGACGGTCTCGGGAACGTAGGTGTTTCTTCCCCAAATGACCAAGCCAGCAGCGGACACCGAGGAACACTACCAGTACTACCCCAGAACGTGTGGCTCACAACCGATAGCTCGATGCTCACCCAGGTCGACCCCCGCAGCCTCGAGCTGATGGGGCAGGCGACCTGGTAAAATATAAGGCTACTGACCACACTCCGGTTGTAACGAGCAATCGGGGTCTCATTGATTTTATCACGACCACCCAGCAGGTCCTACTACACCCGGATCTCAGGGGTCCGTTCTCCTGCGCCCATGCCCTGATAAAATCAATGACCCCGATTGCTCGTTGCAACCGGAGTATGGTCAGTAGCCTTATATTTTACCATGCCCAGCGCGATCCGGCCACGGGCCGATCTCTTCAGCTGGAACTTGGAGCCGAGGCGGCGGAGAGCCACGTACCGCATCTTCCGGGTCAGCGCCGCGACGGGTAAGACCGAGGCGATGTTCTTGCCGTGATCCGCGGCTGGGGGCACAATGTCACAGTCAAGGCGGCGTACATCCACAGCCTCTTACTGTCCGCCAGCTTCGTGCTGCTCTGCATCCCCAGCTTTCTCACCTGGAGTGGGACGGACTGAAGGTCGCAGTGGGAGGGCAACCTGCTGGACGCCATCAACCAACGCTTCAACCCACGCGGCGACACCGCTATGTCTACGGCCTCGCCGCCTGGGGCCGCAGCACGGTGAACATGGACAGCATCATCAAGACGGACAACGCTCACGCGCGACGCCGTGTACTGGCACGTGCCGTACGGCCGTAGTCCCGGCCAGGCTGTCTTTGTGCCGCGTCTGGGAGCAGGAGTGGAAGATGATGATGAAGGTGAAGATGATGGGGTGCTGCTTAGTATGGACCTGGACGGGCATGCGCGTAGCAGTTATTTGTTCTGTTTGGATGCGAGGACTATGACGGAGCTAGGACGGTCCGAGGTGGGGTTTGCTATTCCCATTGGGTTGCACGGTGTCCATGTGGCCTCTGTTGGTGTTCTATGAGTGATGTACTGTATATGCACTATGGATTACTAGTACCTTATGGAGTAGAGTCCGGTTGAGGAAACGATACTGCTGGGGAGCAGGGGAGGTGGACTTTGGTGTACCGACTGAACCGATGCCAGCCGACGCTACCGTATACCAAGAGCATCAACTCCACGCAGCTCTGAGGATGTGGAGATGGAAAGTTGAGGTGTGCCGGGCAATGCCGTTTTGATATTCCATAGAACCGGAAGCGTGCGGGGTTTATAATTTAGTCCACCGGTTGCTGAGTGATGGGTCCGATAGAGCTCCGGGTTCGGCCGCCTCTAGTTTGATAAGGTCTCCATTGTCTTTTGCTGATGAGTCGTAGAGCATCACCCTCGACACCTAATAAATAAATCAGGTCCCATTATTCACTGCCATCTGATGACAATGTCAGCCTCCACCATAGACGATGCCGCCGCCCGGCTGCAAGCGCGCAAACCCATCCCTCCCCCGGTGCCAGCCTACCTGCCCACCGCGGGCTCGCCCTTGACAGTCAACAAAGACCTCTACACGGCGATCCAGCAGGCGCCGCGCGTGCTGCTCTCCGAATTCACCCTCCCCATCCGGTCCGGGCGCGCGTGGAAAGCGCCCGCGGGCTCCATCGTCCGCATCAGCACCCCGGAGGGGCCACAAGTCGGCGACCTGAACCTATGGAACGCGCACAACCCGCGCGAGCGTTTCTGGGCATCGCGCACGCGCCAGCTGCACGCGACGCACGTGTCGACGGGCGACCGGCTGTGGTCGTGTCTGCCCTACATGCGGCCGCTGGTGACCATCATATCCGATTCGCTGGCGTGGTACGGGCAGGACGAGCACGGCGGGAGGGTGCACGATTTGCTGGGCACCCGGTGTGATCCGTACATCAACGAGGTGCTCAGCGGGGGCGGGCAGTATGATTTCCACTGCCACTCGAACCTGACGCGGGCGGTGCTGCCCTTTGGGCTGGCCGAGTCGGATGTGCACGATGTGATTAATCTGTTTCAGGTGACCGGGTTGGATGAAAGGGGGAGGTATTTCATGAATCCGTGTCCGGCGCAGCGGGGGGATTACATTGAGTTCCTGGCGGAGCAGGATGTGTTAATGGCGCTGAGTATGTCTTCTATTGGGTTGCCTTTGTTATTCTAGTCCACTGACCCGGATACAGGCACGTGTCCCGGAGGCGACCTCTCGCTGTGGGGATTCGGCGCTGACAGCGAGAAGGAGATGATCAAGTGCTGCCGCCCGCTCAAGGTTGAGGTATTCCAGCTCGAGGACGGCGATTTCCTGCACAAGGCCGGCTGGCGGCCTGCGGAACCTTCGAAGTACCAGGGCATGCACGGGATGGCGGTTGTGGAAGGCGAGCCGGCGTTGGGGAAATAGGGGGTGTATTTTCACTCCCACCGGTTGAATGAAGGACAGAGCGGGGGTAATGTGAAGCTAAAGCTGGTATTCATGGACTATTTTGCATGTTCGCCACTCTGAGCTACTCCGTCATCATAGTACCTTGTCTTGCGCATCACCTATCTGGTGAGGTTTGGGTCTGGGTCCCTCAGTGCCCAGTGTAGACCTCCTCCTCGCCCAGGTCCTTGACAGCCTCCCGACCAACCATACCACACACCGTATCCTTACCACCGTCTTGACGGCTTCACAACAAAGGCGCCGCGATCCATGGTGTTGATGACGATATACCCGCTCGGGAAGAAGGGGTAGTGGCTCCATGTGCCAACGAAAGTCACGTTCCCGCCGCCCGGGAGGTGGTCGTCCTCGGGATGGATGTCGAAGTAGGCAACCTCCTTGATCCCCTTCCCGGTCGGGTCCCTCGGCACGGAGCGGAGGTCGAGGATGCTAAGGCCCAGGCCGTAGTTGCTCTGGTAGGAAAACCCGTACTTGACAAACTGATTGTGGTCGATCCCCTTGCGCAAGCCCTTGTAGTGGCCCGTCTGCTTGGGCGACTCGAGCGATGAGATGTCCCAGATGTACGAGATGGGGTATCCGTCGGCCGCCAAGCCCTGCTTGTCGTACTCGTCGTACTCGTCGTCCGCGATCAGGTACTGTTGCCAGTTCTTGTCGAGCACCCAACCCTGGTGCGTGTAGGCGAAGCCTTCGTAGGACGTGTTGGAGATGACCTTGATGTTCTGCTTGTCGCTGACGTCGAAGCTGCAGCGAGAGTTAGATAAGGGCGGCGTTGGCTCCGTGCCAAAATCATGAGTGGGAACTTACATTGTCAAGGAATCCTCGTCGTAGCCGTAGCAGATATCCCTGCCGTAGTACTTCTTGTCGGGGCCACGGTAGACCAAACATTGGGCGTCGTGGACATAGCCATCCGCGCCAGTGCCACCCAGGGTCTTGGGGTTGGAGGGGTCCTTCAGGTCGAAGAACACTAGACCGGCCCGCAGCGGCCCGGTCCGCGGCTGGAAGCCCGTGGCGACACCATAGCCGAGCTCCTCGTTGGTCACAACGTTGTGAGACCGGCCGAGCGGGAGCTGTTCCGAGTAGAAGCCGGCCAGGTCCTTCTCGTTGCTGAACACAACAGGATGCGTCGGGTCGACGCTCTGCAGCTTGCTGAGGTCAAAGATCTGGACGCCGTGCTGCACCGCCTCGCTGCCGATGAGAATGTAGCTCTTGTAGCCCTTGATCTCGCGCCACAGCGATGGCGGTGCTGCGTCGTACTGCGGAAGACGGCCGAGGTAGATGAGCTTGCCCTTCTTGCTCACTTCGGCGAAGGCCGTGCCGTCCTCCTGCGCGATGGCGACAAATTCCCGGCCGTCGGGACTCGTCCAACCCCAAGACCCCGCCCCAGCCCCTGACGAGCTGCCCAGCTCGGCGTGGGTTTTGAAGTCATACAGGTCGAGGTCCTTGCACCGGAAGGTGGACGTCGGGTCGCCTGGAACAAGGGCTGCCACGCCGTTCTTGCACTGGATGTAGTCCTTCTTCTGGGGGAACTTCTTGTACTGAGTCGAGTCGAAGACGCCTTGTGCTGCCAGTTCGCCCCACACCCGCTGGTGTCTCTTAGCTACTGCAACTCCCACAAAACGACCGGCATCCTGAACTGTGAAATCTTCTTACGTGTTTCAACGTCATGATCCGTTCGTGGACCACGCCCGAGTCGTACAACTCCGCTTTGAGCTGCATGTTGACAGGAGCCTCTTTCGCCGAGACCACGACGCCGAGGGCCGCCACAATGGCCACAGCAGCGTTGCGTACCGCCATTATCGGTTGTGATGAAAAGGAAGCCTTTGGTACACGGCGATGCTTCTCGGGGATTAAGGCAGTGGGAACAACCCTGGATCGAGTGGGAAGTTCTGGACGCTCTGATCTTGAGCTCCTATGCTCCAAGGGTCATGAGAACTTATATAAGGCTGCCCATGTGTGATTGTCCAACCTTGCGCCAAGGACTGCCGAGATAGTAGCCATAGTACGAAGGCCGTGGACGGTAGCGCCCAGAGTGGCGAACTACCGGACGTGGTAGGCGACTTAATCTAACCGCAATCTGGGCTGGTGACACCGGCCGCGGGCACAGCTCCCTCGCTAGGTAGGTGGCTAGGCCGAGATCCGGGCTTGTGTTGCCCCCTCATCCGCACGATTCGGCGATGCATGCGGATTACTGGATTGCGGTGCCATTATGCCAGCGGATCATAACCTCACGATATCATGGGGCAGCTTGACGTGATGGCTGGAACTGGCAGGTACCGGGAGGCTTGGCTTCTCAAAGCGGCAGTTGGACTTGGCGAGGACTAGACATAGTCTCGGCGTTTTACAGCTCCAGGGGCCAGCACTGGCGGGATCTCATCTCGTGTGCAGCGATGCATGGATGTGCGTAGGCCTTGGCGTGGCGGCTTCCCCTCTGCGATTGTAACTGCCGCCTACTGCATCATTGTTATCAACAACGACGCGATATACGGGAGCTGCGGGATCTCAACATTAGGTACTAGTAGGTACTAGTCGTGATTTGCAACGCAGCGCAGTTGCTAGACTCGCACTTCCCCTGAACATTGGCAATGGGATCAGGTGCGCTTAGGAAGACGTGCCATTGTCATGTTGAAACCCTATACCTAGACCTGCATCGAGGTATTAGCTGTCTCCAGGAATCCGTCGTAGAGGTAGGTAGGTAGCTCTCAAACCTTTTAGATACCTAGGTAGAGTGCAACTGTTGAGTGGATTGTGACTCGGGCGAATGCACAGCGAACAAGATTGAGTCGGACTGTCAGAGTACTCATGAATCGGATATGGATGTAGCCAAGTTGGAGCCACAGATTCGAACTCTTGTGATCTATACTGTCCTCTCCCGTGTGTCCTGAGTGAGTCTCAGCACTACAGGTGATGGTCTGTTCAAGAATTGGCTTCAACCTCGCACCAACTCAGGTTCGACCGTTCGCATCGAGTTGCAACTCCCACGAACCCCTCATTCTTCAACCGCTGCGGTTGCGACTGCCCCGCATTGCCCCACTCCTATGACGACACCGGTTTCTCCAATCGTTCGCAGGGAGACGGACCACAACAGCTTGGAATCGCAGTTGACCATTCAGAGTCTTTGTGATTACTCCTGCTCGTATGCACCTCTTTGGCCCTTCCGTTGCATGTTGCATGAGGGCACGCTGATTTGTGCTGACCCAATTCGACTCGCATCCGGCCACGCCCGACCTCGATTTCCTTCCTTTTGCCAGCTTTGATGACGGCTGCCTTGTTTGCTGCTCGTACTTCTCTCATTCAACGATTCGTGGTTATCCCGAAGCCGGAAATCCGACGTCTGTTCTCCGCAGCTCCAGTAAGAAAGATGGCTCAGGAATACAAGCTCAAGGGCGTCACGTCGCTATCGCTGAAGCCCGGCGAGAAGCAGGAGGTGGAAGTGGAGGGCCTCGACGCCAAGGTGCTGCTGCTCAATGCCGCCGGAACGGTGCAGGCGGTCGGGCCCCGGTGCACCCACTACGGCGCTCCGCTCGTGAAGGGTGTCCTGGGCACCAACGGAAAGCTCACCTGCCCTTGGCACGGAGGTAACATTAGTTCTTCGTGTTCCCGCTGCCATCCGTTCTGTGTCTTGCACTTGGACTGACCATCTCAACCCACCGCAGCGTGTTTCAATGCCAAGACCGGCGATGTCGAGGATGCTCCGGCCCTGAACGAACTCCCCGTCTTCAAGGCCACCGAGCGCGACGGTGCCGTATACATCAGCGGCGATGCCGACACGATCAAGAAGGGGAACCGCATTCCCAAGTTCAAGTGCAGCGTGACTAGCGGCGACAAGGTCGTGGTCGTGGGCGGCGGGTCCGGAGCGCTGGGCACCATCGAAGGCCTGCGTAACGGCGGCTACCAAGGCGCCATCACGCTCATCTCCAACGAGGGCTACCTGCCCATCGACCGGCCAAAGCTCAGCAAGGCCTTGATGACAGACCTGGCGAAGCTGCAGTGGCGTGACGAGGACTGGTACAAGTCTGGCAGCGTGGACGTCGTCCATGACGAGGTGGTCGACGTCAACTTCGCGACCAAGACAGTCACAACCAAGTCCGGCGGCAAGTTTGCCTACACCAAGCTCGTTCTGTCGACGGGGGGCACACCCAGGTTGCTACCTCTCGAGGGCTTCAAATCCTTGGGCAACGTCTTCACCCTCCGCAACGTCGGCGACGCCAAGCGTATCGTCGAAGCGATCGGCGGAAAGGGCAAGAAGATCGTCATCATCGGCTCGTCCTTCATCGGCATGGAGATTGCCGTGTGCACGGCGAACGGGAACGACGTGACGGTTGTAGGCATGGAGAAGGCGCCGTTGGAGCGTGTCCTGGGGGAGCAAGTGGGCAACATCATCCGGAAGGGCGTCGAGGCGAAAGGCGTCAAGTTCTACATGTCGGCGGGTGTGGAGAAGGCCGAGCCCTCCGCCTCAGACTCGTCCATGGTCGGCTCCGTCCACCTCAAGGACGGCACCAAGCTCGACGCCGATCTCGTCATCCTCGGTGTGGGTGTCGCGCCGGCGACAGAGTACCTCAAGGGCAACAGCGAGGTCATGCTCGAGCAGGACGGGAGCCTCAAGGTGGACGAGCGGTACTTGGTGCCTGGCCTCGACGGCGTGTATGCGATCGGTGACATTGCAACGCACCCGTACCGCGGGCCCGGCGGGGGCAGCGGTAAGTTCGTGCGGATCGAGCACTGGAACGTGGCGCAGAACTCGGGGCGGGCGGTGGCGAGCCACATCTTGAACCCGACGCGCACGCCCGAGTTCTACACGCCCGTCTTCTGGAGCGCGCTCGGCTCGCAACTGCGGTACTGCGGCAACACCATGGCCAGCGGCTGGGACGATGTGGTGCTGCAGGGCGATCCGGCGCAGGGCAAGTGGGTGGCCTACTACGCCAAGGGCGAAGAAGTCGTCGCGATGGCGAGCATGGGCATGGACCCGGCCATGGCGCAGTGTGCGCAGCTCATGTCGCTGCATAAGATGCCCAGCAAGTCGGAGCTGAAGTCCGGCTTGGATATCCTGAGTGTTGGACCGCCACAGTAGGGGGTTGCTTTTGTAACGAGTTCAGCTGGGAAGGAGGAAGAACGGGTTGATGTTTCTGCCAAGCAGGATCATCCGAAATCGCTCATCACATCGTGAAACCCTAACCCAGGTTCGCAAACATTTTACCATCTCAAAGTGTGAAGCGGTTTTTTGAACCAAAGCATCGGAGCAACCATTTCTACCAATCTCTTCGTGGAATTCGGTTTCGAGCTGTTGACTGCCATTCCTCGAACACTGAGGCGTGAGAATGATTTCTTTGTTGGCCATTCGAGTTGCTGCGCGGCATATATTAGGTAGTCACTGCTAAGAAGGCAAGAGTGGTCCTGAATCACCAAACGACTCGTTTGAAGCAATGCTCGCCACGCTACTGGCATTTTCGCTGACCCTGACGGTCCTATGTCTACTCATCGCCGCCATATACCGGCTATTTCTTCACCCACTCGCTCGGATTCCGGGACCGGGACTCGCCGCTGTCTCGAACATCTGGCAGGGGCTGTATGTGCGGAAAGGCCGCACCCGTGAGTTGGGCAGGACCCTTCACCACATCTACGGCCCTGTTGTACGTGTCGGACCCAACGAGGTGTGGCTGGACTCCCGTGATGCTTTTAGGAAGATCTACGGTATTAATCTCATGTCTGCCCTTTCCTTCCTCCTCTCTTGAAAGGTTCTGTCTCTAATAACGGCCGCTAGGGGGCAATGGGTACACTAAGTCGGGGTTCTACTGTGAGTCACCTAGACCTGCGCTAAAACATCCCACGACGGCTTGTTCGTAACTCTGACTTTGCTCAGTGGCCACGGCGCTGAACAAGCCTTTCCTGGACTGGCGGCTCAATGTCCACTTCCCGGACACCCTGGACCTGCTCTCAGAGTTTGATATCAAACGATACCGGATGCAAAGGCGGCTCATAGGCCCCCTGTACACGACGTCTAGCCTAAAGAAGTTCGAGTCTGCTGTGAACGGCGTCATCAAGACAGCAGTTTCCGAGCTGCTGGCGCAAAACGGAACCGAGGTAGACTTGAAAGAATGGATGCACATCATCGCCGTCGAGTGTCTTGGGGCTGTGGTCCTCTCGTGGTCCCCAGGCTACATCAACAACCGGTCCGACGGCGGCACCAGCACCCAGAGCTACCTCGGCTGGAAGCGGAAAAGCATCTTCGGTCTCTTTCCGACCGTCACCAAGTTAGCCTTCCTCTCCAAGACGTTGAGCCGAGTATTCTCCAACGTCTGGGGCGTCACCTTCAAAACACCCAAGAACTTCAAGCCTTTCTTCACGGTGCGTAACCCCAACACGTTAGCATGTACAGCCTCGGCTGATTTGTTCCCACCAGCCGGTCTACCAGAAGACATCGAAGAGGGTCACCAACGCCCTCCGCAATCCGGTTTATCCCAGCAAACAAAAGGACTCGCGCAAGGACCTCCTCGCCGACCTGATCCAGCTGCACAAAGACCGACCCTCCGAGTTCACCGAGACCTACCTGCGCCGCATGGCCACGACCAACTTCGGCGCGGGCCACGAGACCATGTGCTCGGCACTGACCTCCATCATGGCCGTGATCGGATCCCGTCCGGATATCCAGCGGAAGGTAGCCGAAGAAGTCCGTCAGCATACTCACATTGCTGAGGCGACAATACCCTATGATACCGCCGTCCGGCTGCGGTACACCCAGGCCTGCATCAAAGAAGCCATGCGCCTGCACCCGGTCATCGGCATGTCCCTCTCGCGGACGGTTCCCGCCGGCGGGGTGCGCTTGCACGGGTATTTCCTGCCGGCCGGGACGACGGTAGGCTGTAACCCCGCGGCGCTGCACCGGAATCCGGACATCTTTGGCCCAGACGCGGAGGAATTCAATCCGGATAGATGGCTACCGCGCGAAGGAGAAGAAGACGCGGCCAGTAATATTAGGGTGCGCATGATGGAACGGACGAATCTCACCTGGGGAAGCGGGGCGAGGGCCTGTCCGGGACGGCATCTCGCGGAGCTTGTGTTGTTTAAAGTCGTGCCGGCGCTGCTGGGGGAGTTTGATGTCCAGGTCACGGCCATGCCACGGGAGGATGAGATGCCCTGCTATTTCATGGCGATGATGGCCGGGGTTAAGGTGAGGTTCGTGCCTGTGCATAAGGAGGATGGCGGTCTGAGATGATCAGTGAGCGGGATCTTGACCAGATTAAACAGTCGGGAAGGATCCGTCAGTAGGAACCATGGGGATGATTTAGTCTCCAACGCCGCTGCTGCACTCTTTGTGCCGCTAGTATGGACAGACTACCCAGGTAGTTGTGTAGATTAGGAACGAGATAGATCTCAGCACGAAATACGTGAAGAAAACCAACAATCTACTGCCATTGCTGCAGGTTTCCACCCGAATGCCTCCAAACCTCCGCTAACTAGAAGTCCCATCCCAGCTCCCATCGACACTCAACAAACCAACCTCTTCTCCATCAGAACCCCACAACCCCCTTCACCGCCATCCTCCTATGGGTACCTGTACCCCTACGGACACCCCTCCGGCTTGGTCGGCCCAGGCTGACACCACTCCTCCCACCTCCCCACAGCCACGGTAATCATGCCCGGGCCTACACTACAATACAATACACCCTGGTAACAGTATGGCTCCCACCCAGATTGGGGCAAGCTGGTGCAAGGATCCGGCGTGCAGTTCTCTGCTTGTTGAGGTGGCGGCGGGCACTCTGGCTTTGACGGCTCGGGCTGACACCATTCCTCGCAGCGGCCCATGGGCACGGTGATCATACCTGGGCCTACGGTGCAGTACAGGGCGCCTTGATAGCAGTATGGCTCCCACCCAGATTGGGGCAAGGTGGCGCAGGGGTGGGGGTTGCATGTTTTTGGTGAGGTTTGTGGTGCCGGGGCGGGTGCCGGTGCCGGTGCAGCGTTGACGGGTTGGGAGAGGGGGTGTAATAAGAAGAGGGCCAGAAGGCTGAGCGTAGATGAGAGGTTGGGGTGCATGTTGTTTTGCGAAGACGGTGAGTTGATTAGGGGTTCAAGTTGTAAGTGAGATTGGGATACGTTAAAGGCACAGCTGAGGAAGTTGCAAAGAGGCGTGATGTTGATGATTTAATAGCAACCGAACCGAGCTGTCCGATTTTGACAGCCGGTTCAAGTGCGTTGCCGAGTGTACTACCGGCTTGGAGGTGGAAGGTAACTATGATGCCGATTGGATGTTCATATCGAATCAGGAAAGTTGCGACAAACACCATAACTTGACTGGCCAATTCGTAAATGAACCTAGCACTAATTCGAGATCATGTCAATGAAACAATAAACACCCCCCTCTCAGCACTCCCTGATAAGCCATTTGAAGTTCAGCGTGGCGGCATTCTCAATCTGGTCCGGAACCCCTGAGCCCTTGTCGGTCCAGGAGCCGGTCTTCATGACAGCGGGGCCACTCGAAAAACGCGCGTCTGCCTTCAGGCCGTAAGTGACAATGAGGTTCCCGACCTCGCCGTTGGCGTTGACGCATGGTGAGAAGGGGTTCGTCGGGTCCGTGGCGAAATTGATGGTGGCCGCCCATTTGTGTTGTACTTGACGAGGGGGGTTTTGGTTGGGTTGAAACCTGACCTCGAACCACCTTGAAACTGTTTTCCATTGTTGCATGTCAACTCAAATCCAGCGCGATATTTCATTCAGCCGGGGCTGGGTCCGGCGTAGCATGAATTAGAGAGACTGCGATCTGTTCACTGCTATAGGTCTAGAGAACGGGTTACTGCCGAGTCGGGCACGTCGGCTAGTCGTGGTGGGTTGTCGGCCTATGATGTCATCACCAAGTTGATGTTGCGGATCGCCGCCAACTGGATCCCGAGCAGCACGTCATGAAAATACGAACCACGAATTGCTCATAAAACAACACGAAGCTGACTGTAACAAAGTTTTCCTTGTTGAGTGATAGTTTCGTCCGCAAATACCCCATATCATCGAAAATGCTCACAACCAACACAAGAGCGCTCCAGCAGCGCCTCGGCGCGGTGCTTCCCGGAGCCACGAGGACAGCAACTGCTCCTCGCCGGTCACCTCTGCTTCAACAAATCCGCGGCGTCGCGGCAGTCCCGGGCAAGGACCCGGACAATATGGGCGGTCCCGGCGGACAGGAGCATCTCCCGGAAAGCAACTTTCTACGCAGGTGCGTGCTTACCTTGGTGCACGTGGGAAGTCAAAATGCTAATAGATCCACCAATCGGCCAGGCGCTATACCATGGCCACCGCTGCCGGTGTGCTGGCAGCCTGCGGCGTGATGGTGTACATGAAGATGGGCAAGAAGGATGCCGATGCCATTGCAAAGAAGACACAGTACGTTTTGGTGCATGATAACTCGAAGGGGGAGCTGGACGATGTGAAGAGGATCAAGGTCACTGAACTGCCGAAATCATAGGGAGATGGCGAAGAAATAACTTGAGAGCGCTTTTGTAGGATGCTTTCATATTCTCGGGTCTCTCGAGGCTGTTTCGGCGCTTGGTTTCGGTGCGTTCGCGGATATTGACGGCAGAGCAATGAATACATTTTAGATTGCTAGCGATGGAATGAGCAGCTACGCGAGTCATGTCCCAGTGGCGAGACCAGATGTGCTTCTATTATTATCACTGCCCATATAGCGCCGACTCATTTCATATCGACATCTGGTATCATCGCAACATCCCACACAGTGTACTCTCTTCCTTTGAAACCCAAAAGGATTGAGCTCGGGTTCCCCTTTTCACAACAGGCTTCCGGACATTAAATACAGTCTGCAATGGGCCTCCCCTACTCCAAACAAATCCACCACGCCTTCGACCAGGTAACCCCGCTCGTGGCCGCCGGCTTCCGCGTGCTCGAGACCTCGCGCGACATCGCCCTCCTGGTCGCCTTCATCCAGGTCCTGACCTGTGTCTTGCTCTTCCTCATCCTGGTCGTTCTGCTCGCGCTGCTGGTCACGGTCAACCCGGATTTGGAAGTCGAACGCCGCGTCCTGGTCACGCCTTGTGTACAGTGGCTAGCGGCGTGGGTGCGGGAACCGGAAGATAGGAAATGGCTGGAATTCGTGGCATTTGCGGTGGCTGGGGGTGTGGTCTTTGGGGCGTGGGCCGGGAGTGCGGTCATGCAGGAGTCGGGGGAAACCGAGACCAAGAGGGCAAGGGGGCTGATGGTGCAGCACGAGGAGGAGGAGGTTGTGGTGGAGGAGGCGGTGGGGGTTGTGGAAGGCGCTGGTCCGGGCTAAGGGAGGGAGGTTAACTGCAAGATCTCTGCCCTATATCGACCGTGAGGGCAAGCTGGACCATGTCATTTTGAAAGAAAAATCCGCATCCGTTCAACTTGACATTGAGATGCAGTTTTGTTTTGAAAAGGAGAAGGCTTATTTCTAAGCCACTGTCGGGCAATATCAGGCGACAGCCTATGAGAGCGGTAGGAATAATCCAATTTGATTCTGACAGCCCAGCCAGTGGCGCAGCAGATGCTCATGCACTGCAGGTTACGCAGCGGTCCCAGCTACTCAGGTATTTACCTCCAGGCAGCTTCCGCTCGTCGATTTCACCCCCTCACTCTCGACCCAAAGCTCTGTTTCCGCATGGCAGTAGGGAATTGCGAAAGAGAACTCATTTGACAACCACGCATCCCACATTGCAAGATGAATGAAGCGTTTTGTGAACTGTGCCAGTCCCTTTACGAGGGAACCGCGGGGCAGGAGACAGGCGACAACGACCACGGGCCAGCACTTTCGCGGGAGATGCATTGGTCACAGCGGCACCATGAAAGCATAGAGGAGCTGCGAGACTGCGCACGCAGTCGTTGCCGTCTGTGCGCTGTGATCTTGGAAGCAAGGTTACGAAAGACTCGGACCGGGTTTTCGCGTGTCGAATTCCAATCTGAAGAAGAAAATTGGGCGCTGATGGTTCTCTCTCCTGGAAACCTCGGAGATGTAAACATCGAGATGACCCTCTATCCTGATGATATGCGTATGTTTGCTTGCAATTGGCACCATGGAGTTGGATATTGACAGCTTGAACTGTGTCTCATTGACTAGGTCCGGTATTGAGACAACAGCAGAAAAAACAGAGACCGAATCTTTCGACTTTGCCGTGGAGACCGCACGGCTAATGCAATTCGACTTCGTCTGAGCAGTCGATGCGGTGGGCGAAAAGGATGCTGGAGGATTGTGAAGCACATCACGAGATATGCAAGGCCTCGCGCATGGCCACTGGCCCATGGCTGCCGACCAGGCTTGTCTTCCTTGGAAAGCCAGGTCACAACCCGCGGCTGGTGGAAGCACCAGAAATGCGGCTTGAGCCCTCCTCACTGCCGCTCCGATACACGACTCTCAGCCACCGTTGGGGCAAGACCCACCCCCTGAAACTGACTATGGAGAACCGATGCCAGTTCTCTAATGGGATACCGTGTCAAGACATACCCAAGACCTTTGCCGATGCCATGGAGATCACCAGGTTTCTCGGCCTAGAGTATATCTGGATCGACTCCCTTTGTATCATTCAGGGCGACGAACGGGACTGGGAACGCGAATGCGCTCGGATGGCTGATGTCTACCGACATGGCTATTGCAACATCGCAGCGCTGGAAGCGGCTGACAGCCACGGAGGCTGTTTTAGCGCCTGGGATCCAACACTGCTCAGTCCTATTGTCGTTGAAAGCAAGTGGCGCAACCAAAATAGCCGTCACTGGGGGCACTTTACGGAGCATAGGGATTACCCCATAGCTGAGTTCGAGACAGCCCCGGTCCATCTGCGTGGTTGGGTGCTTCAGGAGCGCCTTTTGTCTCGGCGGGCTCTCCATTTCGGACGGAAGGCGATAACCTGGGAATGTAAGGAAAGGCTCAGCGCAGAACTCGACGGGGATACGGCATGTTCGATACCATTCGACCAGGAGTCGCGCCGCATACCCCACAGCTACTTCGGCGCCGTAGGCCACACCGAGCTCTCACAAGAGGAAGCCCGCGACCTCGTGCAGGCATGGTTCATGGGCGTCGTGCCCCAGTACACCGCTGCAGGACTCACTTATCAAACCGACAAATACATGGCCATCTCGGCCCTGGCACGCGAGGTGCACCGTAAACTCAACCTCAACACTGGCAGGAAACCTGAAGTGGAATACCTTGCAGGCCACTGGAGCCTCGACCTCGAACACCACCTGCTGTGGTGCGCGGCTTCTCCCGAGAGTGCCAGAAGACGCTTGGGTTTCGCTCAGCGGGTCGGTGCGCCCTGTGAGATGGGGATTCCACCATAATCTTCGTCACACCGCGCTGCTCAGTCATGTTTCCGGTTATCGTCTTTCCCCAAGGTCCGGCGACCCCTTTTTCGGCCCCGAAGCACGGTCAAGGAGCGTGCTTCAGATCAACGGTCCTTTCTGGAAGCTCTTGGTTTCCGACAGCGGTGGCCGCACAAGGGAGAAGCCCGTCGTTGGAATCACCTTGAACATGGACTCTACCACTGACTGCCCCACTGTTGGCACGGATCCCTTTCTGCTGCCAATCTCCATTCTAGCACAAACCGAAATCAACGACAAATGGTATACTCATCGCTTTCCCTATCTTTGGGGTCTGATCGTACAGCGAGTGGACGACGCAGCGGAGATCATGTCATTTCGGAGGATCGGGTATTTCACGCTCGAGACCCACGGTCAACTCCTAAAGGACACTGGTGTAAAAGGGTGGCCGGGCTTCGTGGACAATCTCATGCGGTTCTATCTAGAACACAGGATGATCTGGCCTAGTCAGCTCGACAGCCCTTCCCCGCCTGATGCGCCTGAGATAACTCGCGATATTCTGGAGAAGGCTGCAAGCCTTCAGACCATCTCACTCGAATAAATCCTTCATCTCCACTACTGGATCACGCGGCTTTGGCATTAGAGAATCAATAGGCCTTGGGGATGAACACAGGCCACTGGCGACTAGTTGGAGCACCTTCACCCTTATCCCCTTCCTCTTGGGTTTCTTTCCTCTAGGGCTTCTTTGGAGCAAAGGTACCTAGATTTACTTCCCAGAGTTCATCTATCAAGCGTTCAAAGACTCACAGCTCGGCACACTGACACTTACACCGGCACTACTATATAAATGTTAGGTCTTTCATCATAACCGCTGTTCTCGTCAGACAAATAACTAAGAACTCAGCTTTCTTCATCAAGCAGTTTCTGGAACGTCACGTCTATGTTACCTACTTAGGTTAGGGACTGATATAGTCCAACTACATACGCTTATCTTGACTTTAAAAAGGATTCTTGATGTTTTGATGATTCATGGGCGAATAAGTTGTAACGGAGCCAAAGGTGTCCGTAAAAACAACAGCAATGACTCTGGACAGGTTCCTGAAAATGTCGACGAGCGCCCCGGAGAGGGACTAACCACACGCTACTTACTGTTCGCTTAATCAAGGTATCAGAAGTTCTCCCCGTATAACAAAACGACATTGGGAGCGACGTACAACCTATAGGGCGATTCGTCATCCTTGATAATATCGGCCAATCTTTTCGGGGACGAGATGGCTGTTTTCCCGAAAAAGTCCCCTGCATCTCACCAACGCGCCAACAGTTCTCTTGCCTCGCTTCCATCTTCCGAGCCGCATCCACAACGGACATTTGGACCAATTGGTCCCTATACCTTCTGACTCGAGCACTACAATTACAGTACATTGCCTCCCGCGAGATTCCCCCACGCGGCCTGTTGGACCCTGATCCCCTGGTCCCCTGCATGGGAGTGCGAGCAGGCGTATCAGATCCCCTGGCTCCCCAGATTCCCCACTCGCCGCGACATCCAAGTCCAACACCAATTTCCGTCTCCATCTCCCCGCATCTTACCCCGCAAACCAGTTGTCGTCGATAGGTATGCACCGTCGCCGTTGGTGCTTACAAGTAATCCACTTTGTCATGGCTGAGTCAGAGTTCTCAGCTCATTACCTTATGTAGCAACAGGTCCGCGGGAACTGTTCGCGGGCGAGACGACATCGGCCCGGCGCAGGTACTAATAATAATAATTTTGCCTGCCTTGCTTGCTCGGTTCGACTGCCGAACCCCAAATTGAAATTTGAAACCCGCTACGACCTCCTCCGCACGACAATATCCAGACCGTTACACAGTCGCGGAAGCCTCCGAGGATGGCGGAGGGCGAAGTCGTACAGACCGATCTTTTGATCGTTGGGGCCGGCCCGGCGGGAGCGTCGCTCGCTTGCTTCCTAGCCGCCCATGGTATGTGAGGAGAAAGGGGGAAGAGAGAGCGCATATTGAAATCTCTCGTCTGAAGCTCCACGCGACGATACAGACTGATGGCTAACAGGAGTTGCCCTATGTAGGCAGGAAGGGGATTATGATTGCCGCGGCGCCGGGCACGGCAGAGACGCCGCGTGCGCACATCACCAACATGGCTGGTCTTGGTGCGTGCTTTATGGCGTTCTGAAGACGGAGGAGGGGCTGCTTGTATGTGTAGGGCTGACAATGGGATACTTACCTTATGTTTTATTCTAGAGTGCCTACGGGACATCGGCCTGGAGCAGGACTGCCTCGACGTGGCCACGCCCAGCCACAACATGGCGCACACGCGCTGGTGCCGCAGCATGGCGGGGGAGGAGTATGCCCGCGTGTACTCGTGGGGCCACGACCCGAAGCGCAAGGCAAGGAACATACTATTACCCGGGCCAGGCTGACGATTTTTCAAACAATACCGTATATTGCCTGCCCACCACTAACACACAACACACGTAGGGCGACTACGAGGCCGCCAGTCCGTGCAACCACGTCGATCTCCCGCAGACGCTGCTCGAGCCGATCCTAACCAAGCGCGCGCTGCACAAAGGATGGACGATCCGGTTCAACACGCGTTTTCTCCGACTAACCCGCCCGGCTCCGGACGTGGTTATCTCGGAGGTGTTCGACGAGGTCACCAAGACGACCTACAAGATCCAGTCGCGGTACCTGTTCGGGTGCGATGGCGCGCGCAGCCAGGTCGTGCGCGAGCTGGGCATCCCGCTCATCAAGAAGCCCGGCCAGGGCCTGGCGCTGAACGTGCTGGTGCGGGCCGACATGGCGCATCTGATCGGCGACCGCCGCGTCGGGAACCTGCACTGGGTGTTTCGCCCGGAGGAGGGGATGGAGGGCCCGCCGTGGGGTGCCACGGGTGTGGTGAGGATGGTGCGGCCGTGGAACGAGTGGATGTTTATTTTCCTGCCGGCGCCCGGGCAGGACCTGACGGCCGAGGCCATGGATGCTAGTCATGAGGAATACCTCGCGCGCGTGAAGATGTTTATCGGGGATGACTCGGTCAAGGTCGAGCTGCTGCATGCTAGCAAGTGGTGGATCAACGAGATCGTGGCTGAGTACTACTCGGATGGCAACGTGTAAGTGCCGTTTTTCTTTTGCTTGTTTAGTATGACTCTTCCACTGCGAAACCTTCTAATTGCAAGCGGGGGAATGCTTACCTACTACTTCTTAGCTTCTGCCTCGGCGACGCAACGCACCGGCACCCGCCCTTCAACGGGCTCGGCTCCAACACCTGCATCCAGGACGCCTTCAACCTGGCCTGGAAAATTGACTACGTCATGTCCGGGCGCGCGGGCCCCGGTCTGCTGGACTCGTTCAGCGCGGAGCGGCAACCGGTCGGCGCCGAGGTCATCGCGCGCGCCAACCAGGGGCTGCGCGACCACATCCACTGGCAGACGGCCCTCGGCATGCTCGAACCGGACCGCGCAAAGCGCCTGGCCATACTCGCCGAGTTCGACGACCCCGGGCCGCGGGGCCGCCAGCGGCGGGAGGAGTTCATGCGCGCCATCGAGATCACCACCACCGAGTTCCACGGCCTGGGCATCGAGATGAACCAGCGCTACGTCTCGCGCGCCGTGTACCTCGCCGACGCCGACGCCGACGCCGGCCCGCCCCCGGCCATGCCGCACGACCCGATCAAGACCCATCTGGTTACCACCTACCCGGGCCGCAGGCTGCCGCATGTGTGGCTCAACACGCGCGTGCCGGGCAGCAGGGTGTCGACCATCGATCTGGCGGGCCACGGCCGGTTCTGCCTGCTTACGGGCCCCGGAGGGCAGGCGTGGAAGGAGGCGGCCCGGGCCGTGGCTGAGCTGTTGGGCGTGGAGATTGTGGCCTACTCGATTGGGTGGAAGCAGGACTATGAGGATATCTACTTCGACTGGGCGCGCAAGCGGGAGGTGGAGGAGGACGGGTGTGTGCTTGTGCGTCCGGACAGGTTTGTGGCGTGGCGGTCCAAGGAGATGATTGCCGAGCCCGAGAGGAAGCTGGAGATGGTTATGCGCAGTGTTCTGGCGTTGTGACTGGGCATTCCGGTAACGTTTCCGTAGAAATAGAACAATGCCCCTGTCGCTTGGAAATAGTGTCAAGCCTTAGTGGTGTCTTAGTTTGTGCTCCCGATGTCGCCGACGGCACAACTGATACATTCGGTAGACCCCGGGTGCCTACCTATGCAACCATGGTGTGAGGGAGTGTAGTTAGTACTTATACTCCTAGTAAGCAAATCATTTATTTCAGTTCCTGTCTAACTTGATATTAGTGTATGGCCGGGAGTCGTTGCTTGCAGCGCCGCTTGGGAAAAGGGGGCTCAGGGGGCCTTGGCACGCAGACATTTCTCGGGGTCTCTGAGCCTCCCACATTCGATTCAGACGAACTCGTGATAGACAGGTAGGTCCCCCATCCATGGCGCCTCTCTGTTAACCACTATGAGCGACCCCAAGACATCGATACTCAGGGAGGCAAGTTTCCGGAGTATAGGTAAGCTTGCCGCATACCCGGATTTGCTGTAGGCGGGAGACCTGGAAGGAACCAGTTGCAAGAGAGGGTCGCTATTAAATTCAGGCTTTCGCTCGACTCGACGCAGAATAGCTTAACTCGTATTTGATGACGCCTACAAGACTGTCTAAGCACTGTACCACTTCCCTATCCTATCCTAGTCTACCTCTACCATAGTAGCCAGCCGTCACGTATCTTACCTCGAAAGGACCGGCATGCTGGCTCGCTGACTGACGCCCAACGGTACCGTGTTCTTGTTTGGCTGGCTGAAGTCGTCAAAGAAATAAGGTGCCGGGTGATACCAAACACATGCATGCTCGAGACATTAGCCATTACTCCAACTTCCCAAGCTTCCCCAATGCTGACCTGGAGAGTAGTACAGTACCTTCCACGACATGCATACGCCTCCTCAATATAAGCGCGCCCAGGACATGGACCGTTCAACATCTGTACTCGCACCTTTGAAAATCCTATCATCGTCGTACCAAAAAAGAACTTACTCCGTGTCTGACATTTCCACAATGGCGACATCGGACCTCAGTAACAGCACAGTTCCGCGCTCGGTCACCGTCCAGCACGAGTACCGCGCTCAAGACGAGAGGCCCGAAGCTATCAATCAAAGCACAAAGGAGGATGCGCTACGACGGGAGCTCGATCTCTCCATCGCCCCGGTGATGATGATGTTGATGCTCATCAATTTCCTGGATCGTGGGAATATCGGGTTTGCCGCGACCCAGGGTATGACTGCGGAGATTGGGCTGAAGGGGAGCGAGCTGAATGTAGGTAGCCCATTTAGTACCTAATGTTGCAGTATATAAAGGCTTACGAGGATACTAGACCGCTGTCTCCGTGTTTTACGTTTTCTATATCCTCGCGGAAGTGAGTTATTACTACTAGTATTTTAATACTTGGTCAATGCCACCTCCTCTTCTTCACTTCCTAACCCATGGCGCAATTGCCAACCTTCTTACTCGTCAAACGTTTGCAATTCAACCGCGTCATTCCCATCATCACCTTCGCCTGGGGCCTGGCATGCCTCTGCACGGGCTTTGTGCACAACTTCGCCGGGCCTCGTCACCACGCGCCTATTCCTAGGCTTGTTTGAGGGCTGCCTGTTCCCATCCATGACGCTCTTTTTCTGCAACTGGTACACGAGGGAAGAACTGGGCATCCGCATCGCCTATCCGCTCATCGCGAGCGCGCTGAGCGGCGCATTCGGTGGCCTTATTGCCTTTGGCATTCTGTATATGGACGGCGTCGCGGGATGGTCCGAGTGGCGGTGGTAAGTGCTAAATGTCTCAGGGTGTCAAATCATCACTAATATTACCTCTAGTTATCTAGGTTATATATTATTGAAGGGATTATCACCATCCTCTATGCGGCTTATTGCATCTTCCTCGTTCCCAAGAGCTTCGAGACCGCCTACTTCCTCAACGATGAAGAGAAGGCCCTGATGCGACAACGAGCCCACCGAACACAAGCATACTCCGATTCCGGAGGCCCCGGGCATCACAGCAAAGCAAATATCGGAGAAGCAGCCAAGGATGTCAAGAGCTGGATACATGGGATCATTCAGATCGCCATTGCCACGATATTGTATGGCTTCGGCACGTTCCTGCCCATCATCATTCGGAATGGATTCCACTTCTCCATCAAACAGGTACGTACTACTCACTGCCTTACTTTTCACACCCAGCTCACACATCTAACGAACTCGGACACTAAAAATTCCCCGCCCACTATAGGCACAATACCTCGTTATCCCCGTCAACCTCTGGGGCGCCATCGTCTACGCGATCGGTGCCTACCTATCCGACCGCCACCAGACGCGCTTCCTGCCGCTCATTCTGACGACGCCCATCGGCATCGCCGGCTACGCCGTCGTCCTCGCCCCTGTCGGCCCGTACGTGCAGTATTTCGCGACCTACCTCGTCGCCACGGCCTGCTTCCTCTGCACGGGCGGGAACATCACCTGGCTGACGGCCAACTGTGCGCCCGACGGCAAACGCGCCGCGTCGTTGGGCATTCTGCTGACGCTCACCAATATTGGCGGCGTGGTGTCGGGTCAGATCTATCAGAGTAACACCGCGCCGGAGTATACGCTGGGCCATGCGTGGAGCTTGGGATGTTTGGCTTTTGCGTGGTGCGGGTGGTGGGTTGTGAGGGGGATGTATAAGAGGAGGGAGGCGGGAAAGGAGAGGAAGATTGCGGAGGGATATGGCAGGCCTGCTGCTGGGGGGATGTACACGGAACGTGAGCCGGATTTCAGGTATCAGATATAGTTCGATGTACAAGGTACTAGTAAGGTAGTAGTTACCTCCTATTAGTCACCGAGCTAGGCTGGGCGAAGCGAGTGATATACAGTACAACCCCTGAATGATTATTAGTGCGGAACAAGCGACAAGGGCTGAAATGCTAGGGCTGACCACTAGTCGCTCAAGTCAGGCGCTAATGATCATTCAAGGGTTGAACTGTATGGTTGTTCGCAGTCCGCTAACGTTAATTTAATGGTGCCGTATGAAAGTGGCACGGGCGAGAAATCATCCAACAATAATAAAATACCGACGATAAATACGAAGTACGCCCAGGCAACATCAACATTCTCCTCGGGGAACAACTGGAGTCTGGACTCTGGAGCCTCGGGCATCCAGTAAAACCCCATTTCGGCTCCCCAAGGGCGGCTGTCTCGACTCTCCTTCCTCCCTCCCGATATCCGTGAATCCGACGGTTCCGGTCCCGACTCTCGGTCCAGGGGCGGTTTATTGCCTCGCTTCTGGGTGCGCCTTCTCGAGAAGTTTCCTGTTTCCTTTTGCCTCTTCACATGCATGCGCCGCCGTCTTGCGCACCCGCGTGCCCCACAAGGCTCATCGGGTGGAGCGACCCCTGACCCCCTGGGAAGCGGCGAGAGCCAGCCAAGCCCGCACGTGCTCCTTGCCCAACACTGGCAACCTTCTGATTCCGTCACCGCGCGACCCCGGTGTCCGGGAAAGTCCTCCAAAGTCCTCAGAAATCCATGGGACGTGCCTGCAGATAACTTTATTTCCAAAGCCAATCGATGCCTCTGCCTCCCATCCATCGCCTTCGGTATCACGCAATGGGCGTGATGGGGAAACGCACACGAGCCAATAGTGCGCACTTTCTGCAGCCAACGCAAATGCGAGTCGGTGCGACCATGCCGAAGCGCAAAGGTCTCTCTTCTCCCATGCAGGTCTTGTCCGGGTCAAAAGTACGGATTACGATGGTCTTGTTTCCAATGCTTCGGTGCATCCTTCAAGCGCTCTTCGCCAAACAGCGTCCGCGTTTTCCTTCCTGGCCTCGGCCCCCCCCCACATCCGCGGCGCATCACCCCTCGTGCCCACGTGTCTACCTGGGTAAGGTAGTTTGACCACTTATCGGATTCGGGACGCTGCATGGCGGTCGACATCGAGGAGCTGATCATCGCTCCCTTCCGGGAGGTGGTCGACCGCGGCAAGGAGGCTGTCGCCAATGCCGAGGCGGCGGCCGACGGTGACGACGACGATGAGACGGCGAAGCGGATGGCCAAGGCCGGGAAGGCGCTCGTGAGGGAGGGCGAGCGGGCGCTGAAGCGGTTGAAGCCGCTCTGGGACGACCAGGTCGAGAAGCACGGCGACATCTTCAAGGCCGCCATGGGCAAGAACGGTAGGTGTTACCCATTACCTGTGCACTTGCTCGAGTCAAGATCGTCCCGATCCCATCCTGTTGGCTGGCGCTGACACGGCATGGCCCTGCCTGCGACAGACGACATCGAGGACAAGCGGCGGAAGCTCGAGGACCTCCTCTACGACTTTGAGGACTACACCGAGATCGACTCGTTCGAGGAGGAGAGATTCGTCCAGCTGCAGGCGGCCACGAAGTCACTGGCTCTTCTCGTTCTTGACACCATCAAGCGGTTGAAGTTGGATGGCGTCCCCGTCAGCCCGCCCCCCAAAGCTACGTCCTTCCCTCCGCTGCCCCCACTGCCTCCGCTTCCGCCTAGTGCCCTGCTGCACGGAACGGTCAAGTCGCCCTCCCGGCCACTGCCATCCTCGAAACCGCCATCAAGACCATCGTCGAGAGGCCGGGATGTCGCTACAGGCCCATCACCGGGGCCCGAGCTTCCGTTACGCACACCGAGGGCCCCCAATGGCATGGCGAGTGGGAGCACCGACGGCAGGAGGAGGAGGCTCACACCCCAGGATCTCCGTAGAAGGGACACACTGGCCAGTCATACATCGTCGCAGTTTAGCGTTGACTCGCTGCCTCCATATTCGAGTGAAGAAGCGCCCCCAGTTCCCCCACCGTGTCCACCGTGGGAGAACACCCCTCTCGCTCAACACACTCATCCGGGCCAGGAGCGTCGAATCAGCACCGAGAATCTGCACGGCGCCGACTATACGCAGCCCGCATCCGCAACTCGCGCATCGTCAAGACAGCGACACGCCCAGCGGCGTTCCTCGACACCCTCCACGCCCGAGATGCTGACCTCCCAAAGCAGCCTCGGACGACACGCAAACGAAGCTGCCAGCCCCGCGAGCACCGAGCCAAGCGTTGTCGACATCCCGAACTTCCCGTCCGTTCCACTCAACAGGACGACGGCGTGGGTGACAGACCAGGCGGCCGTCCCGGCGTCGCCACGCTTGCTGTCCAGGCCGCTGCCGATCCGGGAGTCCGTGATCCCCGAGGACCAGCCTGTGCATAACATGACCGTCTTCCCCAACACACCGGACGGGAGTGGCCACGCCTCTTCGCTCGCCTCAGCGCCGCCGATTCCGCCTCCGCCACTCAGCCTTCCTTCTACGGCGGACCTGCACGACCCGGGCGTGATGGTGGCCGAGGACTGGAAGACGGTGATATCGGATGGCGCCCACTCGGGGTCGCGCGCGCATTCATCGATGTTGTCGCGCGAGGCCGACTGCAGCATCGGGCCCAAGAGCTCGCTGTACCAGATGAAGGGTTTCTGCGAGGGGGCCCAGGCGTTCAAGCAGGGCGGTCCCATGCAGGGCATCAAGAAGACGACGGGCTACGTGGCTGTAAGTTTTACTTGTCAGCCTCCCCCCCAACACTAGAACTGACAGCCAAACTCCCCTAGGGCGCGACAACACACACAGGGAAATGCATCAGCTGCGGCTATGCCCACCAGTACGATGAGCTGACCCTGGACGTCAACCGCGACCGTAAGCCTGCTTTCTCTCCGGCGTTCCCTCGTCTGCTTCCCGGTCTCACTCACTCGCTCACTAACACTGTCCACTTCCTCGCATCCAGCCAAAGCAAACTTCACCGCCTCCTCCGTCCGCTTCCGCATCCGCTTCCTGTACAAATCCCACCTCACGACCGACAAGCTGACCGAAGCCTACTACGGCTGCCTCTTCTGCGCGCAGGCCGGCTCGGTCGTGCGTGAGGGCGACGCGACCGTCTTCGCCAACAGCGACGCCCTCTTCCGCCACCTGGCGCGCCACCCGCAACCCCTGCCGGACGTGCCCGGCGTCACGGTGCTGTACGGCAAGGACTTCCGTGAGGGCGATCCGCGCCTCAACGACTTTGACGTCCACTTCCTCGAAGAACCGCCCGACGGAAGTGGGGGAGGGATGATACCGCCGGCGGCGGCCGAGGCGGATAACATTGCACGATTGCCGGTGGCCACGGCGACCAAGATGCATGTGCAGCGGTACGGCGAGAAGAAGCTCGCGCGGCCCGACGGTGTGGGCGAGAAGGGGATGCTGCAGTTCTTTGCGGGCGCGCGGATCGTGGGCGTGGAATTCCCCGTCAAGTTCGGCGGGAAGTGGGCGACGGGATGGCACGACGGCGACTGGGGGATTTTTCCGGCGAAGCATGTCGAGTTGGAGAAGCCGCGGCGCAGCGAGATGCCGCCTCTGCTCACGCACGCGAGCGCGAACGGCGGGGTCGTGGCCAGCGTCGTGGCGCGGTGGAAGTGGGAGCCCCGCGATGCGGGCGATAAAGGCTGGCTCGTGTTTGACAAGGGCGAGACGCTCACCAACGTCGGGTGGGTGTTCAAGGAGCACTGGTGCTGGAGCGGGACCAACAAGAAGGGTCAGCTCGGCCTGTTCCCGCGCAGCCATGTACTCTTTGACAAGGTCAAGGAGGAGATCGCGCCTCGCATCGGGTCGCCAGTTGCGACGATGCGCCCGAGTACGGCCGCCGCCAACAAGGGGAGGCGCGGCTTCTTTGGCCTGGGCAAGTCCAGTGCCCGCAGCGAATCCTCGTCCATCAGCGGCGGGTCGAGCGTGTTGGAGATTGTGCTCTGAGTTTGTCGGACTCGGGAGGATCTGTCTGATGTTTTTGTTGGAAAAAGGCCGTATCCTTTTTTATGTTCTGGCGTTCATGGTCTATATGGTACCGTTGGGTGTAGCGTAGTGTACCAGGCTTGGGACTAGATACTTTACAAGACCTCCTTTGTGGATAATCCTGGATACCTACGGAGCTTTACATAGAGCTTGGCGGTGACTACCTTATTAATGGTGTTGCATCGTGGAGCAGAGACTGCGACTCTGCGAGTGTCGCCCGGTCCGTGGTGTTATTTATACCACCAAACGATATCTGCTGCTTTTCAGCTGGAATACTGCTCCGTGTACGAAGCGGCGATACAGAACACAAAATCATTCAAAACTCTAGTCTGGTTAGGGCATATTTGTCACAAACATTTGTTTACAGATTACGGAAGCAGACCGACTTTCGGGTAAGGCAGCGGGTAGGCCTCCCGGAGCTGCACGATGACGTATTCGTCAATGACCAAGCTTCTGACAGCACATCAACAAGGCCAGGACCCTTGATCGGCACACCCAATCAACTCGGAATGCCGTCAGCGGCACTCGAAACGTCCAATGCGCGATGGCCTTCACCGCACACAAACCTGGCACGCCCTTCATGCGTGACCCATCTCCTGACAGACCCGGTCTTCGACGATCTTCGGCACCATTCGCCCAAATATGCTGATTGATAGATAGTATGTACACAGTTGATGTGATGTGTAAGTTTTTCATGCCACGACATGCCATACCACGGTTGCACGGGGAAACTGCTATAACTATCGTGTCTCATGGGCTTGTTCCCACTCTGGCCTTCAATCTCAACCGACTTCAAGTTGCCGCAGCCCAAAACTTTTGTCTCGCTTTGTTGCAGCGAAAACTGTCAACTGAGACATCCCACCCATTTTCCATCTTCCAACCTGGCCCCTCCACCAAACAAGTAACCACAACTTCGTAATCCGTTGCCCACCCTAGCGAAAAGAATCATCATGGCCCGCGGCGATACTCGTGCCCGTACCGGGCTGTCGACCTTCCTCCTCGCCAGCACCGCCCTGGTCTGGATCTCGTCCGTCATCGTCATGGGCATCCTGGCCTACCTCGTCTCCAAGGGCTGGCGCGGCGACCACGTCATCTACGAGCTGGTCATTGTACGTGACAATTGTCATTTTCTTTTCTCCAACGCTTGCCGTCTCAGTTTTCAGGGTCCCAAATTCACTAACGCATGTTGCGTAACTTACCTTATTCAGTCGGTCCTCACCACGGCTTTCTACCTCGCGGCCTTCTTCCTCGGCGCCTACCCGGGCTACGTGCTGCTGTTCAACCTGATCTTCTCGTACCTGTGGATCGTGGTCGTCTCCTTCACCGCCTCCGACTGGAGTTACAGTCACGACAGCCTGCTGCTCACCGCCGAGGCCTTCAGCTTCGTTGCCTTGTAAGTGTTTTGATGTACAGTTTGATACCCTTATGTTAGGACACTTGCGTGCTGTTGCTAACCCTTTTCGTTTCTGTAAAGCTTCTTCCTCCTGTTCAACGTCCTTTACGACTGGCACTACGGCTTCTACCGCGGCGGTGCCAGGACTAGGGCTGTTGTCTGAGCAAAGGCAGTTGGGTTGGCAGTGGGCTGCACTGTGACGAACGGGGACAGCGACTGAGGGAGGCTTGAACGATACTGGAGGATACTACTTGGGAGGTTGCCCGCGAGAGTGTGTGGGAGGATGGCGGAGGACGAATTGACCATGATACCACGAAATGCTGCGGTTTGTTTCAGCAGAACGGAGGGTTTGATGACATTTCAATACCCCTTTTCTACAAACCTAATGACGATAATGACTTGAGCGAGCGGTTGAGCTTGAACCCTAATTGATACCAGTTTCTCAGCCGAGCGTGACATTATCTGCCCTTTCTCTACCAATAGCCAGAAAGGCCTCACGTACCTCAAGGGGTGATCTGTTCAATTCTACGAGTCGCTCGTCCATTGCGTGCCGAAGCAAGTCAGCTTCTTGCCGTGGGTGAGTATATTTTGGCTCGTAATACATACACACTTGGTATGCTGCGCTGTGATATCCGAGTCTGTGATATACCGGAGTAAACATCCTCAGATCGCTGTCATTCCCGTTTCGGCAGGTGGGGTAAGTAAACAGCGCATACCACCCCGCACAAGACGCGAACCCCTGTACAAAACAAACCCAGCGCGTCTTACACATCTTTTGTTCCAAGGTTGTAGTAGTTGGCATATATCTCTATGCGCATGAGGTAAAGGCCATCCGGAGCCTGTCATTTGCGATGTTCCACATCTTCCTCAAACGCGCAGAATCCCTCTGCGAAACGTTATTGCCCGATACATCAAAATGAATTCTATTACCCTCTCGACCAAGGACGCCTCCCATCTCACGCCCCGTCCTTCACCAAAGTCACCCTTCAAGTCTTGCAGCCGGTCGCATCATCGCACACCCGGCTATGGCCAGGAGCAAGTCGCTGCCAACAAGCGCGCCACCAGTAATAACAATGGGACAACCCAACCGTTTCAACCGTCTCCGCAACCACAACCACACTCCTCAGGCGCCGCCAGACAATGGGTCGTCGGATCCAAAGTCGGCAAGCTCAACCGCAGCACCGCCAGAGTAGGCTTCTGGCTTGACGGGGTCACTTACAACAACGCCGAGTGCCGCGGCGCGCGCCCTTCGGTGGCTCTGGCACATCGGCCACGACGCGTCAGCCAAGGCCGGAAACCAACAACAACAACACCCTCCATGGCGTCTTGGCATACCAAGTCCCGTCATGTCCATGATATCACCACCAGGATATCCAGCTGCGCGCAGCGGATTCCCCTCGCGGACATCACGCCGCCAGCAAGCTTTGACACAGACGACGACGGCGCGTTGGTTCCACCACCAGACGTTACCATGGTACATACCGGTACTGGTAACGAGCTCCCAGCGCGATATCGCACGCCGTCTCTCCCTGCCGCCATCGACTTGCTGACGGACGACGAGGCGCGACGGCTGCTGCTGCGGGCCGCCCAGGCGAATCTGTCCCTGGCCGCGGCGATTCGGCAGGTTGCGCTGACGAGGGCGGACAACGCTGTCTGCAGGACGCGGGCGGTGGAGCCAATTAGGCAGGACTCGCGGGAGAGCTTCCTGGTCGATACTTTTGTGGAGGAGGAGCCTTTGTTGAATGGTGGCTAGTAGCGGGCGGAAATCGGATGTAGTAGGAGTGTTCATTAGTAAATTTCTGGAATGACGGATAGCTGTAGATTGGTATGAGCAGCATCGGACAGAAGACAGAAATCGTAACACCTGGTTCTTCATGACACGATCCAAGGCTATGGCGGAACCAGGGACCCGGCACAGGCAACGGATCCTTCAATCTAACCACATTTGTCAGCTTTGCTTGAGTTTCACTGCTTCTTCCAGCCCTGACGATTTGCGATTCGACGCGGCTGAGCTGCCTGCTGACTCTACGAGCTCTCTTCCTCTGGCTAGAAACAGCGGCACGTCTATCCGAGAGGGAGGGTGTTGTCTGTGATAACTCGGTTTCAAGTATGATTTTATGGTTGACAACGCTTCCGTAGTACATCCGCTACTAATATTGAAGTCACCAGTCTACACTTCCTGCTGGGCTCACTTAGAAGCCATAAAAGACCGATAATAAGAAAGATGTCATTCTTGGTATCGAGACCGCTGACCCAACTCGCTACAGCAGCAAAACGCACTCCGCCCACCCGGTAACTCTTACACTCCCACAACTCCCCTGACGCCAGCACGCACTCATACGCAACTTCCCCGCTCCAATCATAGCTTGGTCAGCTCGGGCGTGCCGGGGGCCCGCGGGAAGGAGAACTTGGTCTCGATAAAGACCTTCTGGATGTTGTCCTCCTTGTTGTCAAACATGTAGTAGACCTTGTCGGCGTCCTCGATACGGAACCGGTGTGACAGCATCTGCGTGGGATCTAGCTCGCCCTTCTGGATCTTGGCGAGAAGCCCCTCCCAGTACTTCATCACCGGGGCCTGGCCGTTGCCGATGAGACGGATGCCGCGCTGCATCACGGAGCCGATGTTGAAGTGGTTGGTCTGGCGGCAGTCAAAAGTATTAGCAAATGTTAGGCTAATTAGATCTCTCAAAACTGAACTTACGTAGCCCACATAGACGCCCGTGATGCCGGCGCGGCCATAGTTGCGCACACCCTCGACCATCTCGTTCAGAATCTCGCTCGTGTCGGTCTCGGCGCCCAGGGACATCTCGAGCCAGTGCATCCAGCCCTTGGCGTACTCGCCGGCGGCGCACTCGATGGCGACGTCGGGCCCGCGGCCGCCGTTGCACATCTCCTTGAGCTTGCTGACGACCGTCTCCTTGCCGGTGACGCCGAAGCTGAGCTTCTTGTAGTCGAGCACGGCCAGCTTGTCCTTGTGCTCGGCGGGCCAGCGGCTCTGGATGGCCGACAGCCGCGGCTCCGTGTCGACAAAGACCACCTTGCCGGCGCCCTCGCCGACCGCGAACACGCCGGCCATCTGGCCGACGGGGCCGGCGCCGAAGATGGCGACCTGGTCGCCCGGGTACACGGCCGTGTCGCGCACGGCGTTGTAGGCCGTGGGCAGCACGTCCGACAGGTACAGCGCCTTCTCGTCCGGCACGTCGTCCGGGATCTCGAGCAGGTTGTTGTCGGCCAGCGGCACGCGCACGTATTCGGCCTGGCCGCCGGCAAAGCCGCCCGTGAAGTGCGAGTAGCCGAACAGCCCCGCGGTCGTGCCGCCGTACATGGCCTTGGCCGTCGTGTTGGAGTTGGTGCGCTCGCACTGCGACGACAGCTTCTGCTTGCAGAAGAAGCACTCGCCGCAGGTGATCTGGAAGGCCGCCACGTAGCGCTTGCCCACCTGCACCTTCTTGACGCCGGGCCCGACCTGGTCGACCACGCCGCAGAACTCGTGGCCCAGGATGTCGCCCTTGTTCAGCTGGATCACCGTGCCGTGCAGCAGGTGCAGGTCGCTCCCGCACACCGTGGTCCCCGTGACCTTCAGGATCACGTCGCCGTCCTCGAGGATCTTGGGTTTCGGCGTGTCGACTGGAAAAAAGGGAGGAATGGTTAGATTCAGCTTCGATAAAATAGAATCAAGCTATCGGAAGCCCACATACCGACTGCCACCTTCTGCTTGCCCTGCCATACCAGCGCCTTCATCATCTCGTTCCGGTCGCCCTCCTTCTCGTAGTTGGAGACATCTTGTTGGATGTGTTCCTCGCGGTGGCCAATCGCCGTTTCGGCCGCGTACGCTGCTCGTGAAGTTGCCATTATGTCAAACAATTAATTATATGCACTGCTCGTCATGTGAAGATGCTGTGTTTGAAGTGTGAAGTAGACGCTTCTGTTTATTGCACCCAGTCCTTGGTGAAGACGCGAGTACGTCAACCCTCTTATTGCTGGCAATTGTCGACAGTACCAGCAAGTGGTTACCGACGTCATTGTTACCGTCCATGGAACGTTATGACAATTCGCCCCATCATTGATGGGCGCCAAACTCTTCGTCCTGCTGTTACCTTTTTGTCTTTCTTGGACTGGCCGGATCCACGACGTCATGCAGCGGGCCCTCGCTAACTGCCAACTAGCGTTAGCGCCCGCAAGCCGAAAGCCGGACCCACAATTGTACTGGTACGTACCTCTCATACACAGAAGTTTGGCCTTGCCCATGGTTCCAAATTCCAATACCAATCACAGGGGGGATCGAAACGGTGATCGGTAACATCGTGGAAATCGTATGATCATGAGCAGTCGTTCAGTCAAGATCTAGCAGGCTATGCATGTGGCAACCCTCTGTCCCCGATGGTCGGGAAACCCGGGACAGTGACATATATCCGGCGATCGGGCTGTACCTCAGGTTTGACGACTCGCCCGATTCCTTGCCTACCGAAGGTGCTTTAGTGCACGGATGTTGTTCCAAAGGTTCCTGAGTTGCAAATGGAATTTACGTGACTCCTCCAGGCTCCGGGACGGGGGAACACTAGTTTCTAACAGCAGCTTACATGGTTATACTAGAGGCACGCGGGGGTATTCTTAAACCTGAATAGGCACACAGTGGCGGGAGTGGGAAGGGAGGGGTGGCTCCTAGTCAACTTGGAAACTATTAGTACTAACTTCATCCGTCTCCTGAACTCAGCTGGCGGTACTTGGACGATCGAGCACAGTACGCATGGCGGAGCAATCCGAGGAAAGGAGCCAGGGATATTCAGTACGTTATGATGCGAGCGCCCGATGGCCGTCGAGAGCCAAATTTGCAGTTTATTAACAATCTGCATCATAGCCCTCTGCCACGGAAGCGGCACAGAACCAGTATGATTTGGAGATCTGCATGCATCGGCACCAGATCCTCGCCGTAGCCGACCTGCCCGACCATGAGAGAGAAGAGCAAAGCCGGCCCGTTCCCACGATGCTGTACCACTGGCGTCCGCCCACCGTCCGGGCAATAACCATGGTCAAGGTGTCTCCGCGTCTGTTCTCCATGATCAAAGGCTCTTCATCTCTAGGGACATTCTTTCTTCAAGATGACCTCAACATCTCCGAGACGCTGTATAAGCTCCTGACGGCCACACACGCTGCGGCGGGTTGGGAACCCACGGCCCAGTTACTTACGGACCTGGTAGCCCAACTCCCGGTCCCGGAGCGAGGAACGTTGATGGAATTCTTTTCCTTTCCCGTGCTCAGCGATAACCCAGAGCAGCCACTTGGTGATAGCCTCTTCCCGGTATGGAAGTGGGTCAAACCCGAGAGCATCTACCCTCGCAAGACGGGATTTTGGGAGACGCATCTGCACAGGGCTTTGGACGACGGGGAGTGGAATGCTGGGAAGGGCCTTACATTGGCGTTGAGTGGGGTGCCAGAGCAAGCATTGCAGAGGATAACGGGTAGCCAGCGCAGGCTCACGAGCCTGAGGGGCTTGATGGGGGAGGCGTCCAAGTAGATCTTATTACAACTTGCGCCTACCGAGCCGCGGAGAGCGAGAGATAGGAGTTGCGTAGAAATGTTCATAGTATTGTACAAATCGCGATTCCTGCCATAACCTAGCCAAGGGGCAGCATCGTGATGGTTGAGGATTTGAGGCTATACGACCACCTTACCAAAACGGGGATGCTCTCAAACCCTTTCTCTTCCGGGCATAATATAGGGCGATGGGCCTGCAAGCCCCAGTACCACTCGTTGTAGGTAGATTCATAGCCTATTTTATTTAGGTACTACTATACAGTGGAAGTCTCCATGGTTTCTATCCAGGTCTCCCAATGCGTTTGGTCCTTCCACGGGTACCCAGACGGCGCTCTCCCGCTCTCACTGAGCATGCCGTCCACATTGCGACACCTGCTCAGCCGAACCTCTACAACCGTCGGTCTTGACGCTACACCGATAATGCCGTCGTGGCTCGCCTTGTCCGGTTCTCGACCACCATCAGCGACTACCGCCATAGAGCACGCATGAACACGTCGCGCTTCCACAACCCGGCTCGGTTCCTGCAGCGCAAGTGCAACATGATCCTCCTTCCCTGGTGGTAGTACTACTGGTGGTAACCCCTCTTCTTCCGCCCTGATCACCGCGCTCGCCACCGCCGCCTCGACCTCCCCACACCACGGCCCCTCCCTGCCGCTCTTCCGCAGCAGGCCCAGCGCCTTGCGGCGCCACATGGGATGCCTGTACTTCAGCGCGGCGAAGAATAGCGGCTGGATGATGCCCATCTCGGGACTAAAGGCTGGCAGACGAGGAAGAAGACCGCTGCTGCTGCTGGGACAGGCACGCTCCGTCTCCGTCTCCGTCCCCTCGTCGAGGAGTGCCGCGGCCGAGAGGGTGATGATCTCCTGGAATTCGGGCCCGTGCGCATCGAAGGCCGTCTCGTGCGGCTGGAAGATGGTGGCTACGTACACAAACGCGGCGAGGGCCTGGGCACGGAGTACTACAAGTACAAGGGATTGTTCGGCGGCGGCGTGTTGTTGGGCGGACTGGGACGGGCCGCGGTGGCGGCGCGAGGTAGTAGTACATATACTACTAGTAGTACTATGGAGCCGGAGCCAGTGTTGCAGAAGGCCCAGGTGGCGGCCCTGTTCGATGAGGAGCTCCGCCGGGATCAGTCGGCGGCTGACATACCTGTATGGGTAGGCGGCCGAAGTGAAGTGATAACACGAGTGCAGCACCCTGAACAGGACTCGGTCCGGAGGCGCCAGGAGGAACGCTTCGGCCGTGACGGGAGGTGATGGCGGGGCCAGGTTGGGGGGACGGCCCAGGGCGTAGGTTGCGGATTGGAGGTCGAGCTTGTGGAAAATCAACGCTATCTCGTCCTCGTCGGCGGTCGGCGTGAGCTTTCCATCCGCTCCCGCTCCCGCCGCTGTCATCAGCAATGCAAAGACGCCCTGCAGATGCAAGTGGCCCTTGTCGGTCCGGTGCTGCAGAACCTCGGTGAAGGCCAGGAACAGACAGGCCACGATGCACGGGATCGCCCTGTTCCGCAGACCGGACACATCGGAGACCTCGGCTCGGATCTGCCGCAACGCTTGCGTGTGCCATTTGACGGCCTCCACCTCCGGGCAAGCGCGGTCGCCTCCCCCTCGCAACACATGCCTCTCGTACGACGCTCCAAATGCCGCGGCAGCCGCTCGCACGGACGGGATGGACTGCGTCAACTGCGGGACAAGATATGTCCAGAATGACACCTCGACGTCGCTCTTTGCTCGACGGGGCCCGTGGCGGAGCACGCTGCGAGCCAGGCTGACGAAGCGGTTCTGCGGATTGCTTGGATTGTAGTTTGGGCCGGGGGGTGTGCCGCTGTCGGTCTGTGAGGACGCGGAGTCTGAGGTGTCAACAAGCCTTGGAGTCCTTGGACCAGGTGGAGCCCCAGGGGGATAGCCCAAGCACTGCCGCTTGGCTGACAAGCAGCGTCGGCAGGACGGCTTCCATTCGTCACATTTGACCCGTCGCTGTCTTCACCGAGCCGTTCCTGTTAGTCCAGACTCCAAATCAACCCCCCGAAGAGCCGATCGAACGTTACATCGCCCGAGCAGCAGATACCTGATACCACGTACTTGCAGGTGAAACAGCCGTATTTCGATTGCCTCACATTGGTCCGGGTCCGCTGCCCCCGGCCTTTGTCAACTGTCGGTGGTAACATCGTTGGTGGATGGGAAAGATGATGTGTGGGGGGGAAGTGACTCAGGGGAGAAGGAAAGAAACTAGCTAGAAAAGACCGAGCTCGTCTTGCGGGTCCATAATATGCTAACAGTGAGCACAGCCTCATTTAGCTAGGGCCTTCTTGGCTCAAGAGAAGAAGACCGAGCTGAAACTACAATGGGTATCCACCAAGGTAACCAGGGATTTCGTAATTCAACAAGGATGATCTCCAGTTCATATCTCAAGATGACTTAGGTACAATGCAGGACGTACGGAGTAGTACCTAGCGAATGACTAACGTCAGCCCCGGCGGACGACTTGGGCTATCGCAAGATGTAGATCAGCTCGGTCTTTTCAGGGGCTGGGTATGGTAGTTAGGAGTGTACGGAGATAGTCAATCATGACACTGGCTTCACCATGCCCTAAACCCGCTGGCTTCGTAACGCCGGGGAAAGGCTGGGAGCCAGAATCCCCGTGCCTCGCTCTTTGTCTCGGCAGAGCCCGTGTATATCGAAGTAATATCGGTCTTCTAACTCCACTAGCGCGCATCTCTGTGCAACATGCGCGTAAGAAGATGACACAGGACCAGTGAGGTAGCTTTGGGAATCAAGTATAAGTAGGAGCAAGTGTACGAGTATAAACTACCTATAAAGCAACCGCTCGACTGTTGGCATTGAGCCTCGCTGTACAGTACTACTCCCGCAACGGACCATTCTCCCTCCCTTCCCGCCGGGCTAACTTTGCGAGACACACATCATGCTCCCAAACGCATGCCTTTCGCTCTCCTTCGCCGCACTCGCTGCTTTCTCCCCCTTTGTAGCGGCAGCACCTCGCCAGTGTCCTCCCCTCGGCCCCGTTCTGCCGGCACCACGGCAGCCCAGCCAGCATGTCGCGGTCCGGTCAGCCGTCGAGGCCATCGTCACGTCCCTAAAAGCGGAAATAGGAGGCTTCAACTACTCCGCCATCTCCATCGGCGTCCAGTCCATCCACGAAGACGCGCCCTTGATCGACCTCCACCACACGCCCCCTCATCTCCACCCCGAGCGCGGCGCCAGACAGGTCAACTCCAGCACCGTGTATCGCATCGCAAGCATATCCAAGGTCTTCACGGTCCTGGCGGCGCTGCAGCAGGCCGAAAGGGGCGTGCTGAGCATGCACGACCCCGTTACGCGGTGGCTTCCCGAGCTATCGGGATCCGGACGCAACAGCAGCCGTGACTCGGAGCACGAGCTTGATGAGGTGGATTGGGACAGCATTACTGTAGAGGCTGTTGCGGCGCACTTGGCAGGCATCGGAGCCGACAGTAAGCCCTCTCTCTCTCTCTCTCTCTTCCCGCTTCCATCATCATCATCCCATGTTCTTGTTGCCCAAAGCTGACAGGCGGGGGAAACGTTTTACGTACGTTCTAGTTGCTACCGACCTTGCGGCCTTTCCCGGGGACTGGCAGGCTCTGGGCCTTCCCGAGATCCCTTCCGGTGTGAAGAGGCCGGACTGTTCGGGAGCTCAGGGCATTCGCCCTTGCACGCGAGAGGGTATGTCTTAATTATGCACAACAATAGGACCATGGCTGACACCAAAGGCAAAAGATCTCCTGGAGGCATATCAGCATCGCCGGCCGCCGGTGTATCCACCCAACCAGTCGCCGGTGTATTCCAACGGCGGCACTTCGCTTGTCGGTCTTGTTGTCGAAGCGGCGTCTAACAGGACCCTCAGCGCGGTCCTCCAGGACATGATCCAAGGGCCTCAGGGGCTGGGGCTGCGGCATACCACTGTCGGCAACGTGCCAGACAACGCAGAGAACATGTTCATCCCCGTTGGAGGCACCGATTGGGACCGAAATCTAGGCGTTTTCGATCCGTAAGTTTTGTTCCTCTTGCAATGGCTAAATTAAGATCTCGAATGTCCCAAACAACGTTATGCTCACTACGTCTTTGTGTGTGTGGTCCAGATCGGGCGGCATCAACTCCAACACAGCCGATCTCCTCGCCTTCATGGTCGGCATCCTCAAGAACCGTGCCCTCCCTCCCTCGTCAACCCGCCGCTGGCTCAAGCCGGCCACCTTCACGTCGGGCTGGAGCGGCGCGGTGGGCGCGCCGTGGGAGATCTACCGGCTCGACAACCTGACCACTGGCACCTCGGACGGTTCTGGGTCTTCAGGCCGCATCACCGACCTGTACACCAAGGGCGGCACCCTGGCCGACTACCACTCGGCCGCCGTGATGGTCCCGGACTACGGCCTCGTCCTCTCCGTGCTCGCGTCGGGCCCTGAGATCATGGGTCTCCTGCCGCAGCTCGTGGCCCTGCGCGTGGCCGAGGCGCTCATCCCGGCCCTGGACCAGGCAGGCAAGGAGGAGGCGAGGCAGAGGTTCGCGGGCACGTATGTCGACCCGGAGAGCGGCTCGCGCCTCACGCTGGCTGTGGGTGATGATGATGAGGATAAGGATGGCGCCTCTGGGCTGGTGCTGAGCGATTGGGTCGTGCGCGGCTTCGACGTGCTGCCGCATCTGGACCGGTACCACCCGACGAGGGTGAACAGTACGGCCCCCCGCTCGGAGCTCCGAAGCGTTCGGTTGTATCCGACGGGGCTGGAGACGGAGCGGCGGTCTGCGTGGAGGGCTACCTTTCCTAGTTTTACTGACGAGGATGCGGAGCTGGTTGACGGGAGCACCAGGTTGCGTGACGCGACGTGTGTCTCGTGGCAGATGGCCGATCGGCTCACGTATAATTACTTGGCGATGGACCACTTCGAGTTTCGGTTTGGGGAGGGTGGACATGAAGCGGTTAGCGTCAAGTCGAAGGCGTTTGATGTTGAGATGGCGAGGGTTTCCAATAACGGGACTCAGGGTCGTTAACGTGGCGTCCGAACGGGTTAACGATTGTGGGGGGAAATAAGGGAGTTGCTGCTTGCTGGTGGGCAGGAAGAGAGAGCGCAAATGAGAAGAGGCACCTCTACTAGCGGGGAAGACAGTCCAGCACAGGGCCTTGTTAAGGGACATATATATAGCAGGTGTTCTGCTTATATAGTATTTCAACATCTAACCCAACTATTCACTCCCCCTTCTTATGAATTATCTGACCAATCTACAGCGAACTTCCTTGGCTACCTTGGAATGGAGTTGATATACTCCATCGCCTTCACGCGGTAATCATCCTTCTCCACATAGCTCTCGCTGCTCGGAAGACGGAAGACGAAATTCGAAGCAGCCTTCGGAGCCGACGGTGACCGAGGTGACGCGTACCGCGGCCATTTCGGAATCCCAGTCACTGTGTTCCCAACCAGCACGATTAGCATGTATACTCAAAAGGGAAGGCTCCTGTGGGTACTATTAGTATTATGTACTGTACATAGCTTACCTCCGTGTCCGTTCGGATCCAGGTCGGCCACAAACGAGGCCCACATGCGCGCCGCCAGGTTCGCCAGCCGCAGACGAGCCGGGTCGTGTCCTCCTAGCGGGGTGATGTCCTGGACCGGGTTCGCAAAGACGAATGGGATCTTGTATACAATTGCTTCAAGTCAACGTCAACCGACAAAGAAGGGAGCAACGGGGCAGAACGTACCTCCGCGAAGTGCTGCACGCCAATGGTGGTCGACGAGTTGAGGGCGGCAACATCCCATCGGTACGAATACACCGGCTTGTTGGCTTGTGCCATGGCTTGCGCCAGGAGCCGGCGCGGTGCTGTCATGGTGAGATCGCCGGCCATGGCCGAGTACCGCTTGTACATCAACCCCTTCTCGGGCCAGGTGGTGTTGCCCCAGCCATAGGGGCATCCGACTGCTGGGTCGTTGGGATAGTATGTCAGGAGTCTTGTGGCTTGCTCGCGGGTCAGAACCCAGCGCTTGGATGCTGTGTTTGACATTGTCAGTGTTCTGTTTTACCTTCTATTCCGAGCTTTTGTAAGCGGGGGTGATGTGCAAACCGGTTAGCTGCTCGATGCACTCCTCGTCTGTGTCGACACCCGTCGTGCCGAAGCTTGTCCCCTCATCCGTAGTTGTGCCTAGGAGGATAGGGACCCTGGCGAATCGGCCGCGTGTGATGCTGAGCTGGGGATACTCTGTAATGAATTCCCCGTCGACAGTAGCAAACCACTCTAGGCCTTCATATGCCACAGCATACAGCGACTCAAAGGGAAGCTCGCGCAGGTACTGGAGCGTGTCCGATGAGTTGGCGCACCTGGAGACTCTTTCATTAAGTCCTGAATGTTTTCAAAGGCTAAACCTGTATCGTACCCTGCCTTGCTCACAATCCGGTCGTACATTGGCTGATGCCAGTTCGTGCCGTTCCAAGGAGGACCGACCGCGTTCCCGGAGTCCATAATCGCTGGTGCTGCTCATCAGAAACTGCTTCATGATACAAAAGGAAAAGGATGCGCAAACCAGCTTTGAAGAGATCTTCGTTATCGCCATTGTTTGCCACCAAGTGGGCTCCGACGCTGTATGCGCCGCTGCGTTATAACTCGTCAGCTCATGACCATCTCTATGACTTCCCCTTGCCTTCTGGAATATGTATACTCACGCAGATTCTCCCCATATCGTGACCCTGTCCGGATCTCCTCCAAACTCCGCGATGTTCTTCTTGATCCAGTGCAGAGCAACCCGCTGGTCGAGGAGACCGAGGTTATTGACTCCAGCGGACTATCAGGACGACACAAATTCAGTTCTAGATCACGGAAATGCTTCCTCAATGCAACGCCATGGAACCGACATACCCGAACTTCCTTCGAATCTAGGAATCCAAACGCAGCAAGGCGGTAATTGATCGAGACTCCGAGGATGGGTTTGTTGTTGACAGCTGCCTGCCGGATGATATAGCTCATGTTGTATCTGCCAACCCCAGCGGAAGCCAGCCTGTCAGACAGTTGCTCCTAGTTTCAGGTAACCTGAAGTCACTCACCTTGGATCGGCCGTGGCGCCCTGCTGCCACCCGCCACCAAAGATCCACACCATGACCGGCAGCAGCCCCTTACCCCCCGCCTCCCTCCTTGGCCGGATGATATTCAGGTTCAGGCAATCCTCGCTCATCCGCATCAGCCCCATCCCCAGAAGCTTGGTCGTATCGGATCCATAACCAGGACAGTCGTATCCGTATTGTGTCGCATTGTAGGAGACCGTGGCAGACGGAGACCTTAACGAACCGGCATCGCTGTCATTCGACGAGTAGTAGGCCGTCTTCAAGGCTGAGCGACTAAACCGCGGTGGTTGATCTGCATATTTGATCCCTAGAAACACCTCCTGGTCGAAGGAAGGGAGGAAGCGCCCTACGAAAGTGGTCTTGCTTCTGGCCCTGGATTCCGCTGGCAGAGTGACGGTGGGATTGGAAGAGGCGGCATTGGCACTGCATGCGGCCAGGAATGCAACCCAAATGAGTGTGAAGGGGCCGTGTCGCATGGTGACTCTAGAGCTGAGATCCCGTTACCGCTGTGAGCCTGGTGGGTTTGCGTACAGTACATATTGGGAAGGGGAAATAAGCGGCCAAGACGGGCACTCTTTATATCTTAAAGCTGATCACTCGCTCCATTGACTCTACCAATATCCTAAGCTAAGGTGGTATCGTACAATCCATTGTATTTCCATGTGCAGAAGACTTACAGCTGCGGATACATGATGATCTGGGTCTTCGTTTTCGAGTCTACGCGGCACCTACATTCATCCAATGTCTGCGGGGATAGGGAAGTCGGCTGCTCATAGGTGGAAGAAGTCGGCGGTTAGGATTGCCATTGATGGAAGTCCGAAGCTTTAACTCCCTCCCCAGATGCGGGGTGAGCAAAATCCGGGGAAACAAGCAAATGCAGATGCAGATCATGCACACTACGAGTTAGGGTAGGTAGTATGGGGCAGGCACCTAATGAGCCCCGGCTCCGAGCCTTCGGTAAATTCGAACAAGGCTTGTCTAAGTTGTCTCCTAATCATGACAGTGTCTGCAACCTTCTGCAGATCTAGACGGAAAACTTCCTCAACAGCGGCACTATCGAGTACTAGTATTAATAGCAATATTCACCTTGGAATATTTAGTAACTAATCTGACCAACTTACTATTAGCATATCTTCAATGTCAACAGTTGACGGTGACTTGACCTGGTTCTCTACTAGTAGTATTGACATGATAGCAGGGTTCTCCATACTTTCGTTTCCTCGATCTAAAGCGGACATAAAAAGCGTTGCACTATATTGTTTGGCGATCAGGAGATGCTCGCTATGTCCTCTTGACAAACATATGCGTAACAAACATACTCACGAAGCCTCGAATTCTTCCGTCCGGCGGTTATCAGGTTACACCAATCGTTGACTGTTTCGTGCTATCAACTTCTCGATAAATACGCGCCCGCCTCGGCCCGTGAATGCCTACAATGATTCTTCCCCTTAATCCTTACTGCATGCTGCAACTTCGATAGTCACCCTTTATCGTTCTCCGTGTCCAGTAACAGTCTCCCTCCGGTCCAAGGCCGGATCAGTCGTCACCTCGAGCAGCAAGAAAACGTCTACTTTACCAAAGCGAGCAGGTTTCCAACCTGCCAAAACCCGAGTACTTGTTAGAAGAAGCTTTGTCTGCACCCCTTCCTGTCAGGTTTCGGTTCTTGCACTGCATGCCTCGACTCGCGACTACCGAAAGTCACTGTTGCCGGGACGCTCAGGGGGATAAGAAGCCTTGCAGGTACAACTGCGGAAAGACTATTGAACTACTAAAGAGCTTCGTCGTCTTGATGTTCAGTATGGCGTTCAAGCCCTCCCACACATAAGCCAGTTCTCTGGCTTAGCCGGACACATCACCATCTTCAATCACTATTGATTTTCTCTGCTCCAGGCCTCCACACACCACAACAAAGACCAACAACGCCGCTTGACATTCGTTACAAGGGTAGTCTAGCTCGAGTATTACGGAATGGAATCCCGGCGGCCGACGGAACTTTCTCTTAGGCTTCCATGACTGATACACAGCCATCCTTTCTGCCATTGTGTCATTTATCGACGTGGGCACCACATGTGGCTGCCACAGTCGTTCGTCCGGACTTCTAGTACTAGTAGTAGCTGGTACAACAACTCACCCGTTGCTGGAGCTGGGAGTCACGGGAGAGGACTTCAGAGTACTCCTTGCTCTCCGGCTGTATAGAACTGTCCATACTACTCAGTCATCATCCACCATCATGTCGCCCCTGCATGACCTGCTCAACCTCCAGCACTAGACACGACCTGCTAGCAGTACCGTCGAGTCCCAATCCCAGTATCTTCGCCAGTCTCTCGCAGGTGCGTTAATGCCAAAATCCACCATTCCTTTCTAGCCACAATTGAAAGCTATCATACCTAGTACCAGTACTTAGCAGTCAGCGACCAATCAGTGGCTCAAAACATCCCGCCATGTGCTGGTACAGAGCGATCGAATACCGCTGCGGCCACCCTGCACCGCGCCGCTGGGACTTTGTTGGCCCATGCTCCGAGAGGATGAGTGGGGAGGGATGCTCAGGCTGGCGTTGGCTGGCACGGCGGAGGAAACTGCGCTTCTTGTGTCTGCAGCCGCCGAGTGTCTGTGACCGAGAACTTCAGGCTGGGCCTACGTCGGCGGAGAGTGGAAGGGACTGCAGCTCGTTGCCGGATCTCTCGTGCGAGGAGGCTGACGGCTGGGTCCACATTATGATGATGGTCGAGGACGACGGTGGGGATGAGTGGGAGCTGCTGGCCGGTGGAATCTAGACGACTCGTTGGGGGTGTGTAATAAAGTCGGTAGGGAGGGCCGAGTCCATTGTCGGTAGGAGGATTTAGGGAACTTAGCATCATCGTTGTGTTATCAATAGAACTTCGCGGCGGGCTGAATAAGGACCGAAGTTCAACTTCTGTTCAATCCACACCAACGCCCACAGTCATCAGGTCGACGGGATCGCATAATCGGCCCAATCCATCGCCGCGTCCCTGAACATCTCAGTCGAGCCCTGCACCCCGTGCAGTCCAACAGCCCAGACGCCTCGCTCGACTAGGCTTGCCCAGTGGTCTAGCAGCCGCTCCAAGCATGCATGGCGACTAAGACAACTCTCTCATTTTTATACAGTGCTGGGTACCTCGTTACTGCAGCCTGCAATTTTCTCATTGCCAGCCAAGCTCATAGCCATACCCCCCGTACTCCATCCACTCTGCGTCCTCCTCCCAAGAATACAGGCCCCCCGTGCCGCCTTCGCAAACAACATCGCCAGACCCAGCCCCATCTTCCGACCCCGCGATGGCCGGATCTCCCCACCGACACATCACCCACGCCCGTCGTCCTTCCAGCCACGGCGCGCCAAACCTCAACGGGCCGTCGTAGTCGGGGCCCCAGTCTCCGGCCCTGAACATCACGCTCCTGAGTCGCTGACCAGACTTGTGATGCGCAAGAAAGCGGGCCAGGGGCACAGCATTCGTCTTGTTCAGCAGTGGCTGGGCATAGTGGTCGAGCCCGACACACCCATCCTCATCCTCGAGTGGCCGACTGCCGTCCCCACCATCGTACTCAACCCAGCTGTTGTTCTTCTTGGCGCTCTGCCTGTGGCACTCGCTGGCGAGCTCGAAGTATATGGTCAAGTCCGTCAGCTGTGGCAGCCCTTCGGCAAGCAGCCTCAGGCTTTCCCATGGCCAGTCCCACGTCTCTCCTCCGGAGGCGCTGAGCTGGCGGGGGAGATTGATGGTCAGGGTTCGAAGCCCCGGTGCCAGCTTTGTAAGTTGCCCGAGCTCGAGAACGGACAGCGTTGGAGGAGCGTGTGTGTCCCATTCTTCCGAGTGGTACTCTAGGGATTGTAGCGGCCATCCCTGGTGCTGCAGGACCGGTTCCAGTGTAATGAACGGGCTTCCGTGGCTGTCGCCGCAGCTCCTGTAATCCCGTGTTGGATTCTGCCAGGACAGATGCGTGAGCGAGCCCTTAGGCAGGGAGAGGATGAAGCCCTGGGCCATGGAATGGTGCACGGCAAGAGTGGTGAGGCTGGTTAGCCTGCTGGGCAGCTTCTGCACCACTTGCTCGGTCAGCGAGCTGCGGCCTCTGGTGTAGTTCAGCTGCAGCGTGTGAATGCGCGAGAAGTCCATGGCGTCGACCCACAGATCCAAATTCGTTCTCAGTCGCTGCACCTCTGGAACCTCGTAGTACAGGCGCGCGCACTGCCAGAGCCGACGCCAAGACATCCAGGACAGGTATGTCAGGTCCCAATCGTCGAAAAGGGGCCCGCAGAGCGTTCTCCATTCGCTTTCATCGAAGTCGTACCCGTCAAGCGACAACACCAGCGGCGCCGAGGCGTAGCGTTCGCCGCCGCGCAGGTCGAAGGGGAAGTTGAACCTGTCAGGCCACTCTGAGCATCCACTCCCAACCGTGCGCACCTGCAAGGTGGCAATATCCGGGCATGTCAACATCGCGGCGTGGATTTCTGTCATGGAGGAGAACGACGGGTTCCCTGTCGGAAGGTTCCGCCGGATCTCGGTCGGACATGCAGGGCTTGTTGCATCGCTGGCTGGTCGCTCTTGTGAAGGAGAAGGCGAGAGGGCTTGCAGGACTCGAGTGACGAGTGATTTCATGGTAGGCGGGGGCTCGATAAACGGGTCAATGACCAGAATCCGGGCTGTTGTTTCGATGATCAATCATGTTGAGCTCCTACTGGCGTGACTTCTGGCTTTATGTTCTCCGGCCAAGGCGTAGGCAGCAATCAATGTGTGCTCTCGATGGGATCATGGGGTACGTGTATGTAGACGTATGCACCCAGGCACCCTTCCGACACTGATGGTACAATACAATACAAAGCCCTTGCATACTTCCACGATCAGAAATCTGAGATATCATAGGAAATAGTATCGCAGAGGGTTGTGCATCCGTAATGATTTGTAAGCCGACAGCACCGCAAACTTCGTACAGCCGACCCGGGCCAGCACCGTTGTGATGATTGATGATCGGTTCCTAAGTGGAATGGTGTAATTATGCGGCGGTGATGGGCGGGGTTAGACAGGGGTAATGGCCTCGACGGACAGGGTCCGTGGTACTTATCGATAAGGTCCCTTATCCGGAAATTTTGGAAAACTCGACGTTCAAGTTCCCGTCGCAAGCCATCAACAAGCCCGGCAGCAACCAGTCCCCGCATATCAATTGGAGCGATGTCGGCCGGAAAGAAGCACGCCCGCAGCGAAGGCGAGGAGCAGAGTACGCGCCTCGCCAAGAAGGCGAAGACGGATGCGACAACGGATGCGGCCGCCGACGCCGAAGCCGACGCCGCCTCCGTGAAGGCCGAAAAGAAGAAGGATAAGAAGGATAAGAAGGGTAAGAAGGATAAGGAGAGGAAGGAAAAGAAGGAAAAAAAGGAGAAGAAAGAGAAGAAGGAAAAGAAGGAAAAGAAGCAGCGGAAGGAGAAATCTTCCGAGGAGCCCGAGGAACAGCCAGTCGGAGGAGGCATGGCCGAAGACGAACCTGAGCCCAAGCCTGAGAAGAAAGAGAAGAAGAAGAAGTCCAAGTCTAAGTCCTCCTCAGACGAGTCGACGCCGAACACAAGCGACCAGAACGCCACAACCGCCGCGACTACCGCCGAGTCTACTCCAGCCGCCAGCGGCCCAGCCCAGCGTAACGGTGCCTCCTACTCGTACCGGCAAACCTCCGCCCTCGACGCCGTTCCAGATTCCGAGGTGCAAGAATTCCTCAAGAAGCAAGAGATCGCCATCTCCGACCCATCGGGCACCAAGCTGCGTCCCGTCATGCAGTTCTCGCACCTGCCCTCCTCAGCCCTCATCTCCAAGAAGCCCTTCGCCAGCTTCACCGCGCCGACACCCATCCAGGCCGCGTCCTGGCCCTTCTCGCTCTCCGGCCGCGACGTGATCGGCATCGCCGAGACCGGGTCCGGCAAGACGATGGCCTTCGCCCTGCCCTGCGTCGAGTCGCTCGCGTCCAGCCCCAAGCCCAAATCCTCCTCGTCTAAGAAATCCAACAGGACCGCGCACGCCCGCGCCGTGGTGGTCTCGCCCACGCGCGAGCTGGCCATGCAGACGCACGCGGCCATGTCGACGCTTGCCTCGCTGGTCGGGCTGTCCGCGGTGTGCCTGTACGGCGGCGCGAGCAAGGACGACCAGCGCGCGCTGCTGCGTCAGAACAGCGGGGCCGACATCATCGTGGCCACCCCGGGGCGGCTGAAGGACTTCCTCTCGGAGGGGTGTGTGTCACTGTCGGAGGTCATGTTCGCCGTCCTCGACGAGGCCGACCGCATGCTGGACAAGGGGTTCGAGGAGGATATCAAGCAGATCCTGGGCAGCTGTCCGCCGCGCGAGAAGAGGCAGACGCTGATGTTCACGGCCACGTGGCCGACCAGTGTGCAGGGGCTGGCCGAGGGGTTCATGGTTGATCCCGTGAAAGTGACGATTGGGAACCGGACCCGCGCGGGCGGGGATGGGGATGGCGAGGGGAATGGCGCGGTCGAGCTGCAGGCTAATAATCGTATTGCGCAGACCGTGGAGGTGGTGGATCCGCGGGGCAAGGAGCAGCGGCTGCTGGAACTGTTGCGCGAGGCGCAGCGGGGAGGCGGGAAGAATGATAGGATACTGGTGTTCTGTCTGTACAAGAAGGAGGCGGTGCGGGTTGAGCAGTTCCTGCAGCACAGGGGCATCCGCGTGGCGAGCATCCATGGCGACTTGCGGCAGGAGCAGCGGACGCGTAGTCTGGAGGCCTTCAAGGCCGGCACGACGACCGTCCTGGTGGCGACTGATGTTGCGGCGCGTGGTCTGGATATCCCTGAGGTCAAGTTGGTTATCAATGTGACGGTGAGTTTGGGGTGATCTCCTGGCTGCGAAGCTATATGCTTGGTCTGTATCTGACATGGAACAGTTCCCTCTCACGATCGAGGATTACGTCCATCGCATTGGTCGAACGGGCCGCGCTGGCAAGGAGGGCAAGGCCATCACGTTGTTTACCGAGCACGACAAGGCGCATTCTGGATCGTGAGTACCCTACCCAAGCACAACTTAATCACAGCATGCTCACTGTTTTCCAGACTCGTCAATATCCTGAGAGCGGCCAACCAGCCTGTTCCCGACGAGCTGCTCAAGTTTGGCACAACGGTCAAGAAGAAGGCGCACGACGCGTATGGCGCGTTCTTCAAGGACGTGGACATGAGCAAGAAGGCCACGAAGATCACGTTCGATTAGGGCCAAGATACATAGCGTGGCGTGGGTAGACGTTTCTGTTGGGATTCGTGTCGGTGGTTTGCATCAGCATTGGGGTTTCTAGGCGCTTGCTTGCTGCCGGCCTCTGATACCCTGGATCGCACTGTATAGAAAGCTCCTTTCGGACGCGGCTCTGCTTCACTGTTAGCCAGCCTGATAGACAGTTTCATGGATATGCAGATACAAGGTGACTTACACAACCATCGCAAAGGGCAGTGCCACGCCTGCAATCTTGGCCAGCGCCACCACTGCCTCTCCGGCACCACCAGCCGCCACACCCTCCCCGAGCCCAACAAGCCCCCTCGCAAGCTGCGACGCAACCGCCCCCGCCAGCATCGCCGTGGGAGTCGGCATAACGCGCAGCACTTCAAACTCATCCCCTTCCCCCATCCGCCGAAAATAGCCCCTGATAAACACCCAGCACCAGACGATGCGACACGCCATGTTAATCCCGTTCGCCACCACCAGCCCAACCGCACCCCACTCCAGCACACGTAGAAAGACATACCCGGCCGTAGCAAACACCACCGAGAAGGCGGCCATCCACACGCTCTGCGCATGCACCTCCCCCTCCGTGGCCACCGACGCCACAAAGGCCTCGGCTACCCCGTTGATCGCCAACAGCGGGATGTACCACATGTATGCGGCCAGGCAGGTGGCGGCGCCTGAACCAGCCCAGCGCGGACCGGCGATGAGAGACAGGAGCGGTGCGGAAGCCGGTGGACCGAGGGCTGTGATTGCCAGCGAGAGGAGCATGTAAAATTTAAGGAGGGACGTCAAAGCTGCTGAGGCTTCTTTGACACGTTCCCGTTCCTTTTCGTTGGTAGGGGTAGTGGAAGAAGAAGAAGACGAAGGAGCTAAAACTCGGCTGAAGTAGCTCCGGCTGCTCTCCTCGATGGGCTGGAACACCAGTCGCGCGAGCAGGCCGCCGTAGTTGTTGGCCAGCGCGTAGACGCCCTGGGCCGTCGGCGTGGACAGGATGCTTACCAGGAAGGTGTCGCCTTGCGTGAGCAGGTGCTTGACTACGCTCTGGGCCATCATGCTGGACGCGAGCTGCAGCGTCGGGCGGTAGAAGTAAGCCAGGATGAATGACGGGGTCCCTTTTTGAGCCGCCTCGGTTTTCTTGGTGGTTGGTGGAGGGTCGGAGGTGGTAAGGCGGCAAGGGAGGAGGGAGAAACCTTCCGCCCTTGCGAGGCCTGCGCCGTGCCAGCCGTAGACGGCCAGGAGGCCGATTCCGTAGCTCAGCTGGCCGAGGGCGAACGGCAGGACGCCCAGGTCGCGGTTGGCGCCCCAGACGGCGGAGCCTAGAGTGACGGCGCAGCGGAGGAAGGTGGCGATGGATTCGGCGGTGGCGCGGGTGCCGAACTGCAGCCGGGTTTGCATCACCACGAAGGCCGGTTCCGAGGCGAGCTCGAGCACCGCAGCCAACCCGTAGATGTACAGGGAGAGGATGAGGTTAGGAGCGGATGCCAGGGTCGCTGCGCTGAGAGAATTGCGGTAGAGCCAGCCAAAGAAGAGCGCAAGCGGGATACCCAACGCCAGCGAGATGTATCCCAGGTTGACGACGGCCTGGGCCGATTTGTTTTGGGTTCCATCGGTCTTGTCGCCGTCGCTTTTACCCTCTGAGAGGCTGGAAGAGTCCTGTCTCTGGATGGCGACTCGCAGACTCTCGCGTGCAAAGAAAATGACGGACAGGTAGTATACTTCCAGCTGGGTCGACACACCGAGAAGCTGGGCCGTCAGGAAGCGCAGCAGCAGCTGGTTGGCCACAAACGTGATGGCTCGCGAGACCACCTGCAGCACGATCAGCACCGACGCACCCCGTAGCGCCCGTGTGCCGCTGGCCGGCTTTTCCGAAGTGGACATCGGCCCGACACGGAACAGCAACGTCCTGCCGTACCTTAAGTTCGAAATCCGGGCGAAGTGCGGATGTCGAATGGAATGAACCTTCCCCTGCCCAGATGTGGACGTTGGCTTCGGCCGCTTGCGCCGCCACGTGGCTTCCGGGCGCTGCAGACCCTTGGAACACGCTAAAGCGGGCCGCTGTGGATCGACTTGGGGCGGGGCGTTCCATCCGGCGTCACCCATACTGTCCACACAGTTTCCCCGAAGTCTGAAACCCGCATGTCGAGCTGTATAGGAGCGTGAAGAGAAGTATCTTACCAGGTACCTTGGGTAAGTGACTGGAAACAGGTGCTTATAATGAGGTCCAATCCCTTGTGTTCCCAGTTCCAGTTTTTGTTTACTCATGGCCATTGATCTGCCTCTTCTTACGCAGCATCAAGCGTACCCCGTTTCAGGCGCTGGTACAAGAGAAAATGATTTAGGGAACGACAAATAGGCGGGCCCATGGTATTTGTTTCTTGCATTCTTTAGGTAATTTCCTCCTTTCTTTCCTTGATTTCTCTTCTCGGTTCCACCCGTGTACCGTACATGTCTGCTACCGGGGAAGGAGCGCTAGCTGTGCTTTCCAAGGCCTAGAATGACGGGGACGGGCGAGAGGTGACTACTCCTTGGGGTGCATGGTTGGTCTTAGTGGAAGGAAGGTGCAACCCAAGTAAAAGTGTGTAGCATTAGGCAGACTGCATCCCGACATTCTCCTGATCTAAACGTCCTCTCCAACTTGAACGACCTTTTAACTTCTCTGAGTCGCTTATCTTGGTCAAGGTACCAGCTGCACCAGCCACTGATCCAGTCGCACAATATTCTTTTACCACCCTCTAACTCATTATATCACTGCTATGGTTTTCTCGCGCGCTGTCAGGGTGCTCACGAGACCGTCAACCAGCCCGAGTGGCAGTCCCTCTACTTCCCGGCGTTCCCCCGATGATGGCCATGACCCTGCTGGTCCGAACTTTGGCAACCCCCCCAGAGTTCTCTGGGGCTCCTACAGCTGAATCGCGGGGTCACAAAGGAGAGCACTCAAACTGAAGGAACCCAGGGCTCCGGCCGAAGAGCCGCTACTTATCAGCCCACCAGGCACCGATAGGGCTGCCATAACGGCGGCACAGCTGATCCTCAACCACTCTCGGGCAAAGGTTATGCCATCCCGAGGGTAACGACGTTATGTTCGCATCGGAGGATGGTGACGTTCGACAAACAGTGCGTTGCATACTTGGCTAGTGTTAAGACGTGGACGTTGATCGTGTTGAGATTAGTGAGAACAGAGAGAGTTGTACTTCATCGTGATACAGCCCCAGCACCAGCACCACCGCGCACCGCACGACGACTCCGCTCCCGTCTCATATCACTAGGTGTGCGTTGATACTGAGGTTCAGACAACTCTTCCTCCAGGAGCCGGACTCGAGTGTGGAGGACTTGCAACAGTATGCAGAGTTCTTCCGGAGGGTTCGTTTTGGGGGACCACATTGTCTTTCCCCGTGATGATACAACAATTACGTTTCGAAACGGAGGTCGGAGTTAGAGAAGAGGCTGGGGTAGCCCTTTAGGTAGATAACTAATACTAAGTGGTCCAAGAAAGAATTACAGGATAGTGAATGCATAAAGCTCCCTCTCCATAACGTTGAGTCCCGGGGTTCTTGTTGTCGTTCCTGTATGCAATTCTCAGCAGCCTCGCTGGAGGTCTAGTCACTGGTCAAACTTAGGACTCCTGCTTTAGCGCGTGGCAAACGGTCGAGACTGGATGATGCAGAATTTGAACCGTGTCTTGTTCAAGCTCTCCGTGGACATACATCATGGGGAATCTCGGCGCCGTCGGAGTTACCTAGGTACCACCGAAGTCGTGCCTGCCGATATTCGCTGTAGGAATCGTTGCGCGGGCAATGACGACTGATAGGAGGTGCCGCTACCGAGCTGCGTACCTAAAGTAACTTCAATGTCAACAACCCTGGAATCCAAGCAAACTGCATCTAACCAACTTGCTTATGAAGCAAAGACATTCCTAAAACAGTCTATTTCTTACGCTAATTATCGAGATAAAAGCATGGATTCGCCGAAGCTTACAGAATTGCTCGCAACCTACGTCCACGCAGTCCACATTCTCCATCACCATGGCGTACTCGACGGATTCGGCCATCTCTCGGTGCGGAACCCCGAAGATCCGGCAACCTTCTTCATGATGTATCAGAAGGCACCGGTCCTGGTCTCGGGGCTGGACGACATCGGCTTGTACTATGTCTCCGATGCCGATTCTGTCCTCGAGAACACCCGTGCGCCGCCGGTGGAGCGTTTCATCCACAGCGAGATTTACAAGCGGTTTCCCGACGTCAACGTGGTGTTGCACGGCCACCCGGAGGAGCTGATCCCGTACAGCAACAGCGACCTGTCGTTGCGCGTTGCCGTCTACATGGCAGGCTTCTTGGGTAGGTAGTGGCTTGTGCTAACCCTACAATCTTAAATGGAGTCGGACTAATAACCGTCTTTCTTCAGGGCACAGAGTCTCCAAATTCGACATCACCAAGTACTACCTCCCGGATGACCCACAAGACTTCCTGGTGCGGAACCAGCGCCTGGGCGAGGGCCTCGCCAAAACGTTCGATGCCAACGGGTACCTTGTTGACAGCGAAAGGAGACACAACCTGGTTCTGATGCGCAACCACGGCTTCACCTCCATTGCAGCCGACATCAAGACGGCCACGTACCAAGGGATTTATGCCCTAGTCAACGCCAGGGCTCAGTCGGAGACGATCAAGGTCCGGCAAGCCTACGGTGGTGCGGAGTTGACATTAGCCACCAAAATTACCTACCTTAATCCTCAGCAAATTGCTGAGAGCTGGCAGGCGGAGAGGGAGCTCGTGGAGATACCTTGGGCGGGATGGCTGAGGGAGGTCAAGGTCAACCCGTTGTACGTGAATCGGTTGGATCCGGATCGTGGAGCTGACTAGGGGGGAGCATAGCTTATTGTTCAAGGATGGGAAGTCAATTAGGTGGTCATAACGACTTAGGTTAGTAGATGGATTACGAGCGTAGCAGCGGTATATGGGCAGCTTTGAAGGGAGAGGAAGCGTTGTTGTAGTGAAGAGGATGGTGATGTAATTTAGGGTTGTTCATAATCCTTGTTCCTCGACCCTTTCGGTGTAAGGCCTGCGGAGTGTAGTATGATAGCTGACGTGGTCATCCCATCAGGTTTGAGGCTTTGCTTGTATAGGACAAAGGCATACCCAGTCATCACTCGACAGCGTGGCATAAGATCCTTTGAAGAGCCGTGATCTTGTTGACGTTCCTGACGCAGCACATGATATTTAGGTCTCTTTGTATGGTTCCCCTGCCAACTCACAACCGAGCTCCAAGTCCAGTACATGAAACTTCCATCCTTGATCACCGACGTACACCAGCCTCGTAGTGTCTTACAAGCCTGCCACATGCAACAACAGCCTGAGGTCATCGATGCTTTCGTGTAACCTAGAAATGAGTATAAGAACCCTCCGGCGCTCCCTCCCTTGGCCCCTATTCAAAATCTCCCACACACAAAACAAACTTGATCAGCTTTCAGTTTCTCTACACTCCGTCACTCAAGCAAAGCAAGCTCGCACTACGAAGCCAAACCAACACTGACTTGCCTCCCTCAACCACCGTCCAACCAACGAACCAAATACCCACGAGTCGCAGAAAACAAAAATAGAGCACACCAACACAAAATATCACAATGGCCAGCAAGTGTTTCTGTCTGCGGGGCAGCCACTCGGAGGACAACCAGTGCGACAAGACCCCCGAGGTATCGGCCAGGGTGGTGTGCAAGACCTGCTGGGTGAACTGCTACGGCGAGAAGGAGGAGCACTACGAATGAGTGTCCGCGCAAGGCAGCACAATGGCAGGGAGAAGGTATTTGATGGGCGAAAGGGGAGGTCACTGTTGTTGATGTTGATCTCGGGAAGACGATCACAGTCTTCACGGGTCTCTGGGTGGGGGTTGGGTTGGGAGTGGGTTTGGAGAAGGAACCTCGTTTTGGAGTTTGGTTAAGGCTTTGGGGGAATCTCGGCAGCTAGACTGATCGAATCGGGAGGATGATGCCTACCTGAGTAGGTACGTAGGAATCGAGACTGGTTTCTTGGTGATAATCATCAACTGAAATGACGCGATGCGGTCTTCTTGCTGGTCAACTTTAAGGCCTGACCTTGTTCAAAGGCTTGTTTGGCCAGTCTGTGTATGATGGAAATAGTGTCTGAGTACCTGCCTTATATATTGCTCAACTGTATGACTGAGACATTGGGAAACTTGCTGCACAGCATTCCGCTCGTGGGAAGCCCGGAGAGGGATACGAACCACACGGGTAACCTGAAGAGCTCACCACTGATGAACTCAAACCGTCAAAAAACTAGCCCCAGGTGGTGGAATGTAAGGCTACTGACCACACTCCGAGAGTCCGAGGCAACTGGGGTCCACCCATTTTATCACAGGGGCCCAGTTCCTCATCTCGATCTTCTTACATCAGTATATCCCAAGTCGGTACAAACAGTATGCCCGTCTTAAGCAGGAGCATCTTACCGTGTTACACTTGCTTGCATTACGAACAACTTGAAGTATGGCGACAAATGCTGGCATTACACCCGGGGCAGTGGGGCCGTAGTCTCGGGGCAGTTCCGGTACAGTTGTTGGTTGTTGCTGACTGCATCAGGACACCTGATCAAAGAATTCGCCCAGCGACGCCGCACATCCATACTAGCACACACAAAGAATGAGAATCTACGATCCCATTCCCGGGACTCCCTCTCTCTATTCATTCCTGTACCGGGAAGCAATAAGTGCCTCGATACCCACGTGACATTGAAAATAGCGCGATCCTACTTAACTTAGCGCCGGCCGACGGATCTGAGTCACCCTCGAACTCCAACGCCAACTCAGACAGGCTTTCAGTTTCACACCCCTACCAATATCCACCCACAGAGATCAGCCTCGGCTTGTTACTTGTCATAGAGACAATCGACGTCCGAACCATGACCGGAAATGCTGTGGCCGGTTCTTCTTGCTCATTTAGTTTGTTTCCCATTCTCCCAGCTGAGCTTCGGCTCCAAATATGGGAATCGGCGCTCGCGATGCAGGAGCCACGCGTGCTCAACATCTTTGTGAAATGCCACGATCCAAAGCGCTTTTTCTCGCCACCTTCACGGCTCACCATGCTGAACAATGAGTATCTGCGGAGGACGGACATGGTCAGCACTCTGCTCGGCGTCAACTCCGAGTCGCGCTATGCCGCCCTAGCGTACCTCGCCGCCCACCCGGCCGACGAGGCCCGCAAGGCCTTGCTCTGGCGGTCCAAGAAGGCCCAGAGATGGAAGGGACTCTACAAGCTCGGCGTCGACCTCCTGCATCTCCGCATCGATCCGAAGCGAGACGCCCTGTTCCTGAACGGCCTCGACCTCGAGCCCATCCTCCACCAGGACGGCGCCCCGACCGGGCAATTCCGGCGGATCCCACCAGACGCCGCCAACCCGATACTGGTCCTCCTCCCCCGGCGTTTGAGCGAACAAGAGCAAGGCGGAACCCTCTATCCTGACGGAGCCCGGAGAAATATTCGTGAGCTGGAAGGTCCCGAGCGCACCTTCACCAGCCGGTTCCGGACCGTCATCATGCCCGTCCACGGCCTCATCGACCCGTGGGGGCGCGAGGGCGTGCTGGAAAACCCCATGTTGCCACCCTTCGATCGACTGGCGGGTTACCATACCATGTTAAGGGAGATGGCGCTCAAGACGTTCATTGCCGTCGTCGGCCACTACCGCGGCCGCAACCTGCAGCTGGCCGACCTCGACTTCATTCCAGAGTCGGAAGTGGCGCGCATCGTCAAGGAGCACGAGGCGGGGAGCACGAGTGGTGGTGGTGATGGTGGTGGTGGTCGTGGTGGTGCGGTCCGAAGCATCTTACACCGTGACGTCCTCGTCATGACGGCTGTCTTCCGGGAATGGATGCGCTGCGGCCGGATTGTGCATGACTGTGCGGCGCGGAGGTGTCCGCAGATCGACTACGGGCCCTTTAGGCGTCCGGCGCTGCGCTTCGCCCGGGTGAAGGAGGAGGTTTTGGCTAGGTTGTCGCCGCAGGACCAATATTTCGGCAATGATGGGAGTACTACTATGTGGACCAAGGAAACACGGCGCGGTGGGACCATGCCCGCTGATGAAGTAAGCGTGAACGCAATAGAGGAGATGCAGCAGCTACTCCTACCGTCATATGATTAGTAGTCGTAGACTGAGACTGGATTGGAACTGCATCAGTTGTGGTTATAACCTACGATGCCATCTAAGCCCGTTGCGTGTACGGTGTATGGCCTTGATCTACGCCTCTCCGGCGGAGAGATGCTGCAACATCATCTTGTTCCTCTATAATTTCTAATTAGCCTCATCTCCGCCCAACATTCCTATCTTTGACTGTGAGAGAGTGTGAGGGAAATCCTATTGCCTGCTTACTATAATCGTCGCCTCGATCGACAAATATAGTGTAGTGCGTGGATGAAATGTCTTTGCCACTTCTCAAGTCGCCACCTCGTTATCAAATCAAATATATTGCGTTAAAGTAACGCGCTCGCCTAGGATGCATCTCAAATGGTCCAGACCATTCAAACGGGTTCTCGGTGCTCAGGGTCCGGCGTGGTTCCTAAGAATAGTCGCGCTGCCATTACCCGGCAATATCGGTTATTTGGGTCTCACCCAGGGCGGCGAGACGCCTGGTCTCTATATAACTGCATCTTCCCTGCCAACAAGAACACACACTGGAACACCCAGGTCAAATTCACCAGGTCAAACTCTCTGCTGTCCCCACTCCCACTACCTACGTACCAGCTCATCCCAGACTCTTCCTTGACTCTCATACCACCCTTAGTTGCTCTCAGTCCGGCACACGATGCGCTTCACAACATTTCTTTCCTCCGTCGCCGCTGGGCTGGGCACAGCAGCAGCCGCGCCCACAGCTGCGCCCCAAAACCTCCGAGTCGTCGGTGTGTCCGTGTTGGGCTCGGGGTGCCCCTACGGTTCCGCAGACGTCGCAGTCACCGACAGCAACACAGCGCTGGACATCCGACTATCGGAATACGTCGTGAGGACCGGCCCCAACACCATGGCGGCCGACTGGCGGAAGAACTGCAAAGTCACGCTGAACCTCGAATACGACGCGGGCTTCCAGTAAGTACTCCTACCTATGCTTGTTGCACCCCTAATTGTCCAGTCCCCCTTTTTGCATAATCCATAAATCCATGGGATCATGAACCACCACCTAACCCCATCCCATCCCAGATTCTCGACGCTCAACACGGCCATGACCGGCTGGGCGCACATCCCGTACGGTGTGGAGGGCCAGTGCCAGAACACGTTCGACTTCACCGGCGCCCCGGGCAGCCAGGTCAAGGCCGGCATCACGCTGGGCGGCGAGCGCGACGGCCGCTTCTCGCTGTCGGCCAGCCCGGACATCGTGACGTGGTCGCCGTGCGGCGGGTCCACGGCCATCTTCAACATGAATACCCAGTGCTGGATCTCGCCGACGGAGAAGCAGGCGCTCATCGCGGTATGTTTCGAACTTTTTCTTTTCTTTTCCTTTTCATATTTATTTTTTTTTTTTTAATTTCTTTTTTACCCCTGAGGGCTCGCAAGGAGTAAAGCTGACAGCCATATGTTACATTGTACTACTCTTAGGTCGATCGCATCAGCAGCAAGCTCTCTATTCGTGTTGCGCTGCAATGGAGGAGCTGTTAGACGGACGGAGCTTGGGGCGAGAAGGGAGGATGCGTTGGGAAATAACAAAAGTCTTTGTTCATGAGGGTTGCGGTGGATTGGAGCATCGTTTCTTGCATGGGGGAACAGTCAGAGCTATGCCAAGTTCAAGGCTTTGTATAAAGGGATTTGACGGTGGACTTTCTGCTACTAGTATTATACTTCTAGGTTTATCATCGATCTTGTAGCGTTGTTTTAACTCGAAGCATGCTCCAATAAGGGATTTTCGAGCACGCCAAATCTCATGACTTGGTTGTACAAAACTAGTACCAGCTTTGCTGCCAGCTTGCCTTTGGAAAGGCCTATCTACTACTACTCTAGTACTGCTTCCAACGGTGAACTGCTGACGCCGCCCCCAGACAAGACGCCATTAACTCCTAGCTGGAGTTCCTGACAAAATCAACACCGCGTTCCCTGTACAGCACGCTGGACTCCAGAACCTCCCCCGTCTTACTCCTCACAAAGTCGACCTGCAAACGATTCGCATCTCGGAACCGCAACGTGGCATAGCTGAAATCGTCCGCATACGCAAACACATTCGTCGAATAGTTGGCGCCTACCGCGCTCAACCCCTCGATATTCCCCGCCCCGCCCGCAACAATGTACGCCGGCGCCTTGGGGTTCGCAGTCCCATTATACACGGGACTGAACCGCTGGCTGTTGTGCACGTGGCCAAAGACGCCGAGGTCGACGCCGTACCGGTACAGCAGCGGCTCGAACGCCCTCTGGCACGGCTCGCATCTGCTCCCGCTGCCACCCGTGGTATACCACGGCCTGTGGCCCGCAACAATCACCCAGGGCGTCACGCTGCGGTCGACCGACGCCAGATCGGCCTCCAGGAACTGCACCTGCTGCGCGGGAGAGCTACCGAACGGTCCCGCACCCAGCCCCGCCGAGCCGTCGGGGCCGTCCGGCGCCGCGGGGAAGTCGGTCTCGGTGTCGATCATCACGACGTGGACCATGCCGTACTCGAACGAGTACCAGAAGGGCGGGCGGGCGAGCGAGGCGGCCGTGGCGGCGTACCGCTGCGCCGTGGCGTTTTGGGAGGCGGAGGGGAAAGCCGTCGGCAGCAGGCCGCCGCCGAAGCGCGTCAGGAAGTCCGTGAAGTTCCGTTGCCCCTCCGGGCAGAGACCGCTGGTGAAGGGGATCTCGGTGCATGCGGCTTCGTGGTTCCCCGGCGATGCCATGTACGGCTTGCGGCCGGCGATCGGGGCGAGTTGCTGGTAAAAGTTTTCGAGAATGGCCGCGTAGGCGTTCTTGCCGTCGAGCAGGTTCTTGGGCTTCAGGAACCAGTCGTCTGCGTAGGCGAAGTCGCCCGGGTGCAGCACGAACTCGTAGGCGTCGATGGTGCAGGCTAGCGCTCCGATCGTCGTGTGGTTCAAGGCGGGCTCGATGTAGGGGATCTCGCGTTTGCGGGTGGTGGTGTAGCCGTCTGCTCCGTAGACACCGAGCTGTTGCAATGTGGGTATTGTGTCAGCAGAGAGTGAGAGATATCGAAAGTACGGTAGTTATCTAGAGGGCCGCACATCAGCTACCACGGCCAGGGCAAAACTGGTCTTGTCTCCGGGAGCGCGCGCCGTTACGAATTGGTTGGCAGTGGAGTTGGTCGAGTTGATCTTGTAGTAGTACGTCGTGGCAGCATCAAGCCCGGTCAGAGTCACAGAGTGTGCCCATGTCCGAGAGGTCCCGTACTTTACGGACTGCGTCGAGCACGCTTGGGACGTCAGGCTGCTAGCGGACTTTCCATACTGGACACACGCTTCGTTGAGCTGTCCGTAAGTGTTCCAACTCACTGAGATGGCTATGGGTCCGTCAATCGTTGCTCGGCGTATTAACAGTCTGGACCAGGAACACTGAGCCTACAGTTGGGGCCCTTGAAGGCAATACGTTGTTGTACTGGTGTTGTAAGGTCCTTGGGAATGCCAGGATAGTCGGCAGCAACTGCGAGCCCAAAGAGGAGGGACAGTATCTGGAGAATGTGAGAAGACAGCGCCATGATGTTCACCAAAAGTATCCAACTGTAGTAGACTAGCGACAAATGAAAGCACGACGGGAGACGAGGGACAGGCGCCGGTGTTATTGACGGCGCCGTGGGTATTTATGTATCTACTATGGAGTGGGAACCTAACAATACTACCTACCACTCTAGGGACCGCTTCCGAAAGTATCACATGCATAAGTCTGAGCCATTCAAGCTGGCGAAGATCGGATATGCTACGTGGGTCCTCGGGGGGGTTGCAGGGCTGGCTAGGCCGCACCCAAGCCGACCGGCTCAGACAACCTTAATAACAAAGCTAGTATGGGCCCGACTTAGGTAGTGTGAGAGATTTATGTGCAAGCTGGAAGCTGAGGGTTAACATTATGTTAGCTTCCGAGGCTTGACCGTTGTCTTAGGCTCTTAGCCAAAGGTCCCTAGCAAGCCGACACAGAATATCACATCTCCCGGAGTTTGTACCTAGCTAGCGTAAAGGCCTCATATGGCGTACACTAAAGTAGTAGCAAGTGCCGTCTTGGCCCTTCGGAGTTGAGAAAGTCAGCACGTGTGTCCCTGTTATTGCCGCGTTGTAACTTGTAGCTGCAAGCTTTTGCTTAGCGAGCCACGCTTCACGCCCCACGACCGTGATTGGTCATTCCGACTCCTATTGCAGAGCGGAAGCCAATATGCACATGTGCTTGATGCCAGAGGTCGGTAGTGTTCCGTCAACCGCTGTGCTAGAATTCCGTTCAGGACCAAAGGCTAGCGGTGAACTATGGGGAACCGAGCCTCGTCACCTCGTGGCCCAGGAGGGGAGCTGCCTCCTGCCTGCCTAGTACTAGACTATTGATAACAAACTTTCGCGTAGAGTAAATTGTCAGCATAGTACCCTCATCTCTCCCAATGGCCTGCTCTTACATCCTGAATCCAAGGCAAAGAAGGCCAGAGGCAGCAGGCTGTTCGCTTTCTCCCATACAAGCCCAGTATTTCTGATCCACTCCAAACCCGGTCTGATGATTTGGGCTGATGATTTGAGGTACATTCATGACTGATACTGAAAAGACGGAAAAGGTTGCATATGTTCGACAGGACCATCTCGCCGTACAGCCAACAAAGTCATTGATTGCTACTCCATCTCCCGCAAATGGTTGGCTATATGGCTTGGATATATCATATGCCCTTCACAGAAGGGAATGAAATCGTGGATGGTGACTTAGGTTTGCATTCGCATTCTTAAGAAGGATGCATGCAGCCTAGGTACCTACCTACCTTAAACAGCAACAACACCGTGCTACCTGCTGCGTTGATTCGATATCTGTCCTGGCTGGTCTTACTCGCGTCCTCTCAGGATAATTCGACCCGACGGTGCCATGGTATAGGCCGAGCTCTCTTACTCGGAATTCTTAGAGACCAACTAAGCCACGACTCCATTCCTTCTTCTACGTCTTTTCGCTGTTATTGGCTTCCACTTCGACAACAGACGGCCAGGTCAATGTTACAGTATGCTTGTAGACATGAGGTAGTAATCAACGAAGGTACAAGTACTTTAGTATTTGTACATAGGAATACAACATAATACACAATTGAGCACTAGTCAGTCCCTACAATCTCTTTCCTCTCAGCAGACGCCTCCAAGCAAGCACAATGCCCGTTTCCCTCCCTCCCATGTCCCATCATCCGACCATATCTAACCACCATCCCCAACCTACCGCCATCTTCCAATGGCCGGAACAGTCACGTTTACGCCGCCTTCGGACTGGGACCCCGCCGACGCATGACCATGTACAGCCCACCGAGTCCCAGCGCGCCGAGGCCGATATATCTGTACCTTAGTATCATCAACAAGCGCACCCAATGTGAATGGCCCCCCCTCCATTAGCCTTCCGCTTTGTTTTTCCCCTTTTTGTCCCGGGATGCTTTTTACGTACCCGTAGGGAAACAGAACCTGGTTGAGAAGCACATACATGACATTCCCCTCCGCCATCTCCTTTGCTCCTCCTCCTCTCTTCATGCCTGCTGCTGCTGCTGCTGCTGCCCCGCGCTGATGGTGGGGCATGGCCGAGTGGATGTCCAGGCCGGACTCGTCGAGCGAGCGCTTCTGGTAGCTGGCCTGGCCCTCGGAGGGGAAGTCGAAGACTACGTCGATGTCGTCCACGGGACTGCCGCCGCGCGGGTCGTTGGGGCCGTAGGACGAGGAGGCGGAGGGCCGGTGGTCGCGCTGCGGCGGCGCGGGACTGGCGCGGAAGGCGGCGGCCGTGGTGGAGAGGTAGTTGCTGCGGTTCGCTGGTCGCCGGAGGAGGACGAGGTTGTTGACGTTGGTTACTCGCTTGGGGATCATCTTGGCGGATGGTGTCTCACTGTCGTGCTGTGGTGGTGTGTGATTTTGGATGGAATAGATGCCCAGCTGGGTACAATAATAAGGGGGATAGAGGATGATGCAGGACAGGAAAGAATTGTGTGTTCGAGGAAGCCGTGTCCCCTCGCTCTCACGCATAGGCCCATCTACCCCGCGGACTTCTTTCTTTCCATGACGTATCCATTAGCTGATCCGACAAGAACACCTGAAGTGATAGTTGAAGCTCGCGCCCGGCGACGGCTGCAACGCATGGGCCAGCGGCATTGTATTGGATGGCATCGGTCGACAGATCCAGCGGTCGTCGCCTTCGTTCATGGGCCCGCTAGCTCTGTTCTAGACCATCACCGGAACTGGTGGAAGTTGCCAGCACCTGGAGCTCGGCGAGTCATGTAAACATTGTCATTGATCGTCGACAGTCTGACTGGCCGGGTATGTCAAATAAGTTGATCTGTCTTCCTTTCTGTTTCCCCCTTTAATCCCTGTTTGCGCTCTGACACTCCCCCCAATGCAATAGGTTAGCAATGTCTGTTGGGCAGAAAGAATAACGTCGCCATGGAGTGTCTCTCCTCTCCTCCACCGGCTCTCGAAGTTGGGATTATCCACATGCAATCCCGTTCCATGGCAATGATTAATATGACAATATATACACAGTAAGCTCAACAGAACGCCCCTCCAAAACGCAGCCCTGCCATAGCACAAGTAGCGCAATACCACGAGGATGGGTATCAATATCCTTTTTTCGCTCCCTCAACCGCCAGCAGATCTGCAGCGATGTTTCCCACATCCACATCGTGCCCCTTGACCCACACGAATTGCGTCCGCCCACCCTTGCTCTCACGCTCCGCAAGCTTGTCGCGGATCGACTGGACCAGGTCCTGGTTCTTTACAGGGCCCCCGCGCGTCTTCCACCCGTTCCTCTCCCAGTTGATGTACCACTCGGTAACGCACTGGATCGAGTACTTGCTGTCGGTGCGAATCTCGAGGTCTTGCGAGGTATCGATCGCTTCGAGAGCGCGGAGGATCGCTGTCAGCTCGGCTCGCTGGTTTGTTTGGACCTCGCCCTCCAAGCGCTCTGAGATGTTCCTGTCGAGCTAGACGTCAGCAAACGCCCACAGGCTGCAGCGTACCATTGGTATACAACGAGACTAACCTTGGATCTGACTCTCCAAAGTAGACGCCAACCCCTCCTACGGCACCTGCCCTGCCGTTGCCCAGACTGCTCCCGTCTGTGTAAACGACTGCGAGGCCATTTCTTGAATTTGTAGGTCTGGTCGTCTTTTTTGGCTTTTTCGTTGGCGGCTCCTCGCTTCCATCCACTTGTTCGCCATCCGCCTCGTCATCGCTCGTCGTTGCTGGCTGTGCTCCGCCACTGAAGGACCGGACAAACGCCTCGGCTTCCTCCTGTGTGTTGAACTTTTTGTATTTCGGCCCCTTCCAGCCTACGATTGCCTCCTGTGCCTGAGACCAGTCGGTGTACACGCCAGGCTTGCGACCGACAGCGACGCCGTAGAAGCGAGGTGGCTTGGGCTTGCCATCGTTTGCGGCCGAGGGCGGGTCGCCGCCCGAGGCGAAGGATAAAGCATCTTCGTAGTTGAGAAAAGATTTGACTGTACGGATGTTAGAGAGGGGATAGAGAATCGTCGAATCGCCATAAAAGTGAAACATACAAACTGCTCCTTTGAACCCGGTAATCTGCTGCTGGCAATGCGTCCAACTGGTGTACACACCAGGGTTGAACCCGGCGCGGACAGCATAATACTTCTGCTCCCTGGCGTCCATCTTGCGCTTTCCGGATTGCGTGGACGAGGCTGTAGCAGCCTGTGCGTTTGTTGCAGGCATGATGGCACTTGCGAGACGTGCAGCGAGCGAGCTTATTAGTCCCGAGGAGTACTGCCGCCCGCGAAGCGCCGAGATGCCGGTGTTACTTGTGGCGCGAGTATTAACGGCGGCGATTGGAAGGACCGTTATGCAGGAGGTGCCACCGCGTGCGGCTGCGGCTCTGTCGGCGAGCAGGCGGAAGATGCTGGAGAGGGGTAGCTGCTGAGCGAGTCAACCGGACCGCATCATTGTTGGTAAGACCAGGGTAATCTGCTAGATTAAATGCGCTTTGTCGTCTTTGTGAGTGGTTCGATCGGTTTCGTGGCATTCAAGACTGCGACCAATTTCATAACATGCGATGGCCACAAAGGATACAGTTTTAAAGGTTGAAGCAGAATGGTGCTGTCATGGACGAGGGGAGTCGAGTGGTTTCAATTGGGGTCCAGAACATGACAATCGATAAGATAAGGCCAGGCACAAGTGGATCGCCAGTTCGCCACATGGTTTCAACTTCCGGGGTCCACCGGATATCGACAGTTCGACAGGCCTACTCCTTAACTCCATCTAAGATCTAAAAGCATGGTTTCGAAGACCAGTGTGCACTGTGCTGGACCTGGAACGATGGAACGAACCAGCAGCATAGCTCTCTGTCAGGGATCCGCCACTCCTACCTAGGTAACTAGTACTCGCTAGTAGCTTTTCGCTGACCAAGCTGAAACCAGCACAGGCAGCCAGCCAGCTTTCTTACCTATGTCCTTCCGGGTCTCCCTCTCCCCGCATCCAGATGGTCGAGGTATAGGTGCAGGAAAGTGATATTCGTACCTGAGCTCGCACTAGTAGTACGACAGTTCAGCATCGACCTGCCTTTACTCCCCCTCCTACAATGCCTCCAATTCACGACTTTCCCGCCCTGGCGCTCTGCACAACCTGTCAACAGCTGTTCGTCCAACTCCCGATCCAGCCAACTCCAGTGACGGCTCTGATTTTGAGCACAAATCTTCGGCGGTCATGACTTCTGCTTTCGAAAGGTGCAGCAAGATGTTGAGGACGGCGCTGACAATGGCTGCACGGTCTGCGAGTGGATTGTCCTCCACTACAGTTACGAGGATCACCAATCCGGTGACGAAGGCGACTTGACTGAGGAAGACTGGGCGAGCGGTATAAGGCCTTCCTGGTGGCCTGCCGCAGACGAAGAGTTCGAATTCCATTTCCGCTACGACGCCAACAAGGACGGCGGCCTGAGTCTGGAGCCACGCCCCCCGGAGCCGCGGCAACATGGGAGGTTAGAATGGTACCTGTATACGACCACGGTAAGTCAACGTAAGATTACAGAAACCCGACAATTCCCGCTGCTTCCGCTGAGAACAGATGGCAGATGATCCAGCTGCGGCACTTCCAATGCCCGGAATATCGCTCGCGGAACTCCCGTCGCCAGCGACTTTAGAAAGTGTGCGGCGATGGCTGGATGTTTGCGCCGCGAAGCACGAAGGATGCCCTGGCAACGACTGGGTTAAGCTACCCACAACGTTGGTCGAGGTCTCGCCGCCGGGCTCTCCAGAATCTGCATGTCTCCGGTTTACCGATGGCCAAGAGGGTCGGTATGCGACGTTCAGCTATTGTTGGGGCGGTCCTCAGCCCTTCGACACCGTCGCCGCCTCGCTCGCGGCTTACTCGAGAGAGCTGCCCTATACACGCCTGCCAAAGACGATACTCGATGCCTTTCAGGTTACGAGGTGTCGGGGTCTCCGCTATATCTGGATCGACTCCCTTTGCATCGTCCAGGACGACCCGGACGACAAGCAGAGGGAACTGCCGAAGATGTTTCGCATCTATGGGAACTCTTTCATCACGATCTCGCGGCCAGTTCTGGAAGCTGTAATGACGGGTTTCTAGGCCCAAGTCTTACCCCCGGGCCCCACGCCGTCTTTCCGTACGCGTTGACGAGAACAGACTAGGCTCTATCCTCGTTGGCACTGTGGACTATACGCTGGAGTTTGCCGACGAAACAATCAACATGCCCATCAATGACCGGGCCTGGACTCTTCAGGAGTCCTGCCTTGCACCGAGGCTGTTGGCGTTCGCTGGGATGACAGTCTTCTGGAGATGTGGAGGCTTAGAATGGCAACGCTGACATCCAACGATTGCCCTTGTCGACCCGGGAACAGTCGACCTCCCCGGCCTGGACATGGTAGCTATCGGTTGGAAGTGCTGGTCGGGCTATGCAACGATAGACTCGCCCGGTGCTCAGCAGTGCGCGACTCGCTTATCGTGGAAGAACCTTGTGGAAAACTACACCAGACGATTACCCAATTTGAAGAAGACAAGCTGCCGGCCATAGCTGCCATTGCCGAGAAATTCTCGCCGTCTTTCGGCGGAGGCTACCTTGCTGGCTTGTGGCGGCAGTATCTCGTTCAGGATTTGTTGTGGTACCCTAGTAGTACTGACGAGGCTCCCGGCCCGCGATTCACAGGCCACGGCCCGACATGGCCATGGGCTTAAAACGCCGGATGTATCCAATTTACGGATCTCGACAGTAGATTCGGTGACCTAGTCCCGTCGGCACGGATTGAGATTGCAGCGTGGTGCTCGCCTCCGAACGCGCGGCGTACAGAGCACTCCTGTCTGGGAAGCTGGTAATTGAAGGATACATGACGGAATTCGATCAACTGGGTGTCCTTGCTGTGTCGGGAGTTCTTTCCGTATTCGTTAACTGGGATGATCCTGAGCGTTACAAGAGCGCTGGAGACAGGTTGTTGAACAGCAAGGCAGACAAAGACGAAGACCGGTCTGCGTCCTGTTGGGCGCTGACGATTGCGACCAATCGTCCGGTGCAACACGGGGAGCACCCGGACGGGGTCTTTGGGCTGCTTCTTACCTCGTCGGGAGAGCAAGCGGGAACGTTCCAGAGGGTTGGGTGCTTTCGGCACAAAACAAAGGAAGCCAAGGGGTCCCCTCTGTTTCCCCAGACCCAAGACAAGAGGGTGGTTGCAATCGTATAACGCAACGCGATCATTCCACTGAAGGGTGCTCTCGGTTGCTAGCGTACCATCACCCGCGTACCTTGATCTATATCGGAGACTAACTGCACTTCCTGGAGGACCCAGATTCTGAAGAGTCACGACATCTTAAAGAACCTGGTATGACGAACTCTATCATTGCCCTGTGGTTTCATAACGGCTTCAAAGGCCGAGTCATCAGAACCGGCTAGGCCATCTTGCTCAGCGCTGTCGAACCTCACAATACCGGATCATGCTATCTGGCATGCCGGTCCAGTCCTAGGATTTCAATCCTCCATGTTTCCCATTTCATGATCGACTTATTAACTCTAGACCTGACAGCTGAGCCTGAGCGCATTCACACCGCGGGCCGTCCCGATTCATGATAGACAAACACCCAAAGCGGAAATATGCTCGGTGATTTTTAAATGCCAGGGTAGTGGCGCAGCAACGGTGATGTCGCAGCGTTTCAGTGAGTACGGTCGTACGTACGGGCAATACCTGTACTTGTACTGTCAGCCGTTACGAGGAAATTCCATTTCTCCATTTCAAAAACTCCTGCTATTCTAACGTTACTGCTTCGTCCGAGAGTTTCCCATCGGCAATCCGGTACATCTTTGGTGAGTATGCCGAAAGAACCCCAGCCATGGCCACTTTGGACGGCCAACTATCAACTTGACGCTGAGGTCATCCCGTCTGTGACCAGTATTCCGTACATATGAGCAGCTACCACAATAGGCTAGCGTCGTGCCGTCGCTCACGATCTTGCGATTCTCTTGGCATTCCTTTGCCGTTCCGAGCATTCCCATTGGATTCGTGCCAGCACAGCCACATACGCAACTCTCGTGTTTGGCCATCCAAATCTCGAACGCACTGGCCCAAGCTCGTCTTTGCAACACGAACCTCCTGTTGCTTCGTCGTTTGCGGTGGAGACTACCCGCAACCTTAACCCCTTGTCCTCCCCACTCGCTCTTCTGCCAACTTCATTTGTTTCAACTTCCAACCTTCAACGACCAAACGTCTGCAAAGTTCAATCAGTCTTTTGCTCGTAGCGATCTGGTTTGCGACGGTTTCTGCTGGACTCGATGGATTGATGGTGGCTTAGGTAACTAGGAAATCGTTGGTCGCTGTCACTCGCTTTTGCCCCCCGCTTTACTCCGCGACCCGAGCAGGTCGACCAACCCCCGATCAGTCGATCGGCCAACCAACCCGCCAGACCCTCTGAGCATCATCGCGACCGACCCGCGCTGGATACTGGCTGCGAAACCCGCGAAACGGACTGCTGCGAGCCGCTGTGATTAGCTCCGCCTTATGATGCTGGCCTAGGTCTGTCAACCGAAGCCAGACCCGTTCCCTTCCGACCCGGCGCCGGCGCATTCGAAATTCGACTCGAGATCCCTTGTTAGTCGTGTTGACCGCAGGCCCCTGGCGGGCATACCGGCCAAGATGCGTCTCGCAGCGACGAAGCCGTTATGGCTCCTCTCCTCCCTCGCGGCGGTTGTCCTCCCGACCAACGCCGAACCGGTGCTTCGGTCGAGCTCGCTGGCCTCGTGTCAGGAAAACTCCGGGTTCACAGCGAGTCTGTTCGACGTCGTTTTCACCCCGAATAACCTCACCGCCTCCATCAACATGATTGCAACCTCATCAATCGAGGGCTATGTGATTTTTGACATCTCCATCCTGGCATACGGGTACCAGGTCATCCGAACGACGGTCGACCCTTGCAACTCCAATCTACCAGGCTTGTGCCCCATGACATCCGGCAAGCTGAACAACCCGTTCAACCTTCCGGTCACCAAGGATGCGATTGGTCAGATTCCAGGGATTGCATACACATTTCCGGACCTCGATGCCACGGTGAGGGTGCTTATCAACAAGACCAGCGGGGACGACGCTGGGACAAGCATCGCCTGCGTCGAGGCAGATATCTCGAACGGAATGACCGGTATGTCGATATCTTCTTCGCGGATGGGCGGCAGTGCAACTTGGAGAAGTTTGGCCAAGACTGACTCGGAAAATAGTTGACCTTGTGGGCGTCAAATGGGCCTCCGCAGCCGTCGCCATCCTCGCCCTCTTCTCCTCCGCCGTGGTCTCTGGACTTGGGTTCACGAATGCGGCATCCCATGTCGCGTCCACCTCGTTATCCCTGCTCGGTTACTTCCAGGCGCTCGCTATGCTGGGTATGTGCGCCGTACCGCTTCCGCCAGTCGTGAAGTCTTGGACTCAGGACTTCCAGTGGAGCATGGGCGTCATCAAAGTCGACTTCATCCAGACCATCATGACGTGGTACCAGCGTTCCACTGGCGGAGAGGCTTCAATCTTACTCGACACGCTCCACACCGTGTCTGTGCAGGTTGAGAAGGTCAAGCGTTCTTTGCCGATGGCCCACTCCGCTGCCGGCCTTGTTCAGCGATCAGTGGGTCGGCATTCGAGCGGCCTTGCGAAGCGGGCCATTGAGCAGACCGAGTACGGCAGCTACGTCGTCTACGGTATCCAGAGAGTGGCCTTCCGGGCCGGCATCGAGTCGACCAACTTGTTTTTGACGTGCATAACGTTCTTTTATATCTTTGCACTGTTCGCAGCCATCGCCGTTGCGCTTTTCAAGGGTTTCTGCGAGTTCGCCGTCAAGATGAAGTTTATGAAGAACGATACCTTTGGCGAGTTCCGTGCCGGATGGCTGACGGTTCTGAAGGGTATGCATTGATGGTCCCTGGGATTCCGGTTCAACCTGGCTGACTGTTGATTAGGCGTCCTGTACAGAATGCTGCTCATTGGCTTTCCGCTGGTCTCAGTACTCTGCCTGTGGGAGTTCACGCAGAACGACTCCCCGGCGGCTATTGTGTTGGCCGTGTTCTTCTTCTTCGGCATAGTCGCTACGCTCGGCTATGCTGCGTACAGGGTTATTCGCATAGCTCGCCGCTCCGTCGCTCTCCACCGGAATCCGGCCTATATCCTCTTCTCGGACGCGCATGCCCTCAACAAATGGGGCTTCTTATACGTCCAATTCCGCGCGTCGGCGTATTACTTTATCGTCCCTGTCCTCCTCTACACCCTGGTCAAGGCAATGTTCATCGCCTTCGCCCAAAAGGCCGGAACCGTCCAGGCGGTGGCTCTTATCATCATCGAGGCGGCGGCGCTTATTGCATCGTCGGTGTTGCGGCCGTGGATGGATAAGAGCACAAACTCATTCAACATCGCCATCTGCGCGATGAACTTCATCAACGCGATCTTCCTTTTCATCTTCACGGATGTGTTTGGGTTCCCCAAACTGGTTGTCGGTGTGGTGGGCGTTGTACTCTGGATCGCCAACGCCGCTTTTGCGCTCATCCTTCTTCTCATGCTCATCGTCACGACCGGCATCGTGCTGTTCCATAACAACCCGGACACGCGGTACCAGTTCATGAACGACGACCGCACGTCGTTTATGAAGTCACAATCGCAGATCGGCACCACGACCGAACTCGATGCGCTGGGCGCCACCGCCCGCGGCGACGGCACGCTGTTCAAGCGGAGCACCGATCTCGAGGACGACGAATCAGGCATGTCCAACGAGAAGGCCATGGCGGCGCGCCCGGGTACTGCCAACTCTGGCCCTTACTCGGCCGGGGAATCGGCACGTAACTCGTTCAGGAACTCGGCGCGGAATTCCGTGCGAAGCTCGTTCCGTGCGCCTGTGGACCCCGTGCATGGCACGTATCCTCCTGAGCCGCAACACATGAGAAGTGGGAGTTTGAGGGCTGGGAGCATAAGGACGCCGAGCCCGTTCGCGCCTTCACAATCGTCGTCTTCCAACTTGTCGGGCAACCAGAGCCAACAGAGCGGAGGGAGTCATGCGGCGCCCAAACCACCGGCTGTGAAGTGAGTGCACTTAGTCTCAGTCTCTTCTGGAGTCTTGCATTTGCTAACCGATATTCCCTTTAGTGCTTGGCAACGGGGAGCCGGCTATGACTAAACTTTGGGGGGTATTTCTTTTTTTGGTATCTCAGCATCCTCCCTGTCTGTCAGTCGGGAAAGCGGCTAGTAATCGTTTTCTGTACATACTCTTAGGGTCTGGGTGTTCAGTTTTTCTGGTTGGCATTGGGGTTATCAAAGAGTCACTCCTTATTAGATCTCTCTCTCTTATTCTGTAGTTGCAGTGGGTAAGGTATCTTTGCGTCGAAATTCAGGTAGTTTGGAGTTCTGGCTACATGGCTACTTCAGGTACTTTAGGATTAGCCAAAGTCTAATCTGCGAACCCTCCACATCTGGTGTCATGCTGGTGTTGTGTATGTCTGTCTGATGCGACCAGCCCTTCGATTGCCCATCGCTAGCTGCCCACAGAACTGGTTAAGGACGTAGACTGTCCGCCGAGATAAATGGTGCTAGTTCTCATCTCAGATGCAAATCACCCGTGCCTATTTTCCTTTCAACGTCATGCTGCCCCTCACTTGCACTCGGTTTTCTCGTTGCAAGTTCGCTGCGAGTCTCGGCTGTATTTTTGACAGATATTGAATCGGAGAAAGACACTATGTGATATAACCATCACCGCAGGACGGAAAAACAACAAATTCGACAGTAGGTCAGATTCTTGGTGAGTACTAGCAGGAGCGTTGTCACCACGTCAGTGGTCGCTATATCCCTCGCTCGAGGCTCAGAGCAAGGTATTGTAGGTATAATAGGGGTTGAAACCGCCTCGGGTACCTTGGATCGGCCGGGCTAAGGTGGGATCAGCAAAATCTTGCCTTTCGCACGCTAGGGCTCCCACTAGAGAGACGGGTCCGTCTCGATTAGTCATCCCAGTTGATTATGTCAGCCCCAAAAATTACCCCGCGCTCGCCCCCCTGAACTGCGTGCCCCTGAACTGCGTGCCCCTGAACTGCGTTGCGCGCCCCTGAATTACACCACCAAGCACTACTCTGGCTACCTAACTACAGTACATTTGAATACCGCAAAGGGCATGCCCTCGAGGACCTTATATGGCCAACTGCGTGGCACTTCGAACACGTGGTTGGGGCCCGACGGGACTGGGCCTGGGCCGCCTCGACCACTTCAAATTGACTGGGCTCCCGTTTAGTACTTGACTATGGGAGTGAGCTTCGAGCCCGAACTGGCTCAATAAGCTGGCGAGGCTCAAGGAGTAGTTGCGGGGCTCCCTCGCGCGTCAAATGCCAGTGCGGGTGGAAGTGGTCAAGAAGAAGAGCCTCGCCTTGCAGACTCTCAAGCACATGTAAGCATGGTAGCCCATACACTCGAGAGAAGGTGCCTGTACAAATAGGAGAGGGGGGAGGGTCGGTCCTTGCAAGCAACTTCCGTTGTTCCTCTACCTTCCTCATTGCCTCGTATGATACCCAGCCTCGAACAGTTCAGGGGGCCGAGCGCGGGGTAATTTTGGGGCTGACATAATCAATTGGGATGACTAATCGAGACGGACCCGTCTCTCTAGTGGGAACCGCACGCTAGCAATTGATGACTCAGCAGGCCCGGGGCCAGCACTCGCCCGAAGTTCTGCCAGTCGAGAACGAGTGTACAGTTGGCGGGGGGTCAAAAAGTTTTATACGGGGCCCTTCGGCTAAACCTCGGGGAGTGAAACCCCGGTTAACCCCCCGCGGATCGGCTGGTTTTCCGCGCTTAGTAATCCGTATAATGCACTATTTAAGTCCAGGCACCTGTGACGGTGGGACCCACCGTACCATGGCACAGGCCATTGCTTAGTCATGTGCCCGGCTTCCGGTGCATGCATGATTGGTCAACCTGGTTGGTGCCTCACCTTCCACATCTGGGCACATGCCCCACATCCTGTATTTAGACCTCTTCGCACCTTGCAGTCTTCGAGGATTCCTTTCCTCCTGTAAGTTCAGTATTCTTGCAATACAGTCAGTTGCCCACCAGAGCCTTGAGCCTGGCCTGCGACGCCAGTCACCGTGACATATATACGCTGCTCTTTAGCACCGACGACGGTGAGATTACTTACGCCAGGGCCCGGCTAGAGTATAACTTCTAGATCATTAGCCGGCTATAGCGCTACTAGCCTAGCCTATAGGCTTCTTTTAGTAGGCTCTACGCCTTCTATGCTACCTATATAGATATAGACAAACACGAGGGTACCGATGTGACGTTTCGGTTAGACCGTTGGATATTAAGATTTCTACTAGATTTTGCGAATCCTATGGATGTTGCGGAGAGATATCGTAAGGGAAGGGATGATCTGGCTTTTTGGTTGCGGCAGGGCGGACGTGAGCATGAACAGGGGGCTCGAGGAGGCTGGGGTCGTCCTGAGAGATGCTGCAGTTACACTGTGGTGGCCTTTGACCCGAATGGCTCTGGTGGGATGGAACACGCGGTTGGACTAGAGGACTGGCATGTACAAAGAAGTGCTCCATCTAGGAAAGCGATGTGTTTATATCTCAGGACAGGTTGGAAAGTGGAGCTTCTGCTCGGACTCACAAGTTGCTCTTCCTCCTTCACAACGACCTCTGTAACGTCACGCCGCGCCAGTTATTTTTTGAGGCTCGCACGACGAGTAACAGTGGACGAGAGGAGTGACCACACTTTCTCGTCGACACATCCCGGTTGGCTGTCCCTTGCTCTAGTACCTCTTTTCTCATGACTCTCCGAAATCTCGGAGATCTAGTCGCACAGATTCACCTTAACACAATAGCCTGTCCATAACTCTACCTTCCACGTCCGCGGGTACCAAATTCACCTAAATGCTTCACAGCGGCGTCTCCGCCGCCCGCTTGCCATCCCACGCCGGTCATAACCCTCGCCTACCGCATCTTCACTGGCCCCGGCGCTTCAGCTAGCAAATATAGCTTGCCTCGGCCGAGACGAGAGCAGCTGTGGGATGCACTGCCTCGCCCCTTGCCGTCAACAAGGGGATCGGCGACATCGAGGCTGCTGCCTCATCCTGGGTACTCCACTACCCACTTGAGAGCATGCTCATGGTTATCTGCTCCTACGGAGAACAGCACTCTTCCTTAGCCTCCAGCCACCAACTCCATAGTGACCCTCTCCCGCTTCATGCACAGGGCACATATGACCAGGAGACCGCCAGAGACAATGATCAGCGTATATGCACCGTCAATCGCCTCCACCAGGACGTCTAAGGCGGCACGCCGGACATCTGGCGGTGCGGATTGCAGCACCGCGCTTTTGGCACCAGCGATAGCAGCCGTAACATCCACCTCAGAGTACCCAGCTGGAATCAGGATAGATAAGAGCCTGTCCTGAGCAGAATTCTGAAATATCGTGCTGCAGATCGCGAGCGCGACGAGGATGCTTCCCTGTTGGGCGATGTTGATGAACTGCGTGACCGCGGCGACGTCGTCGGGAGAGACCTTGGCCGGCACAACCGAGTACGCGGCCTGGTAAGCGGTCATGCCGATGCCGACCAGAATCGAGTAACCGTAGATGTTGGCGTTGGCCATGTCTTCCGAGCTCGTGTACAAGAGTGCGCCCCCGATGGCTGTAAAGACGCCACTGACTAGAAACCATGGCATGTAGTACCCCCAGCGCAGCATCAGCACCCCGTTCAAGATGACGCCGAAGATGTAAAAGCAGATGAACGGGAGGAGTCGGACCGCCGCCTGGACGCCGTTGTCGTTGCGCACGAACTGGAAGTAGAGCGGGAGGTAATAGATGGTGACGAACAGCGCGCCGCCGAGGCAGCAGCAGCAGATGAACAGAAGCACCAGCGTCCGGTCACGCAGGAAATGTCCAGGAAAAAGCCGGTTCTCCCTGGTTGTGAAGAGCGCAAAGTACTGTGTGGCGGCAAAGGCAGTGATTGTCACCGCGAAGACGACGTAGAGTGCGACCATGCGGCCATCTCCCCAGGGCCAGATCGAGCCTCCGAAGGTGAAGATCATGGCGAAGACGGTGTACATGGCCGAACTCAGGATAGACCCTACCCAGTCGAGGGATAGCAGCTTCGCCAGCAGACTGACATCGGGTCGGGGCTGGACCGACGGCAGAAGGAAGATGTAGATCGGAGCCATGGCGGCAAAGATGAAGAGGTTGAGATAGAAGGCCTTCCATTCACGCGTTAGCATGCCCTCCCAGCGTCTCACTACAAGGAACTGCCCGACAGTCACTCACCCAACGCCAGCCTGAAGACGAGCTATCGGCCAGGGAACCGCCCACTACGGGTCCGAGAATGGCACCGGCGCCATAGACCAGTACAATGACTGCCATGTAGACGCTGCGCTCTTTTGGCGTGGTAAGCCGTTGGATCAAGTTCAAGTTCCTGCAGTGGGAATTAGACTGGATCAGGAAGGCAATCTCTTCATCCTTGGAAAGAGAGTTCATCGTCCTGTACTTACCCCAGATACATGCCCGCTCCGCCAGCGCCTGCCCAAACTCGTCCCACAATCAGGGCATCCATGGTGGGAGCGGCCCCGCACAGCGCGCTCCCAGCCGCGAACATTGCCAGGGATCCGACATACAGCCATTTTACATCGAAAATAGCGTACGCCTTGCCACTACCAGCCACGTATTAGCGCCAGGCGGGTAAAGCCGGTGAGAAACGGTGTACACACATGGGGAGGATAATTGCAATGGATCCCAGGGGGAAGCCGACGCCGAGCCATCCGAGCTTGCTGACGCCGCCGAGGGAGTCGATGATGGGGGCCTGGATATCGGCGACAATGGTGTTGTCCAGGCCGTACAGGAGATTGCACGAGAAGATGGCCAGGCAGACAAGCAGCCAGCGCAGTCCCCGGATGGATCTCTGAGGTCTTCCGTCACTGCTCAGCGGTTGCTGGTCTGGAGGTGGTGGGTGATGCTCCATCTTCGACATACTGACTTTTGCGTGTCATCCGGTAACGTAAAATGTGGCTGCCGGGTCGAGCATAATGTTGCGCGGGGACTGGGTTATTAATGCCCGCAGACGATGTACGTTCGGATGAAGAAACTGAAATTTCAGCATCTCATGGACCCGTCAGGTGGACACTGCGAAAAGATAACAATCCAGGAATAGATATCTCCGAGTAACATCGCCGAAAAAAAAATTCCAAATAACTCATCGCCGAAGCCCATCTCCGAAAAGGATCCTCTAGGGAGACGGTGAGCCTCATGCAACTTTTTGATGACTGCGGTCTTAGGACGTGCCACAGGTGATGCGATGACAAAGTGAAAAGCACCCAGGGAGCAGATTCTCATTGTACTAATTAGATCAATTTCCACACCACGCATTCTATATATACCTGGATTGGCAATGGCAGTCTTGTTGGTTAAGTCCATGTACATGACAGGATTGTAGAGAATCAACATTCGGGTGCGATGGCATGAACGCCGTGACGACAGATGGTCACTTCCGCTCCGGTGATGATGATTGTGGCCGTGGCCTGGGAGAAGCAGGCGACTCCTCCTCCGCCGAAGCGGGCTTACGACTAATGCTCTTTAACAAACGTAGAACTTTTTAAGATATCACTATGGTTCTTGTTCGACTCGCTGTCTAACTACCACTATGATGGGCGGCTAAACCTGGTGGTATTGCGATATTCTCAATCAACTATTCCGCCGCAAGCTCTCGATTCTCGTGCCAGCCCTAGGGAAGCGATTCAGAATAGGACCTAAAATACGGCTAGTGTAGGACGATGGGCCAAGGTTGCGGTAGCGTAGTCGGATCATCCTTTTTGGGGTCCTTGTCGTAGTCCGCGATGAACTCGCGAATGTAGGCCCCGTTGAAGTCAATGAGAACTATGCTGCCGTCGGGCTTGACCATGATATTCCGCGGATGCACGTCTTGGTGCCTAAACCCCAGTCTCCCACAGGATAGTGATCTCGGCTTCGAAAATCTTCTGGAGGACGCGGAAACTGCGGTCTACCTTCCCCGGCGGCTCCGTCTCGACGGGCGGGAAGGCAAGGGCGAACCCGATAGCTGGATCCTCGAAGTCTCCCGACGGTCTTCAGCTCCTATAATCGGCGGTCTCGCGGGGTGGCGGCCCGTAGGCCCCATACAAGCTAAAGGGTTCTGGCGGTAAATGCTCACGAATGCGGAGTGTCGTGTTTGGGAGGTACGTCCCCCGACCAGAGCGCTGTCGCCGGGGAGATGGTGGTTGCGGGCAGGGGGAGGGTTGCCCACCAATCAACTGCTAGGCAGACACAACCTGGAACAACTTTTGCGAAGTGCAAAAAGCAAAATCTTGGTTTTCGCACAACTGCAATTGATGACTCAGCGAGCACGGACCAGCGCCTCGCCCGAAGTTTTGCCGGCCAAAAACCCGTTCACGTTCCCGGAGTGGGGCCGGCTCCGTAACAACTCCAAACGGCGCCGGCGACGGAGGCCGGAAGGCGTCGCCCAATCTACTTGGTTCACACCCCATCCGGTCCCTCAGCTCGCACCCCGTGCAATCGCGATGGCGATGTATTTTAGGCGCCAGGATCCCGTTCCCGGTTCGGGGACGCGAACCAACTGCGCCCAACCCCCGAGCCTCGATGTGCTGGCCTTGCTGGCCTTGCTGGCCTGGCTCGGTCATGCTGTCGTTGCCTCCCTTCTCTCCCCCCCAACCATGGAACTCCCTTCCTCCCTTACCTTTTCCTCGTTCTTCCTGCTCCTAACGCACTTCTTAACTCACACTCCCTAGAGAACTCCCTTCCTCCCTCACCTTTTCGTCGTTCTTCCTGCTCCCAACGCACTTCTCACCTTACTATGAGAGTGCAACGACAGTCGCGTTTCTCTGGGGCGGACCCGGTTAAGGTTAAAGCGCTCCTCCAGGCTTACACGGTCCGTGCCATCGAGGAGAATGGTAATGAGAAGCCCTTTGTTGCTCCGGACACGAAGGCGGAGCGTGATAGAATATGGGAAGCCTGGACCGAGTATGTCTTCTCTTCTATCCTCCCAGGCTTCCTCAACCGATACCTAATCTCGATATAAAGCCTGGGACATTGTACTGATTTGTTACTAATTTCAATCACATCTTCAAAGATTCTATGAGCTTACTAGAGAGAAAGAAGGTGCAATGGACAGGTATGGCGCTCCCCGGATGTGTGGCGCTCACCATCGAGCTAACTAAGTGAAGCCGTAGTGGCTTCGACTCCCGCCGCTTCTGGCTCGACTTCGCCCGGGATCCATCCAACCCAAATGTTCAAGGACCAGTCCAGGCGTTTCTACACGAATATGTGGAAAGCTCCTACAAGGAACGTGTCGTGCTAGGGCCTGAGGAGCGCGCCATGACCCGCACCGTCAACTCCGCTTATAGCGTCATCGAGGTTTGGCGGAGGCTCATCGCAGCCGCCGATTTCAACGTTCTCCGTGTTCAGCGGGCAGCGCTGCGAAGGAATGACCAAGCCGAGAAGGCCAGCCGGCTAGTGCTGAAGTGGGAGCAAGAAGGCGAGAAACGCGAAGGACCCGCCTATACAGTTGTCAGGGTATGTAAGGCCAAAAACGACTCTATCACTTCCCTCCCCCTCCCCTTGTACAGAAAACTTGTATACCTTGCATGTCACTGAGGATACTTCTCTACGTCTCCCACACTTCCCATCCCACGCTTCTACTATTCGTATACTTTACTAACGAATGACTGCCTGGCTAGTGGATTCTCCAGACCCTAACCCTAGATCTCGGGCTGGAGCTCGGCTCGTCATACGAGAAGGTCGAGGCAACAGCAGCAGACATCATCGTCATTCTTACAGCGCTGTACCAGCGTGCTGATGATATACCCGCTAAGCCAGTGACGAGGGTGTCGGCCCACCACGCGATCCTTCAAATGGGTACTGGCGGTTGGCGTCCAGGCTGCATTGAAGATACCTTATGCAAGCAGTACACGATATCCGTCGTGCGCGATCCCGATGATCCCACTCGGGTGAAGCCTATTGTTACATACAGGATCAATCGGAACAAGATCAAGGAGGCCGAGAAGACCGTCAAATACAGGAAGAACACATCGTGAGTAGCTTCATCCATGTTATTCGTAGATGGGAGGCCAAGGACTGACGAGGTGGATCCCCTACCGCCTGTCAACAGCGTTGCCCACTCTACCACTCTCGTGCCGTTTCCCCTCCTCGATTCGGCAAGCCTCGTGATCGCCCGGGCGATACAGATGGACGCCTTGGATTTGGATGTCAGCTATGATTCGCTTCGCGATCTTCTACAACGTCCGCAACTTGGCAATACCGACCGCATCGACATCCCCTGGAAGGAGAGCTTCCTCAACGAGCCTCTCTTCCAACTCACATACGCCGACTTCTGGGCGATTTGGCGTCGGTGCCTCTATGTTATAGGCAGCCGGAAAGACGTCCGCCCTTATTCTCTTCACATTGGAGCTGGAGCCCGGCTGGATGGTACGTTGCTTTCCGACACGTACCGCCGCTGGACATCAATTGACACATTTCTGCAGACAGCCTGTCAAGTGCCCTACGTAACTACGTCATGGGCCACTCAGGACCCGTTTTCGAAAATGACTACCAGACAGCTGTCGTAAGAACCAATCTCGCCGCCATAGCCTTTGGGCCGAAAGCGGTACGCCGGGATGAGACGCTCTTCAACGAGCTGCGCAATATGACCCTTTCACGGGACGAAGGCGCCCCTATCAAGGTGTCGGAAGCGCAGATTGCGAAGTTCCGGGAACGAAGGGATATCGCCAAGCTCCGCAGCGAGATTCAGCATACCACCGACAAGCTTGAGAAGAGCAGGCTTCGCGGCCAAATCGGCCGCATCATCGAGACTTGCAAAAGGCTGAAGCTCGAAGAAGATCGACAGGCCTATTTCAAGGAGGCTGACCGATTGCGTCTCCAGGGTGTTGAGCCGACCCCAGCGCCCGGCCGGGGGGGCCGGGGATAGCGGCTCCGGTGGCCACCTGTCTATCGCGCTGGAGACCGCGGGACGAGGGCGAATTTCCAACGAACGACACAAGTGCATCAGAGCAGTATGTCGATGCGCAGCTGCTGTACCTGTCGTCTACCGTACCTACATCTCGTCAGCGGGCTCCAGAGGCACCGGCACCGGCACCGGCACCGGCACCCTCTAAGCCCCAAGGAGCATCCTGCTGTTTCGCCTGCTTCAAAAGCTTTACAACCCGCACTGGGCTTACACGGCACTTCCAAGATACCCATCTTGTCGACGGTACATTTGACAACCCTTTCCCTTGTCCCAGGTGCAGGCGCGCCGGGGCAGCAGAGGTTGTCCACGGCCCAGCACAGTGGTGCAATCATCTCGAGCATACCCATGGCCTAATCCATACACCGAGATTCAATCCGGGTACCAGCCACAGAGCCTGCCCGTCAAACTCGCCGTTAGCCTGTCTTCGATGCGAGGCACCTATGGCGTCTGTGAGCACTCTGCTCGCCCACATGAACCGGACCGAGATTCCTCGGTATCGTAAGAGCCTTCACGTCTCCTGTAGTGCCTGCACTCGTGATGGCCTGGTAGACGCCAAGCCGATGAGTCTCTGGGAATGGCTGACGCACGCTCGGGCCGTCCACAAGTGGGCTCTTCCTGGCCTGGCACCGTGCCTTCTCTGCGGACACCTCTGCGCCCCAGGGCCGGGTCTCCGGAGACATTTCGCCACCCAGCACAGAGACAAGCTCGGAGAGCGTTTCAATTGCGCCGCGTGCTTGGCTTCGACAGTGCCGGCAGGAGAGGCGCAAGGCACCTATGACTTTGAGGAGCTCCTCCGACATGGCGTGGACAAGCACCCGTTAGGACAGTTGGCGGCAGATGGTGCGGGAGGAAAGCGCAAGAGGGACGGCGGCATGTCCGGCGAGCACACAGCGCCAGCCGCTAAGCGCACGAAGGGCGACGGCGATGGAAAACATCCCGCGCTAGCTGCTAGGCGCACGGAGAGCGACGGCGACGGCGACAGAAAGTGTCCCGCTCCAGCCGCCAGGCACACAGAAAGCGACGGCGAACGGGAGTGCCCGGCTCTACCCGCCAACAGAAAGAGGGCAGCCGGGCACAAAGTGGCGTACAGGAAGGAGCTCTCCCCCGTTGCGATTTACAATGCCGACAGCGACCCGTGCGAGGACGTCATCATCTGCGCATCGACTATTAACGAGCAGCAAACTTGCCATTTCACGAAGAATCTTATCGGCTCAAGTGCGGCCCTGGATTCTGAGTTTCTGGGCAATGTCGACCCTGCGCTTCTCGCTCCTTGGCGGCCAGCTAGTGCCGTCCACCACACTGCCGCGATGCTCTCAGACCTTCCAACGCCAGAAGCGCTCAGGCGGCCACGGCGTTACCGGGGGCCACTGCCATGGCTAAGCAGGAGGATCTTGGTGACTGGGTCTTGAGGCCGGACGACAGGACGGTTATAGACTATGTAACTATGCTTAGTTATATATGCTAGATGTTATCATTGTCAATACGCTGTTATGTCTCCTCTGTGACTCGCATCGCCAGTAAGGTATTCAGTTTCTCAGGGGAGGTAAGTCAGGGTGGAGGTATGGCATAGTAAGTGTAAGGGTGGGTAGGCAACGAAGCCATACCGACAACCGGACCGAGCCAGTCAAGCGGCCGGGCCATTGCCGGCGTCCCGGTATGGCCGGTCGGATATGCCGGTAGCCGGCTCAAGCGGTCGTCGGCTACGGTATACGGGCTGCGGATGGCTCTCTGGGGCATACCAAGTCGGGACGACAATGGCATAGTCGCGTGGTACTTACAAGAACTCGTGAGTTAGCTAGATAATACATTCAATATACCCAATAGAGCAAGAGGACACCAATAAATAAATTAAACTATTCACATTGCATTGCGAGCTGTTGTTGATAAATACCACGCGACAGCCGTCGCCTGAGTCGCCCTATAGCAGACCAATGCATTACCCAAAAGTTGCCCTCAGCGATTTCCGTTGTTGTGCATTGTCCTGAGCTGCCGCTGCTTTAACCTGAGCAAAGGTGAGCCTGGTGGAGCTGAGCCAGAGTGAGCCTGGTGGAACTGAGCCAGAGTGAGCCCGGCTAAAATTGCCCTTTGAGACTGCGGACCGCTAAAACCAACAGCCAACCGTACATACAGGGTTACTGCTCGGACCCCACTGCTGGGACCGCTATTGGACACGCCCCGATCCTTCCTTGGTCCCGTACAAACTACCCATAACACGTAATCTGTCGTCACTCAAGTCCCGGTCCCATGAATGTTTAGACTGCGAGAGCCATTGGTTGCATTGGGCTGGAGTATGAACACTTCTCGAGCAGAACCGAATTGCGAAAGACCGAAAGCATTGCCCAAATGTACACGAAATGGTAACTACTTCCATGACTGAATACATTCCGACAACCTCTTGGATTCCGGCACCTCTGGGTCGACCTAAACCGCAAGAAAAATGCCTCGCCACGGCGACGCAAAGCAAGCGCATACGATACGAAAGGATCAAGGGGCTCGAGCATCGTTCACGCGTAGCATCACAGAGGTGCTATACCGGCGGTACAGCCTATGACGGACATTTACTGTGTGATAGAGGGTCGGCTACGCAGGCTGGTGTCGGAGGCGTATGGGAATGAAGCTCCACGCCCATGCTATATGCCCTGGGGGATAGGAGGCGAGGTGGCAAGCAGGGAGGGAAAACGAGAAACAGCCCAGACCCGCAGGGCGGCGAGGCCTACGAGAACCAGGTCATCTGCAGATGAATGCTGTCGTCTAGGTCGGTGCCTGGCGAGGCGTCGCCAATCAGATTCGCCGTCACAGCCATGGGGTTCAAGGGAATCGAAGACCCTCCACCGCACGCAGTACAAGCAGGAAGCGCACACCACGGTCGAAAGCTCGTTGCTACCGGCTCAGGGCGCGAGGCAGACAATCACCGGCGCGGCTCGATCACGAAATGCCCTCACCGGTCTCTGCCTCCTGGATACTCCTTTCCAAGTCTGCCTCGTCAGTCACGGCGATCCCGAGGGAGGTCAATATGCTGGTCTGATACTCGACGAGACAAGGCCTGCTAGGGCTCAGCTGCCGTAAGAGGAAACAAGGACCGAGGGGTTCATATAAAGAAATTGGCCAATACTGCTACCCGTATAACGACCTCGGACGCAAGCTAGTCCCATCCATATGGCGTACGTTCGTTTGAATCTGAGGCAAGGCAGGCACAAACCTGGGAAGACAACGAGGTAGAGCGGCCGCCCGTACGAGATAGCTCGGAGAGAGGTCGTTTCTTAGTGGTTGTTCTAGAAGCAAGACGATGGTTGGAAGCAGCGAGCTCATCTGCAGCTTAGCCGCCCTGGTCAACCTTCAGCGACCCCTTGAATCATGCGGCATTAAGTCACGGTCGTAATCTGTGGCGGCACGATGTCTCCTCGAGGCCTCCCTTCTCCGGGCGTTTCCTTTCCGCCTCGGCCATCGCGCAATTGGCGAAAGTTCGAGGAACCCGGTGACCGGATAGTCTTGGCTACAATGCAAGGCGGCATAATAGAAGTACGTTTTCCTTGCCTAGCCGCTAGGATAGGGTAAGGTGAACGAGGCAGTGGAAAACTAGGAACGGGACGTCGATAATATTGCGGATAGGGGCTTTCTAGGCACGTAGATATTTTTCGTCTTTCGTCCTATAGTATTGCCTCTTCTCCTAACCCTCCTTGCTCTACGGAGGATACTATACCGAGCAGTGCCAAGCCTTGACAACGTCATGACGGATCGGCAACACAGGTTGATGTCTGAGGTATATAGGCCAATGCATGAAGTACTACGCTCATACACCTATGGGGGGTGAGGGAGGAGGAGGGCGGGAAGGCGAGAAAGGGGCTCGCCATAGGATTGCCCGGCCTGCTTCTCGGCTCGTTTGCGAGGAGTCACCGATCCCTGTGCTTCTTCCAAGGATCTCAGAGGTAGGTCGGTTTCATCCATGCCTTGAATTGACGGCGAGGCAGACACGACTCGGGGAAGCCAATGGGCTAGGCGGCTGCCCGTATACGATAGCTAATGAGACAACCAGGGGAAGAGACTCATAGTGGGGGTGGGGGAGGAGATGGTGCCCCTGCATCGCAGCGGCTAAGCCGCTCCCTGGACCATGCGGGATTATGATCGGAGTCGTAATTCGTGGCGACACGATATCTACAAGGCCTCCCCTTTCCGGGCGTCTCCTTTCAGTCTTGGTGGTTGCGTGATTAGCAAAGACTCGAGGGAACAATGGATCGACTCTCTTGGCTATAATGCGAGGAGGTAGAACCGAGGAAGGAAGAGGTGGCAGCAGAGCGCTAGGACAAGCACTTTGGCGCTATTGCGGTCAGAGGCCTTCTACATATATATATATATTTCGCTTATTTCCCTATGTCCGGGAAAACAAGATGCTCGTCTACAGACTTCTGCTCTCTATAATCTCTCCTCAAGTATCTTAAAACTCCTGTGAACCAACTGCACCGTCCACTCATAGCACAATGGCGACCGTCTGTCTTGACCACCTAGTGTTTGCGAACCCTAGTGTCTCGGTTCGAAATACGGACCCCTCTGCAGCTACATCTGAAGCTCCTCTATATCTACCGCCGCTGTAGGAAGCACGCTACCCTTCTTATAGTGATTCTAGGCATATGTTCCCAGTTTGTTACATCCCCGACGACGGTCGTCCTAATGTTACTGTCCTGCTATTGGTTGGTATATGCCTAACTTACCATCACCGGGGGGTAAACCAATCACGCTAACACCCGAGCAGAGAAGAATGTCGACGCCCTACCCAGCGTCAGTGCCGAAGATACGAAAAAGTCATTGGCCACCGGTGCACTTGGTCCAGACAGGAAGTTTGCATCAACTCAACAGCATGAGGCATGTAACCCGAGCTCTTTGCATGCGAATGACACCCAATCAGGTTGGCAGGCTATGCCGGCAGTGAGCCAGGGCAGGCACTCCCTTATGACAGCACTGTTTATAACAAGGCTGTTCGGGCTGTTCCCGGGAGAGTCCCCGAATCCCCTGCTGGGAATATGGCCCAAGGGCATGGTCTTGGATTGCGGCCTGATCCTCGCCCCTCTACAGAGGCATGCGGAATGACGTCTAATCGAGATGGCACCCTAAGCCTTCCGAATGACGAGTGGGATAGGAGGTTCCCATATTCAGTTCAGGCGATACGACGGCGCCTATAGGCCAGCCGTGCCCGGGAAAGCGCACATAAGGCTGCAAAACTCCATCAGTCCAACATTTCACGCAATCCCTCCTCCAGCTGTAGACCCGAAACATAGCAGGGAGCCGATAGCAGCTGCTTCTCACAGTACAATGATCACTATGGCGGCAGCAATCGAACGAGCAACCCAAAATACTGTCATCCTCCGCTTCTAGACTATAGATAAGAGCAGACTAATGAAAAGGGTTCTATTATGCCACTATAAGGGCAGGAATATCAGACAAGCATACATAGACTGTCAGACAATGAGAGCGAAAACGAATAGGGATGTAACCTGCCCAATGCCAAGCCACCCATACCTTTATCCGCCAGCCAAGACCAGGCCAACCTTTAGCACAATATCGATCGTCGTCGGCATTGCGGTATCGATGGAGAGGACAGCGGTCCTATCAAGAACGACGCTATAGAGCAGGCTCGGGATGATACCGCCACCCAACTACCACGCAAACGCCGTAGGATAAGCCCTTCGACTCCTATAACTTATGAAACAGCATCCAGGCCGCAGACACGTCTATATTGCGCCAGCTTACAGCCGCCACGGGCTCAACCCTCAAAGCACCGCCAAAGTCAGCGCAGCCTTTTTATCCCACCATCTTCAGGGACGTCCACTTCGAAAGATAAGACAAAGGTACCCGTCACGAAGGTCGAGGAATGGCCACTTGACGGTGCAGTTCTCAGGTGCATTATAGTGAAGGGTGTCATAACGTTCTAGCTATAGTAGGATGCTTCGGCAAATCGTAAACAAAAGCAGCGTATGCCTGGAATCCTATAGTGCAAGTCAACAGTAGAGAGAATGTCCTCAATAGGGTGTATACACCCTTCAAGAGTCGTTCCTATAGCCGTAGTCCAAGACAATTATTTTAAGGTTAAGGATATCCTGGACTTATAACAACAGGGAAAGCAGATAGAATACCTTATTAGGTAGGAAGGGTACAGGCACAAGCACAATAGTTGGGAACCGGCTAGGCATTTCAACAGATATCCTAAGATACTACAGGAGTTCCATCAGCGGAAGGGATTATCCACACCAGGTCAATGAGAATCTCGGGCTGAACTTAGGTGGAGGAATGGCAAATATTCGCGGCCTACACAGACCCGAGTGCTTCTCATAGGGGGTGCTTACGTAGTACGCCGCAGACATGGTCATCCTAGGCGTGCTTTGGCCGTTGCGAGAAGGGTTTGGGAGAGTTCCTGCTG